CATATACTCACTTGTCAGGCGTTAAAAAGATCGGAATGCGCGATAACGTCGACGCTATTTTCACTAATTGCCTTACCGAACACGAAATGCCTACAATTTGCCGCTTGTGCTCTTTTTAGGTTATTTTCACGTAAACATAACCTCAATTAAAGGAGAAAAAAAATAATTGCGCTGTAATTGAATACACGTAAATCCGTTTAACAAGTGATTTTCGCCCGCTGGTCCAGCCTAATCTGCACACTCTCTCGAGTGGGTTAAAATCGCATTCGTGAATTAACGTTATCAACGTAACAATGCGTCGAGAGTGCCCGGTTACAACAGTATCAACATTGGATGTATGTAAATGGATTTAACATGCCTACAGACTGAAATCTCGTCCGGCACCTGCGCGGCATTGATACAATTCATTTGCTTAATGGAGCATTACACGAATAACTGAAATATTCTATTGATTTTATTGCGCGTGTACTTGTATATATCCCTCGCGCGCTACAACCGGCTACAACTAGTTCGATTTTCTATGAATTTAGATTGGGTTATCAAGTGCTGCATGCTTCATTTGCATATGCAATGGTTAATTAGCGTGTGTTTTAATACGTGCACTGATTTACCGAATAAATACGTAAATATTTACATATTTACATTGTTTTGTTGTTGATGATTTCGTTCGCAATCAGGTGATGACGGGTGTTGTGTAACGGAAATAGGCAGCCCGTGTTTTTCTTTTTGTTTGTTTGTGAATGCAACCCAACACACACACACGAAGTCTTTTCAGCGCTTTGCTGATGTACTACTGCTCACGGGCAGATAAATTCAGCGCGCGCAATAACCAGAGGGTGTGTATGAAAGAGTCAAACGAACCACCGCCCCGACACGTCGAGATCGTTGGGATGTTTCTAGTGTGGCATGAAAGAATGACACAAAAACCAGCACGCCGGCGTCCGTGTTGCGAACAAAGCGGAAAAAATGAACGCGCGGCAAAGGCTTCCCATCGCGGCGCGCACATAACATAAAATGCATGAAAGCGAAGGACTGTGTTTTTGAGGATAATAGTCACGAAACAACGCACGTAGGCACGGATTGAAACGCAGGATCAGGTTAATACATGACGTAAGGACTATCATAAAGCACAAGATGACGATGCAGACGCGGGAAAAGTGAAAATTTAACCAAAATACAACAAAAAGCAGTTTTTGGATGCGGAATTTTTGATTAGTATTCAAGCTGTGCGCATTCGACGATTCGTTTTTATTAGATTCGGGGCCGCGGCGACATTACAACTAATACGCGATAATAAATACCAGCATAACTGCGCACTGGAGGGTGACGCAGGGAGCTTACAGCGAGAGAGGCGTTAATTATTACCAATTAGTTGTTGGTAAACTAATGGTGTCCGCCGCGGTGAATACGGAAAGCTCAGTTAGGGGGCCCGCGAATGCATAAACATGAGTCATGTTTTTACATTTTTGCCGCGGCTACACACGCGTTGATTTTTCGAAATAAGATGCGCTTGTATTGGTCGTGAGAAGAACGCCCACGCGTACAGGTATATCAATCACTCGATGCACGATTTTTGCATTGCGCTTGTACCGCACACGACGCCGCAAATGGAATCGCAATTAATTTTTGCACAGCTAATTGAAAGACTATCCGCCCACGCGACCACGGAAATTATAACAAAAGCGTCGAAGTAATTTGCTGGGTAATTGTATTCGAATTAATATATATGGAGTTTATTGCTCTTGGGGAATTAATTTTGTACCTTATATGGTTATGGCGATAAATTTTAGGAATGCTTGTTTCATTAGCTATTATAAAAGTTATAATTATATTATAATTAGAAGTGCGTTTTGGTGCGATATATGAAATGCTTTAAACATGTTTGTTTTGACTTGTGTTGTTATATTATTACTATTTTGACGTTTGAGCTAAGTAACGACATATTTTAATTGCGATTATCTTGTAAACTATAAAAGACAAAAAGGTTCGAATCGCAGAGTCTTAATCTACGGACAATACAATACAATACAATACGCTGCCCTTCTACGGTGCCCTGAACACGAGTCACTTCTACCGCTGCTCTTATATGGCGCCTTGAATACGAGTCACTTCTAACGCTGCCCTCCTACGAGTACGGTGCCCTGAACACGAGTCACTTCTACCGCTGCTCTTATATGGCGCCCTGAATACGAGTCACTTCTACCGCTGCCCTTGTACGGTGTCCTGAACACGAGTCACTTCTAACGCTGCCCTTGTACGGTGCCCTGAACACGAGTTACTTCTACCGCTGCTCTTATATGGCGCCCTGAATACGAGTCACTTCTACCGCTGCCCTTCTACGGTACCCTGAACACGAGTCACTTCTACCGCTGCCCTTCTACGGTACCCTGAACACGAGTCACTTCTACCGCTGCCCTCCTACGGTGCCTTAAATACGAGTCACTTCTACCGCTGCCCTCCTACGGTGCCCTGAACACGAGTCACTTTTACCGCTGCCCTTGTACGGTGCCCTGAACACGAGTCACTTCTACCGCTGCCCTTGTACGGTGCCCTGAATGCACAAGTGACTCTCATTCTATGCACCGTACCCCCACTATTTTTTGCGGATCACCGCAGCTGAAGAGATAGACAAGAACGGATTTCAAATTCATAATCTAAATTAAATTCTCTATAAGATAAAATACCTACTACAATCAAACGCGATCTTACATCGAATTTGAAAACTTTCAAAATTTTCCCCTGTCTCAGTTATCTCGCACCAGCCATAAATCGTTTGACATTTAAAATATCCCGTAGTACGTAATTCTTTCCCAAATATCGTCTGTCATAAATGGGTCGTCGAACGAGAATTATTTACGCCGCACGCGCGCTAGCCCCCAACATCGTCGCGGTGATAAATCGTGTATCGGATTTACGGTGTTTAAATCACCCCGAAAAGCGTCCACCCATTCTTCAGCGATTTTTACATACAAAACCGGCGGCGAGGGCTGCAGAAATGATCAGATAAATCACGCGCGACCGGATTTATGTATCGACACACTTCCACTTACATTCCGCGCGCACACTCACATATTGCACCAGAAATAAAGAACATAATACGGCGCAAACATGCGACATGTAAGTGCACGCCGCCCCCAGGACGGCTGTGAGCGCGCCAAAGGCGGTGAACGTATAAAGGAAACGGAAATTCCGAATATTCCAAAGGTTGCCGAGTCAAAGCCGGCCGGAAACGCAACGACGCGCGGATTTTTTGCGGCTGAGGCGTGTCGGAATGTGACATTTTTGACAATCAAATATCTTCCCACATTCGATCACCTTCAATACGCCATAACTACGAATAGAAAACCAAAAACACAAAAAATTATAAAATCAACATAAATTATTATTATATACTCTGAATCATCCTGTATACATTAGATTTCCATGAGATTTAACTTATAATTTAATTTCCGCGATGATTTCCCAGCTGAATAACGAAATGTCGAGACTTATTTGAAGACGTATTCGAGATTGTTACGAAATGAATTAAAGTTAAACAAATTTTCTTACTTTACACACATTGCCAGCGAGTTTGGCCGGTTGTTTTGTATTTTTTTAATCATCCAACGCGCGCGCGAGAATTGTGATTGATGACTTTTTGTTTAACTAACTCAATAACGAACTATCACGCGAACGCGAAGGATATTTTTCTCCCTTGTTCGTTATAACATTATGTATCTTTTGCGGGAGCATTAATTAACGAAATTGCGAAATGTGATATCGATGCGTCATTAAAATTTTCGGGAATCATTTTTTCTGTATTTTGAGCGTGGGGGTTGGAAAAGATGCGAAGAGGAAACACACAACGGCGCGGAAGAACGATTGTAACATTTATAAAAGCATTCGTTTGTGCGCTTGAAGGACCGCGCGGTTAAAGTTAATTGCTCGAATCGGTTGGTTCCGTAATCCTTTAGCGGGGCGAAGGAGGAGGACTGCTCGATTGCTCCAGTGGCTTCAATCGTCTCTACATTGCTTCCAGGTATTTCGCTCGAAACGGCGTCGTATGGTTGTGTTCGTTTTGCTGCGGCTTCTATGCTGAAACGATGCGTCTTCAGCTATCTGGGGAATTGTATATAGGCGCCTGCTTAATTTATGACGCCAAGCACCATGAAGGTAGTTAATTCATTTGTCCCCCAAATTCGGCGCCGGAGACGAATTTTCAAGCAGTGGTATTTTTTTTACATCGCGCATGTATGCCACTTATCGATATCACTGATGTTTGCCGTGGTGTCAGGAGCAGACCGGACGCTAACGAGGGTGAAGCGTGAGGAACCCGTTCGAAACAACCCCTGGGAGCGATCCGAATTGTTCGACACACTTGCTTCGGTTTGATGCCATCGTGCCATCACAACCTACAACAGACTTGCGTTATCATTTCGTTATTATACTATCCTTCCATCACCCACTTTTGACGAGCACTCTCGAATTCTCGGGCTGCGGTCAGTGGGCTTCTCTACTCTTAGACTTTTGGCAAAATCAATAATTCAATTTGAGTTATTTTCGTCTCGCGTATAAATCAAAATTGTGCGACGTTTATACAGAAATATGCGATACCTAAGTGGGTATCGATGAAGTTGTAGTCTTCCCCTGAGACGCAGACACACGTCTTATTTATCCTTGTAAAATTTTTGCTAGTGTTACCAATTTTCTGGATATCACCAGCGTAGGATTAGGTACCGAGTAGAAGAAAACCGGCTTCAGTGCACGCCGCGTCGCGCAATTCAATAAACAACAATGAGAACTCGAAGGGGCGGGAAAATAAGATTTAGCACTCGAACATTTTTATTACTCCAAGGGGTTTTTATTTATCCTGATCCTTGTATAAAGGGGCCGGGAGTTTCCTCCTGGCGCGCGCACGCTCCAACCCATTCGTTTTGCGCCAGCATAACAACATCACAAAATACACACATACGACGAACGACGAATTCTCAACGCGGCGGCGTTTTTCTTTTCTGTTTCAGGTGTGCGCACAGGATGAGACCAACGCGACGTCGCTGGAGGAAAACGCCATCGCCACCGTCGAGGACGAATCCGACCAAGTGAGTTTATAATAAACTTCCTTCGCATATTGTTCTATTGTCTGCTTAACTTTTCAATCGACGCCTTTCGTAAACTACGCGAAATTCGTAAACGCTGCGAATGATTTGAATTCAATTTCTAGTGAGAAAGGGCAAATGGAAGTTAAACTAAAGCGCAAAGTTTTGTTTGTTTCTTCAAGGCTAATTTAACACGCAGATCTTCGTTATAAATGATAATTTTTAACGGTTTTTCTTTTCTTTAAAGTTGTCACTATTGCGCGTGACAGATAACACGCGCGTGGGCGGATTAAAAATTCAAAGCGGGGCGGAAATTCGTTATGTTCCGCAAGTTCTACCAGCACAGCGAACCAAATACCGCTGGGAGAATTTCGACTCGAGTTTTATTAGATTATAAAATTTTTCCACATCCGCGCTCCACAACTTTTTATTATTTCTAATAAATTCGTCCTCTCGCACACAGGGCTTTTTTTTGTTCCACCGGTGGTAATTTACGTTTAATTTTCATTTTTCGCATACAAAATGCATCAAAACTTGAGGTTAACAAAAATACAGCCACTGGAAACATTTTGATAAATGTAATTCTAGTTGGTAATATATCCTCGTGATGATCTCGTGCCATCTATTCATCCTCGTGACTCTTATAAATCTTACACGAATATCGATCCATTGTCATCGTCTAGATGTAGAAGTTATATATCTCTAGCTCGGCGGATGGATTGTCATTGGGTTGCATTTGCATGAAACATCAATTTGCATTGTTTTCGGTTGAGATTTGCACATTCGGTAACCAAAAATATGCACAAATGAAAATAGCATTCATACATCAATAATTTGTGAACACGTTGTTTTCATTGTTGAAATTAATTACGGAAATAATTAATTAATAACCCGCCACAATTTGCACCAATGTGTGAATGTGGTTGTGAAAATAATAATTTGCCTGCTGCAGGTAATTAATTTTATTTTTTGCGCGCATTATAAAAAATTTATTGTTTGATAAATATAAATATAGATGGTGAAGTGCATCAAATATATTTATAGAATATATATGTTCGCAGCAAACATAAAATCGATTTCCAGCGATTTGCCGTGTTATGAATTAGTAACGAGAGCTTACTATTTATAGACTCTGATTTGTGGGGTGTGGATGTTCAATGGGCGGATGGGGCGTTTCGAAATGAAAAAAACCGAATCAAAACGGAAATCCTATTTACGTCTTTGACCTGTGCGTGCGAGTTGAGTGAGGACCATCTAACTAAATAATGTGTTTGAATTAGTGCCATTCCTTTATTTCACCTTTGCGACTCTGGTTGGGTAACTGACATCAAACGGCAAACCGGAAGTGAGCATCCGAGGAGTTTATGAATTAAATATTCTTTGTTTGTCGCGTTAGTTTTGAAAAAATGAGAGAAAATGAATTTAAATGTTTTTCTTTACAAAAAAGTAACCGACATCACAAGGAAAACCGGAAGTGAGGTTATGGAGAGTTAAAGAATTGAATATTTCTATGTTTTGCTAATTTTTAATGTTTTTATATTAGTTTTTGAAGAAATTAGGAAGAAATGAATTTAAATGTTATCGCAGTGTTGCAGTGTTTTTCCTTGCGCGAAAATTGTTATTCGGGAATTATTTTTACGCTGGCATATTACGATATACCTACTTTGAGGCACATTGGAAAGGTATAACGAGCGACTTTGTGTGTGCAATTGTGGCGTAATGCCGTAGATTTGAATGTAAACGGGAGCAAAGCCGGAAGGCTGAAATAACAAAATCAGAGGCGATCCACCGCCTTTCGAGTTTTGGCGCAGAATGCTGGATACACAGCCGCCCCGGTTTGCGTCGCCCGACAATGTGGACCGGTTTGGGACAATCCAACGACCGCACCGAAAGTAGGGAGCGTTTCCTCCCTCATTGCTTAACATTCTTCCGTCGTCGCGCGCTCCTTGCGCACTTTATACATGAATAATGCATTGTTGATTCGGACTCGACACTGAACAAAAAAAAAATTTAAAATTTTTTACTTAAATATTTCCCAATTACATATATATAACTGATGATTAATCACTTTATCTGTTGGAATAATTGATGGCGGATGATGAGTAGTGTTTTCTTGGCACAAATCATACGCTTTCCATCTTAAATATTCCGTGCAAGTATGTATGATCGGCGTACAAGTTCAAAAATTCATTAATAATAAAAGTTTCGCTTGTCAAGCATCGAGTATCGAAGAAAAAAACTTTTTAATGGAGATACAAGCGTATTGTAATAAATTTCGCGACTATTAATACAAGCGAGAGTGACAGGTGTCGTTTATATAAAATTCCCAAGGGTGAAAATTGTGTTGTGCTGTTGCAGGAGTTGTCGTCGCAGCTGCAGGATATTGATATACGAGCAAATGGATGGACCGCCTGGTCAGAGTGGTCGGCATGCTCTAGGTCCTGTGACGGCGGCGTTTCGCATCAATTACGCCGGTGCCAACTTGCAAAATGTCGCGGGGACCGTCTCCGATACAAAATCTGTAATATGCAGGTATACAGCAATCAATTCGAGTAAATATGAAGAGAATAATCATTGTATCACTGTCCAAATGTAGCCATGTCCAGAGATACATGAATTCCGTGAGGTTCAATGCGCCGGATTCAATTCCCAGCCGTATGAGGGCATCCATTATAACTGGCTGCCGCACTATGACGATGTGGAGCCGTGCGCGTTGACATGTCGCGGTAAACCCGCAGCCGGGGTGGATTATCCCAACGAGGATAATTCAATGCTGGTGGTAGCGCGCTTGTCCGACAAGGTGCACGACGGCACCAGGTGTCGTCCGGGCAGCCTCGATATGTGCATCAATGGAAAGTGTCAGGTGAGTCAATCAAAAATCAACCTTTCCGCAACTCACTCGCACCCGCCAGCATACGCGGCGTGTGCGCTAATGGAGTGGCAATGACAAGTGGGGATGCATAAAGCAGCAGTCAAGTTAAGTGGACGGAAAATGAAAACTGCAAAGCAAGTAGGGGAGCGTGGAATAAAAAAAAGCGCTCGCACGTGGAATTTCTCGAGCGCAAACATAAAGTCAATTTCGGTTTGTGATGTAAGGAAAATATACAACACTTAAGAATGTTGTAGCGCCACACTGATGGTGATGCGCACGGCATCAGCTATATTGCAGGACGAAACGAGCTTTACATATTTTAATAATTTTCTCTCGGCGCTAGCAAAACTGGGGAGAAAGTCTATCCTGCTTCCGCACGCATTCTCGGCGATGTGCGCTATAAAATTGCGGCGATAACGACTACGGGGATATAAGTAACGTCAAAGCCGGAAATACCTAGGCACTACATATTGCTACCTTCCTATTACTTCATTTGTGTGTGTGCCGTTGTACATTCTTATGATTTTGTCTCCTGTCTAATCATTTTTAAGCTGGGTGTGATATAGTGCACTAGACGCTAGTCTTTCATGAAGACCCGGATAGTCTAGTTCTAGTGACACTCGAGACTTTTCAAGCACTGGCGGTGCGGTGCGGATAAATTGAAAGTGTCCTTTAGTCACCACGATGCTTATTCTTCAATTTTTCCCAACAGCACATGCCGTTGCTTAGCAAAAAATCCTGTTTTACACTTCCGGTTTTTACTAAATTTTCTAAATGCTTGATTTACAGCGTGTGGGATGTGATCTCCGCATTGGATCCGAGAAACAAATCGACGCATGTGGTATTTGTGGTGGGGATGGCAGTTCCTGCAAACGACCTTTATACCATTGGTCTTTAGCAACGCTTTCCTTCTGTTCGGCAACTTGTGGTGGAGGTACAAGTTGTTTAAATTTAATTTTTAACATTTCATGATTTTTTTGTGGTTTTATTTTGCAATAGGTTACAAAATGTCGCGCTCTGTATGTTTAAATCGAGTTTCCGGCGAGGAAGTGGAGGAACAACTCTGCAACTTGATGCAGAAACCTGACGCCAGTGTTGTCCCATGCAATACTCATAGTTGTCCACCAAAGTAAGTAATACTTTTTATATAAAAATTATTTTTATGGATTTTAAAAATTTATCTACTAAATACCCTGTATACATATCCGTTTTGGGCTTTTTGCCGGGAGCGCTTGCGTCAACAAACCCTTCGATTCGCGAAAACTTTCTAGACACCCAACAGCAATCATTACATTAAGAACTCAATATTTCCAACACGGAACGAGAATTTGTCAAAGAAGCGAGATACTGCGTTGGCACGTAGTGCGAAGATTTCAAACTTGGCACATGTGTGTGTAGTCGTGGGTGTGTGTCAAGATAGAGCGCCCCCCGACGACGCAGGAGATAGAAAAATGCCTGTCGAAATTATGTATGACGTGAATTTCGCATGCAAATAACACGAGGTTTTTTTTTCGCATCTCGTTTTCAGGTGGCACGTGCTGGAGTGGGGCCCGTGTTCTGTCACTTGCGGCGGCGGATCGCGCCTTCGACAGGTGCACTGCGTCGAAGAGGCGAACAACACCAAGATACGCGTGAGTTTTAACACACAAGCACAACTAAATCAATCACAATCACATATTCCGGGCGCATTGTTCGCGAGGCGAGGCGAGGTTGACGTAATGGAGCAGACACGAAACTTGTTCATTATTTAGGTACCTGAAGGTGGCGCGGGAGGGTTTTGTGGGTTGCAATATACTCACGAGACATGAGATACGAAAATTAGTGGACCTGGCGGGTGAATTTTGCGACTTGTGCTCCCCTTTCACTTTGCCAACCGGATGATTGTTTCAATTTCGCGTGCGAGCTTTCACAATAAAAGCTTAGTGTTAGTACGAGTATGTAGAAGAGAAAGCCCTTTTACCTTTCAGCATGTCTCGGCCGTTTTTCATACTTTTTGCGGCTTGCTTCCATAAAAAGAAATTACTCGCTACCGTTTTGTGGCCAGACCTAGGCATCTAAACCTAGGGATCTTAAATATCTTCTTTTTTCTCGGGAACAAGCAATTTTAACTCGCTTTAACGATTCGAGTTCACTCCCAAAAGTCTCATTACCAACATCTGAACTACGTGAAGTAAACGTTCAGGTGCTAGTTTTGGAGTCTGGCGGATTCGATCGTCGATGGCGACTTTTGCAAAATATTAATTTGCTTGAGTGCTTTTCCATTGGCGGGCACCAAAAAGTCAAACGGAACGTAAAGTAGCTGCGTTTGCCTTTTCAATTTGCAAATCTCCTAAATCTTTTTGTATGAAAAGCGTAAAGAATGTAAACTTGTGGAAATGCCGTTTAAGCGAGTTTGCATTGCAAACTCTTCACTTATTGTTGATGTGGTGCGGCGGCGGGCGCGCGCCCGGAATGAAAAATTCACCTCGCCGCCGGAAAGTTGCACGCTTCGACTTGATTGCTACTTTGAATTATTCACTCTTCGCAGACAGGCAACCGGCGTGTTGTGTGCGCCGCACTCCATCATTATGCAGCGTGCACAGTTAAAGAAACACGTTTCTTTCAGTACCCTCTTGAGGTAATTGTTAATTTAGGCTAATCCACGCGCTTTTCTCTGCGTAGATAAACGAAGGCAAGTGTGGGGCACGCAAGCCGCACTTCCAGGAGGCTTGCAATCAGATCGACTGTCCAAAGTGGCACGCGTCCCAGTGGTCCGGCGTAAGTCCACCTACCAGGCCGAAATAATCCACCTCCTCTCTTGGTCTGATAAATATGTTTCCAGTGTTCGGTATCTTGCGGCGAGGGTGTCCAAGTGCGCGTCGTCGAGTGCCGGGATCACAAGGATAAGCCCAGCACATTGTGTCCGGAGCGCCTCAAGCCGACGGCGACGAAGCCCTGCTCGACCGGAATGCAATGTCCTTTCCACCTAATCGACGAGCATTCCAATGGTGACGAACTGCTGCCGGGATTGTATCACACCCAGCCGTTGATTCAACCATACCCGCCGCCGGCCCCCGCGCATGCTGAGCGTCTCGTCGGCGAGCAGACGGTGCCATCGGAGAGCACGTAAGTCACATGGAAGCAATTGCAATAATAAACAAACACTAGTTTACCCACTTGCGCAAACAAAACGCATTGTCAGTGTTGTTTGTAGAGCAATATCACAAATACACCACCGGATTACTTCACAACATAGTTACATATTGTTGTCCTTGCGTTCAAATTCGCTATGAATTATTTTACAACCGCAATTTTATCAAAATAGGCTCAACTTGCTTTTCGAAACTGTTTTAACTCGCAAACATTGCTGATGGGCAAAAACTGTTTTTGACATTACAAACATTACACAAACTTTATTTTTCATGATTTTCAACCGAATTTTCGATGAAATGCATTTTACCAAAGCCAATCCCAACAAAATACACTTGCGAATTATTTCAGTTTACTAATAGTGATATTATTTATTAATCAATTTCAAAATTTGAAGCTTCAGCAACAAAAAAGTCATATTTTTATTGTCCCTGTCTAAATGTAGCTGTGTGTGCCTTGTATTTTCAGCAATTTCAAAGTGTTCTTTGCCTGCGGTTGGGTATATGTGAGGTACAAATCTAAACAACTTTATTTCCATGCTACTTTCTTATATTCAACTAAACTATTCTCACAAGACACATTTTTCCAACATAATTTTTAATTCAGTATACAAAAGTTTCTACTCTTTCTTGCATAACCACTCTCACAAGTGCACTATAATGATTTATGTATACTCACATGTTTGACTCACACCGAAATTGTATTGCATTCACATGTTACAAATTCAAAGTGTACTTATGGCCGGCTGGCTATCGACGACAACCGTCAGGCATTAGTCAGAACGGATTAACCGCTGAGTGATTGCTCGCGTTTGAATTTGTAAAGTGATAGTTATTGAAACAAGAAATGAATGCGCTTTAAAATCCGATGTATGTTAATTTGTCTGCTCTGCCTTCGCCGGGCATAGTTTGGTTAATGATGAGATAGCACCCATTCCTCCCATTAGCATTAACGCACACTCTCACACACATACACATCGACTGATTGGCTGTTATTAATCATACACGCCAGCAATCCATCTTAGAAAGCGGATTAATCATGCACACGAGATGAAAACCGCCCGAGTCAATATCAATTATATTCTAAAATATGCATGTGCTCGCTGTTCCGGTTTGCCGGTGTCCATTACGGAGTCAGCGAGTACACATACTGAATTTTTAATCGCATACCGAATAAAAAGTGTTTACGTGACACCGCGTTGGTCGGGGGTTGATTTTCTACATGAAATAGCTGAGGGGGATAAATTGCGTCTGCACTGCTTTCATGAATCATTCACTGAGGAATTGCTCGCGCCTTCTCCACTGCACTAAACACGTCAATCTCGGACGTTCCGGATTGTACAAGGAGAATACGGAATAGCAACGCGTCTCTAGTAGATAAAATGCGTCGTGAGGGAATACATTTGCGCTAAAAACGACGACGTTTTAACAAGCTGCGTCTCACGAAGGTTCCATTTCTCGCATATCTCGTTGCCGATGCATTGTCACGTTTAATTATTGCACAGTTGATACGAACATGTATTTGTTTTCTCTGCACTAAAAACTCTGTACATATCTACATATTTGTTATCGATTTTCCCTCGTGTATAACAACGAGTTTACGCAACCGTACGTTATTGGAAGTATTTTATCGCAATAAATAAATAAATAAGTAAAGCGAGCATAAAGGTCCCCAGGCCACTTGTTCATGCTTTGCTGACTCGCAGTTTGTGCTTGCAGATTTATTCCGGACGAATGGGGACCCTGCAGCGTCTCATGCGGGGAGGGCGTCCGCAAACGCGAAGTGCACTGCAAGATATTTCTGGAGTTCTCTCGAACGATAGCAAAACTTCCTGATCGCCAGTGCAGCGGGCCCAAGCCGATCGAAATGGAGAAATGCTTTATGGAGCCATGCAGTTCCAGCTCGGAGCGCATCGACATCAAAGACGATCCGTATCGCCATGATTCGGTGATAAAAGTAGCGCCCGGCACGCCGGGTAAAACGTACTCATGGCAGGAGCAAGGATACACGCACTGCAGTGCGACGTGCCTGGGCGGCGTGCAGGAGTTGATCGTGAATTGCGTGCGAGACGACACGCAAAAGGTCACCTCGCCGTACCTCTGCCCGCGGGAGCTCAAACCGGAGATACTAATTAGGACGTGCAATGATCATCCGTGCCCGCCGCGTTGGAACTATTCCGATTTTCAGCCGTGCACGCAATCGTGCGGCATCGGGATTCAAACGCGCGAGGTGAATTGCATTCATGAGGTAACGCAGGGCGGCGGTAATACGGTCGTCGTGCCGAATAATATGTGCCCGCAGCCGCCGCCGCCCGATCGGCAATACTGCAATGTGCTAGATTGTCCGGTGCGGTGGCGCGTTTCCGAATGGTCCAAGTGCAGCAAGATATGCGGCGGTGGCGAAAAGACGCGCAAAGTGGAATGCAAACAGGTGATGGCACAGAATCACACCGTCGATAGACCGGCGACGATGTGCCCGATGCCAAAACCCTCCGATCGCAAACCGTGCAATACGAAAAGCTGTGCCCTGGACACCGACAAACCTATAATCGAGACTTCGAATAGTACGTTCATACAACACGACCCGAAAAAGAAGAAAATCTCGTTGAAAATCGGCGGGGCAGCGACCGTCTTCCACGGCACCATCATCAAAATAAAATGTCCGGTGAAACGCTTTAATCGCACCCGCATACAGTGGGCCAAGGATCACAACTACCTTCCAAAGACAAAGAAATACAAGACGTCCAAGAAGGGCGCCCTGCGCGTGCAGAATCTAACGTATCGGGATAGCGGTGTTTATACTTGCGTCGCCGGTCGTTCGTCCGCCGACTTGACGCTCAACGTCCGACCTAAGCCGGGCGAGTTTATCAACTCGGAAGAAATTCAACGGCAAACCGGTGGATATTCGAGGGACAGAGATCGGGGCCGGGACCGGGTGGATTTTGAAATAGCTGATAGACATCACGAGCGGGACGAAATGAATCCGATATTCGATGATCACAGTCATGAGCGTCGGCCGGATATGCCAAAGAAACAACCGAAGAAGATACCGCGGACAACAGCGCGTCCCGGCAAAACTGATTCGAACAGTTTGAATGCCTGGCAATTGCCAACCACGACTGCCAGATCCGATGACCAGGTTAGTCGTAAGCGGACGCGACCGACAAAAAAACGCAAACATTAACATTTTCGTTTGTCAACGTTGTTGTTTTTGTGATATATTTAAACTAGAAGTAGACATGTGTGTAGAAATGTGCGTAGTTATTTCTCTGATTAACCACATAATTTGTGTTCCTTTAACGCTGCTCTTTGTGGATATGTAAAATTAACAAATAATAAGCTGGTGCCGTCACACCTTCCGGCGAGCGCTACCGAGAAAGTCCCCGTGGTGGCTTCATCCGGTAGCAGGATGTTGCCACACTTCCAAAAACTAATTGCCAATCTACAGGTGAGGTTTCTACGCCCTAAAACACTATCAAGTGATAATAATACCCACGACAAATAACACTAATCATTGATTTATAAAACTTGCACTCTCTTGATCTCTACCTCCACCGACACTTAGGTAAACACTTTTATTGCATGCGCCACTCTTATATACTACTACTACTACTACTACAACTCCACATGTTTGTGTATAAATTCAATGCGCTTAAAGTGATTGCTTAATTAATAAGAAACATAGCAATTGTGGCCTTTCCAGACGTTCTCCAACTCGCGCGGTCACCGTATGGTGGCCACATTTCCCGACGAGGACCAATTGATGATTGACCAAACGCAACGTGATAGCAACGATGATGGATCCGTGGTGGTGCTGGGTAAAGGCCTGCCGGAGAATTTGAAATTCGAATGGGCGCTGACCGATTGGACCAAGTGCTCGGAGACGTGCGGAGGTAATGGATTTCAAATGCGCGCGGTGCATTGCATCGTCAAGCTGCACAACAAGAGCCAAGGCGTTGAGAATAATTTGTGCGTGGACGCCGGCTTGGAAGGACCGGACACGATCCGCAAGTGTGGCGTCAACGATTGTCCCAAATGGATTACGTCCGAATGGAGTACGTGCGAAGAGTCCAAGTGTTTCGCATTCAACAAAGGTACCATTGATAAACCTTGAATTGCCGAATTAGCTGATAATACAAATCTGTTTGTGTGGATTTTTGTAGCACTACAGCGTCGTGACGTGCAATGCATCCTGCCCGGCAACGTAACACTGCCAAACGAAAAGTGCGACCACCGTGAGCGACCTAACAACCGCCAGGAATGTACTTCTGAGAAGTGCGTCGGCAAGTGGCGGGCGGGTCCCTGGTCCAAGTGCTCAACCGCTTGTGATTCGCAGGGTGTCAAGTATAGAATTTTGCAGTGTGTCTGGAACGGCACGAAGAAGCCAGCTGGCTTTGCGTGCAAGGACGAACCGCGGCCGGCCGTTATGAAAACCTGCAAAGGGCCGCCGTGCGCCACGCTGAGTGAGTTTAATAATTAAATTTCCACCAGCGCTTATCCTTCATGCGGATTGTTGTGTGTGCTTATTTATTTAATCGTTTCAGGACAGGAATGCGCCGACCATTCAATATTTTGCCCCAACGTCAAGGCAATGAGCATGTGTCGCCTCCACCGATATCAGCAGCAATGCTGCGAGTCGTGTACGCTCAATTGAAACACAAGGATGTGACGACGCCTAGGACAATGTAGGAAATTAACGCGAGGCTGCGAGTGTGTAATCAAGTGTATAAATTAAGCGCGGTGGCATCGTTGCGGAGAGAGAACTGTAAATAGATTCAAATATCAACGTGCGTTGGTTGCGATATTAATAAAATGTTGTTGATGGTTTGGATGAAGAAATGTGCCGTGCACAGTATAATAGTATTATATTATAGCAATATTAGGAAATAACTTGGTGAACAGTGGACACAAACATACAAAGGATATATCTACGAAAATATATGCATGCATATATTTACTGTACATATTTTCAAAGACTGAATTATTTGTTATAAATTAATTTTCGTTGCGTTAAGTATTTAGTTAGTCCAAGGAACTTTCATGAAACTGACTCAATGAGTGTTTTAACAAATTGTTTATAGCCGAGAATTGAAATGTCAGAGATTGGTTCATCCCAATCCCTCATTGCATATTCAATCAAGAATCCTTTCAGCTTTCCGCTGCATAATGAAAATCATATTAATAATTTAACACCAAATATATACAAACCGTTTCGGATAGCTTCAGGAATCTTTTTCAATGAATATTTCAAACAGGGTGTTAAATAAATCACAACTCAAAGTTTTTCTTTCAATTTCTAGACGTATGCCAGCAGTTGCCATTTGCGATGATTCTTTTTAAACCCTCCTATCTTATGCCTTGCAATGCTAGTAACTGAAAGTTCTGCATTTTAAAACAATACAGATTCCCTATTTATTAAACTAATATTTACGAAGCGTAAGCAACCAATAAAAGTAAACTATTGATATTTAAAATATGAATGATTACCAAGCAGTTGTTAAAGAAAAACGAAACTATTATGAATTAACACAAATGTATCGAATGTATATCGTGCAGTATCCTTGCCTATATTGTCAATGAGAAGTGCAACCTCGTTGAAAATGAAGAATAATAAAGAATTCGTGGCTTCCATTACTTGCTGGCAACACTTGTAAAAAATGTAACAGCTAACAATTAAACTAAGGGTAAGATTACAACGTTATAAGTCAGTATAGTATCTACATCAAATATTTAAGTTAAAACACTATGGCTTGACATAAATAACGATATAAGTAAACTAACTATCATGTTATTTGATAGACACATTAGTAGGATCATATTGTGCTTCATCCAAAAGCAAATGAATTACCTAACAAACTAAAATAATCATTTTGTTATAATACAACACTAATGTAAACTGTAAACTATGTATTGTATTGCGCGCAATGAATCCGGACGCTAAGTTTATCACTTAAACGAATGTTGTTTCTTTATTGAGAATGTGCTAGTTGCAAGTGCGGATAGTTATATTAATGTTAGAGCAAAGACCACTACCTATTGTTATGACTAATTATTTTTACCGTCAAATGTAGGTATCTCTTGTAAGATAGTACTAGACTAATAGCTCAAGATTTATGGTGTGGTATTATGCGATTTATTTGGTTCGGATTCGGAAACAATGTAAACGAATTTAGACGTAAAGCAAACAACCCTTTTCCTCATCCTGTTACTAAAATGATATAATAAACTCACACCTATAATTGTTTAATTTCATCTATGCTTTGGAAGTGACTTTACTAGGAATGTAGGTATCATTGCGCATGCCTGAGTTAGATTCTCTTGCGTTCCACTTGGCGCATGGTATCTACAGCATAATATCCAAGTTAGAAACATGAGTGAAGAAGGTCTGGATGTGAATAGTCTGCTAAACATGCAACAAAGCAATCAGAACCAAAGAGAAGTCCAAAGCAGAACCGCTGTTAACTCACCTGAGGGATATTTGAATCCTGTGAGTAATGGAACTGTAAGTAGGCCGTATTATTATTATTAAAACAACTATAATATTTATTTAAACTTACTAAAAATAACATAAAACGTTTATAACGACGAGTTAGCACAATTTCGAGTCAAATATTTACTTGTTATAATAAAATTATAATTTTGTTCCCAATGAATGATTTATACACCCAGTTTAATTTCAAGGTTCTTGATTTAAAAAAGTTTTTTACTAGATTTGACCTTGGAATTAAACTGGATGTATAAATCATTCATTGGGAACAAAATTATAATTTTATCATAACAAGTAAATATTTGACTAGAATTTGTGCTAACTCATGATTTTAAACGTTTTATGTTATTTTTGATAAATATAAATAAAGTTTATAGTTGTTTTAATAATATTGCAACAATATTGAATATATGTAATACCAGGTATAAAGAGCTGTATGTTGGGTTGCCTACATTATAACTGCAAATTCTTAATTTCTCACTCCTCCAGGTTCTTGATTTTAAAAACTTTTTTACTAGATTTGACCTTGGAATTAAACTGGGTGTATAAATCATTCATTGGGAACAAAATTATAATTTTATCATAACAAGTAAATATTTGACTAGAATTTGTGCTAACTCATGATTTTAAACGTTTTATGTTATTTTTGATAAATATAAATAAAGATTATAGTTGTTTTAATAATTTTGCAACAATATTGAATATATGTAATACCAGGTATAAAGAGCTGTATGTTGGGTTGAGTTTCTACCAAAGAACCCACAACATGGTCACTCAGAAACCTGCGAAAGTATGGATTTGATAGTAAAATCTTCAGTTTTGAGTGTGGAAGACGCTGTGCCACTGGCGAAGGCATATTTGCATTCAAATGCAAGAAAGCTGAGCAATTATTCAATCTTCTACACTGTTTAGGTGCTTAGCCTTGACTGGTCGTCAGGTGGTGGGTACAGAACAGTTGGCCGCGAGACGTGTCGCCACGAGGCTTCGTCGTCAGAATAATTCAAGTTTCTAAATAATTGATGTGTAAATTTACGGATTAACTGGAAACAAACGTGTTTACTATTGTGCTAGTGATTAAACACACGTAGGAACTTGGTAAACCGGGTACATTTGTTATTAAGTGATATTTACAAACGTACCATGCGTTTGTAGCATCAATTTCCTACGTCCTGGCGAACGTATAAATGCTGGTGATCGCGAATTTGGTCACACCGATGGATGTTGCACCGATACATACAAACTTGTTTGCTAACATTTTATTTACAAGCTATCAAATCGTTTGATTCTATTAGGTTTCTTTGGATTCTGTACAGCATAAGTCAAGATGATGATCATCGAGTACCAATGGGACTACCATCTTTCGTCTTACTGAATAGCTTAGGAAATAGTGTTTATTTCAAGCAGTAGTAAGTTTATAATATTGTGATCATAAATTTTACAAATTGTGTTAAAAATTGCTTTTGTTACAGTTGTGCCATGGCTAACAAATGAAATAGTTTGGAACTGGGAACGGCAAAGGGTGGTTTTATGTCCAGCTGCACATCGAAGCCAACGTGAACAAGGGGTTGATGAAATACTGGGAACATTTTGATTGTTATTGTTATTTATATTATTAACATACAAATTATACTTGCATATATATGTTAAAATTAATTTATTGGTCCTTTTGTGGATTGAAGTAATTAATATGACTTGATGTATGAATATGAATATAATTTATATTATTAATCACTTTTGTTTTATATTGTATTTAAAATGTTACCCCTTTATGTCAATTTCAGGTAGAAAAGTTGGTTTTCTTTTCTTGAAACCCTTTAAAGGGCCTTCAGGAACTATTGTAGCCGGAAGTTCCCTTAAACTTTATGATTCTGTATTAAATGCACTTTCAGAATCCAAAATCAGAGTTGAAATATTCAAATTTTTAAGTTATGTCATTAAAAGTGTCCTAAAATGCCCTTTCAAAACGACTTTTAAAAGTTATTTCCTATTTTTTGATCGAAGAGCAGAGCTAAAGTAATTTAGTTAAATTAGTTTGCCTCGAAGAACCGGGCCGAACTATTTTGTTAAAATTATTTTCGTTCGAAGATGCCTCGAAAAAGTTTTCATCACAAAAAAGGCAAAAGATTTCACTTTTTTATGTCGAATGCTGTATTCATTAAAATTGCAAATAGGGCCTAAACGGTTAACGTTAGCAAAAAAAGTTACTAAAATAATCGATGTAGAATTAAATTTTGTATCAGAAACCGAAAACAAAATTTAAAAATTCCAACATTTAATTTTCAACATAAAAAAGAGAAATCTTTTGCCTTTTTTATAACAAAATCTTTTTCTTAAAAATTTTTTGTGCCATTTTTATCATTTTTCAATAAGGATGCCATCCTGTACAGAATTTTTCAAGGATCAAGAATATGAAGTTGTTTTTCTTCTAGCTCATATAGTTGTCGAGATAATTACGATTTAATCTTCTAATTAGAAATGTTGAAAATTAAAAATTAGAATTTTTAAATTCTGTTTCCGGTTTCTGATACATAATTTAATTCTGCATCGATTATTTAAGTAACTTTTTTTGCTTACGTTATCCGTTTAGGCCCTATTTGCAATTTTAATGAAACATGTGCATGCCGTCGGAATAGTCTAATTTACAGGATTAAAATGGTAATTATCTCGACAACTAGAAGGGCTAGAGAAAAAAGAACATCATATTCTTGATCCTTGAAAAATTCTGTACAGGATGGCATCCTTATTGAAAAATGATAAAAATGGCACAAAAAAATTTTAAGAAAAAGATTTTGTTATAAAAAAGGCAAAAGATTTCTCTTTTTTATGTTGAAAATTAAATGTTGGAATTTTTAAATTTTGTTTTCGGTTTCTGATACAAAATTTAATTCTACATCGATTATTTTAGTAACTTTTTTTGCTAACGTTAACCGTTTAGGCCCTATTTGCAATTTTAATGAATACAGCATTCGACATAAAAAAGTGAAATCTTTTGCCTTTTTTGTGATGAAAACTTTTTCGAGGCATCTTCGAGCGAAAATAATTTTAAATAATTTTAAAAAATAGAAAATGATAAAAGTGGCACAAAAAATTTTTAAAGAAAAGATTTTGTTATAAAAAAGACAAAAGATTTCTCTTTTTTATGCTCGAAATTAAAAGTTGAAATTTTTAAATCCTGGTTTCGAATTCTGATAGACAATTTAATTCTACAATTATTTTAGTAATTTCTTTTGCTAGCATCAACCGTTATGGCCCTATTTGCAATTAGCCGTATTTAAAAGGTCCAATAATACGCTGCATTTGCTGAATAAAGATTTTTAAACATTAATTTTACCCGCCATTACTAGTTACCGCCTCCTTCATTTACCTCCTCTCGCTTTCTGCGATCCGAATACCAAAACCTGAGTTTCGACTGTTTCGAGTCCAAATTTTGTGTCATTTTGCCTCTGAGAGTCGACAAAATAAAGATTGAATATTAGGATCGCAGAAAGTTGAGGAGGCTGATAAAGTTTTCGCGGCAACTAGTAATGTGCTGCCTCTAGTGGCGACGAGCCGAAGTTTATATTTGAAATTGTTGTAGTTTCCAATAAATAGAGGGCGCTAGCATGCACTTTTCATAATAAATGATTTAAGGAATCGGTAAATATGTGATCGGGTTGAAATAACAGCAATAATTATAATCAGAAAAACTTAAAAAATATTCTTTATTAAAGAAAACACACAAGCATACATTTTTGGTAGTCAATTTATGTAATAATCACAAAAGTTATTTTAGATAATAATAAAGAAATTTAATATTTACAATAAAATGCAAGAATGGTCCTTTTACGATGTCAGACTCAGGCGCAAAATCACTAAAACAAGCAAAAATTAGTCCTTCGAACATAAAAATGCAATTTTGGGGGTTAATTTGTGAGATAATTACAAAAGTTATTTGGGAAAATGATAAAGAAATTAAATACTTACAATCTGATGCACGAATGGTTCTTCTACGATGTCAGACTCAGGCGCAAAATCCCTAAAACAAACAAAAATTAGTCCTTCGAACATAAAAATGCAATTTTCAGGGTTAATTTGTGAGATAATTACAAAAGTTATGTGTGAAAATGATAAAGAAATTAAATACTTACAATCTGATGCAAGAATGGTTCTTCTATGATGTCAGACTCAGGTGCAAAATCCCTAAAACAAGCTAAAATTAGTCCTTCGAACATAAAAATACAATTTTCGGGATTAACTTGTGAGATAATTACAAAAGTTATGTGTGAAAATGATAAAGAAATTAAATACTTACAATCTGATGCAAGAATCGTTCTTCTACGATGTCAGACTCAGGAGCAAAATCCCTAAAACAAGCAAAAATTAGTCCTTCGAACATAAAAATACAATTTTCGGGATTAACTTGTGAGATAATTAAAAAAGTTATGTGTGAAAATGATAAAGAAATTAAATACTTACAATCTGATGCAAGAATCGTTCTTCTACGATGTCAGACTCAGGTGCAAAATCCCTAAAACCATCAAAAATTAGTCCTTCCAACATAAAAATACAATTTTCGGGATTAACTTGTGAGATAATTACAAAAGTTATGTGTGAAAATGATAAAGAAATTAAATACTTACAATCTCATACAAGAATGGTTCTTCTACGATGTCAGACTCAGGTGCAAAATCCCTAAAACAAGCAAAAATTAGTTCTTCGAACATAAAAATGCAATTTTAAGGGTTAATTTGTGAGATAATCACAAAAGTTATTTAAGAAAATGATAAAGAAATTAAATACTTACAATCTGATACAAGAATGGTCCTTCTACGATGTCAACTCAGGTGCAAAATCCCTAAAACAAGCAAAAATTAGTTCTTCGAACATAAAAATGCAATTTTAAGGGTTAATTTGTGAGATAATCACAAAAGTTATTTAAGAAAATGATAAAGAAATTAAATACTTACAATCTGATGCAAGAATGGTTCTTCTACGATGTCAGACTCAGGTGCAAAATCCCTAAAACAAGCAAAAATTAGTCCTTCGAACATAAAAATACAATTTTCGGGATTAACTTGTGAGATAATTACAAAAGTTATGTGTGAAAATGATAAAGAAATTAAATACTTACAATCTGATGCTAGAATGGTTCTTCTACGATATCAGACTCAGGTGCAAAATCCCTAAAACAAGCAAAAATTAGTCCTTCGAACATAAAAATGCAATTTTGGGAGTTAGTTTGTGAGATAATTACAAAAGTTAAAACAAAACACTTAAAACAACTTGAATAAATATGCACACCAAACAGGATCAAATATCACCACTTTTGTTCAATAATGTACAATAAACGCATAAATAGTAGGTAAATAACATTACTATAGTTTCGAATTACAATTAAATAGTCAACTGTGCAATTTTTTTACATTTGACACTACATATATGCGATCTAAACTATACTAAAATGTGCTGTATGCGGCAAATGGCAATGGCGTGAGAAGATGACAAGGACAAACAAGGAAAATCATTTTCTCGCAACCAATTTCAATACAGGGAGATACAAAATTAAATTCTGCATCAGGGAAATTTATTCCGAAGTTTTCGTGACACTGCGTTCGCCTGCTATACGGAAAAAAAACTACAATTTCTAGAGCAACGAGTACTACAGCGCACACACCCAACTTTCAATATAACTTGCGCCACAGAATTTTCTGGCAATAAATTTCAATACAGGGAGTTACAGAATTAAATTCTGCATCTGGGAAAATTATTTTGATCTTTCTGTGACAGCGCGTTCGCGTGTTATTCAGAAAAAACTACAATTTCTAACGCAACGAGTAATACGGCGCATACACACAACTTTCAATATAACTCGCGTGATGAAATTTCTCGTAAACTAAAAGAGATAAATAAGATCTGATCGCAGCGTCTTAATCTACGGACCAATCTCTATCAGATAGGACAGTTAAAAGGGAAATCTGAGAGATGAAATTTTAAGTCTTAAGAAAAAATTGCCAAGGGGGGGTGCTTGATACTTGATACTTGATTGGAAAATTCTCTATCAGATAAAAATATAAAATAATTATATTTCCTACAGTACAAGGTCGAAAAACGCGACTAAAAGTGCTAAAAAGTGACATTTTGCAATTTTTGCCCATTTTATTCAATCGCGAATATCTCGTAAACTAAAAGAGATAAATAAGATCTGATCGCAGCGTCTTAATCTACGGACCAATCTCTATCAGATGAGATAGTTAAAAGGGAAATTTGAAAAAATAAATGCTTGATACTTTTTTTCGACGATTTTCAAAAATTAATATCTCTTAAACTAAAAGAGATAGCTACCAACGAATTGTTGATTATGAAAGATTGGAAAATTCTCTATCAGATAAAAATATAAAATAATTATATTTCCTACAGTACAAGGTCGAAAAACGCGACTAAAAGTGCTAAAAAGTGACATTTTGCAATTTTTGCCCATTTTATTCAATCGCGAATATCTCGTAAACTAAAAGAGATAAATAAGATCTGATCGCAGCGTCTTAATCTACGGACCAATCTCTATCAGATGAGATAGTTAAAAGGGAAATTTGAAAAAATAAATTTTAAATCTTAAGAAAAAAATCGCCAAGGGGGGGTGCTTGATACTTTTTTTCGACGATTTTCAAAAATTCATATCTCTTAAACTAAAAGAGATAGCTACCAACGAATTGTTGATTATGAAAGATTGGAAAATTCTCTATCAGATAAAAATATAAAATAATTATTTTTCCTACAGTAAAAGGTCGAAAAACGCGACTAAAAGTGCTAAAAAGTGACATTTTGCAATTTTTGCCCATTTTATTCAATCGCGAATATCTCGTAAACTAAAAGAGATAAATAAGATCTGATCGCAGCGTCTTAATCTACGGACCAATCTCTATCAGATAGGATAGTTAAAAGGGAAATCTGAGAAATGAAATTTTAAGTCTTAAGAAAAAATTGCCAAGGGGGGGTGCTTGATACTTTTTTTCGACGATTTTCAAAAATTCATATCTCTTAAACTAAAAGAGATAGCTACCAAAATTGTTGATTATGAAAGATTGGAAAATTCTCTAGCAGATGAAAATTCAAAATAATTTAATTTATTGGAGTAAAAGGTTTAAAACCACGACTGAAAGTGCTCAAAATTGAATTTTTCCAATTTTTGACGATTTATTTCAATTGTGAATATTTCGTAAACTAAAGGAAATAGAAAGGAACGAATGACTGAGTCTTAATTTACGAAAAATTCGCTACAAAATATGCTAGTTAAATTGAAAATCTTGAAAATGAAATTTTAATTCATAAGAAAAAATAGGCAACTATAGGCAGCTATACTCTACCGCTACCCTTATACGGTGCCCTGAACACGAGTCACTTCTATCGACACCCTGCTACGGTAAACCGAATGAGATTCAACTATATAATTACGATTAATTGCAATATAACTAAATAAACAAGGAAAAATCAACGTTCTTGACATTCGAGTCAACAAACGATAATAGTGCATATCTTTTAAACTAAAAGCGTTCGCGACCAACGAAAGTTATGAAAGATTGGAAAATTCTGCATTAGATAAGAATTTTAAATAATTTAATTTCGTGGGATAAAAGAACCAAAACGTGACTAAAAGTGCAATACATCACCTAATTATGTCCGACCCTACCAGTCGTCTAATTTGTGTCACAGGTAGGTAGTTCGTGATAAATAGAAAACTTGTTGATAAACAGCAAATGTAAATTTGACCGAAAAATATAATTGAATTATAAACATACCAGTGTACAGCTTATCGGACTGCCAAGCACAACGAGTGCTGTAACTAAACAAAAACATATATTAAAACAAAAATATTTCATACAATTGTATTATGTTATAATTAACAATCAACACAAAATAAACAATGTGGGTGTGTTGTTTAGTTAAAAAATACTTACACGAGCCTGATGGATCTTTCTTAATGATGAGAATCAATATGGAGGTGATATATATCCGATTAATTTAGTAACCGACACCACACACAACGCCGAGTGAAGAATGTTATCAAATCCACTATCACGTAACTTGTAATATACATTACAAACGCAATCAAAAACCGGCATTTCCGAACATTAAACAAATTACTATAGTCGCAAAGTACAAATAAATAGTCGATTGATCTTCGAGTATAACACAAATTTAGAATATTGAAGTCCGAATAAACAATATAAGTATCTAAACACAACTGGTTTAAGCAGCGACCGGCACGAAACTGGCTGCAATGCACTGATAGTGCATGCCGAAACTGCGTAAACATCGACGGGACAGTATATGATAAGAAAGCAAGAGGTGCGCAAATACGGCGCGTCGACGGCACGCGACCTTGTCCGCGAATTGCAATAGATGCGCAAAGTCGGCTGCGCGTTGATCGCACGCGACCTCGCCTATTTCGAATTTGCAATAGGCACATTACCTGTGATCTAAACAAACTAAACCAGACTTCGCTGTATGCAGCAACACGAAGTATAGATAAAAGGAGTCCGAACGGTATAGGCTTTTTCGTCGTAGTCATGGTTCACAATTATATACAAAGCTAATAGTTCACCTTTCTGCCACTGGGTGCGCTTGAATCACTAGTGAATCGATGTACGTTGGTTCGTGTTCATAGCAACATTGAAACAATTTGTTTACATGACGTTCGTGTGTTTAGATACTTCGTGATTATTATTACACATGAACACGTGCTGGATTGTGAATGTTTAATTGAATTCAATTAAATTTACAAATACATTTTTAACTTTTATATGTATGTATACATTAATTTGAATTGGAACGTGATAGTATTATTTTTTTGAACTAATTTATTTATTGAAAATTAGTAGTGTTGAAAACATGGGAAGGTGTTGTGCTATTCCAGGATGTTTTAGTGGCCGAAAGACTAGTGAGAAGGTAGAAAAAGTAGTTTTATTCAAAGCACCAAAGGTGAGTAATATCTTTGAAAAATATGTGTTATAAACAATTAATTTATAACTAATAGCCCTAAGATTTAAAAATATGTTGTAATCTCATGTATCTTGTGAAATATTGGCGGTGTCCATAGTAATGTAAGTATTTAAACGCGTACACTAACGCATAGTGGCGCGCTCTATTGGCGAATGTTTGGTCCCCTAGATCGTGACCATTAATTTAACATGACGTTCGGACTCCTTTTATCTATACTTCGTGGCAGCAAGTTGATGCGGCGCTAGGAGACAGCGCGCGGGACACATGCGTAAAAACGTTGTTTACACCGAATCGCAGATAACAGCATGGTATACAAAGCTATTCTCGTGCCCACGTTTGTCGATAAATATAAAAATAAGCCGTATAACTCGATTTTATGATTTTTAGTGCATCCTAGTGCCATCTATGAATGCGACAGATACTAGTCCCACAATTTAGACAATTATATTCAATAATTAATGTTTCCACGTGTTTCCACTTTTGTATGTAGAATCCAAAAACAGAATTTCATCAATTCATCGAATGCAGTTTTCTTTGAAATTGCAAATAAAGCCTAAATGGTTAAGGTTAGCAAAAAATAGTTACTAAAATAATCGATGTAGAATTAAATTATCTATCCGAATCCGAAAAAAGAATTTAAAAATCCAAGTTTTAATTTTCAACATAAAAAAGTAAAATCTTTTGCGTTTTTTGTGACAAAATCTTTTTCGAGGCATCTTCGACCGAAAATAATTTTAATAAAATAGTAGTAATATTTTGTGATATTGTATCAGATTCCAACAAAAACTATTGGTATAGCAGATAGAGGAAATTATTCACTAGAAATAAGAAATAAATAAAAAACTCTAGCAGAAAATATGTTTAATTATGTTTTTTATTTTGCAAGATTGCAATATTATAACAACACCACAATATAAGTAATAAGTAAATACATATCAAACTCATATTTATTGTATTATGGCAGAAGTTTGGATAGAACTGACGTGGGATCAAGAACTGGAAGAAAGAATAGTAGGACAAACCTAACTCGTTCCTTCTTCCTCTTCTGTGATTGGAAGAGCACTAGTTGCAAGCTGATGCATCACCTTTACGGGCTCACTCACGTATCCCTTGTCCTTCAGCTCCTTCCCCACCAATCACAGCGGATCGACGGCAGGTAGAAAATGGTATGATTGTTCCAGCAGTCTAGTCGCAGGTTCTTCTCTCCTCTCTCGGTGCATCAATGTGTTCGTGATTTACGAATCTAATGTACAACAAATCACTTTAATATATAGAAGACATCATAATTTATTTAACAGTCTTTAGAAAAACAACTAAGATAGCATTTACAACGCACCCAAAAGTTTTAGCATTGGTTCTGTCAAGTGTGAACAGCCGTACCAAAAGGAAACAAAATTCTTACTCATTTAATTGTTTATCATCATAAGGGTAAATCCACCAGTCAACCTTTCAAAACTTCATTTTATCATTAAACTCCAAATATTTGGCAAATAAAAATTTTGAAACATAATATATGTAATAAGCATCTCTATACAATGACTAAAAAGATACAAAATGTTTATAATTATTACATATTTATAACTTGTGTGTTAAAAATAAACTTATTATTTTGGCAAAGAAAAAATCATAATCATCAAATATTCGGCAAACACTCATTAACCGGTAGTCAAAAACGTGGATTCCATTCATGTACTCCATTTTACTGAACGTCAAACTTGCTCCTTCACAATCGCAAGTAATTGGCTTATAGTTTCTTCAAGTAGTTTTAAATATTTCATTGCATCCTTTGACTTGGCTTCGTCCGTGTTGATACATGAAGTTTCATTCATTGTTTCGGAATCACTCTCGCTCTTATCAGTTTTGTCCTCGATTGTATTCGCTACACTTTTCGACGTGCTTGGTTTTGCTTCTTCGCCGGGATGTGCCCCAGTGGTTGATTTTTCTATTAAAAAAATTAAATATCACATTTTTGCTCCAAATTTAAACTCGCGGATAACGTAAAGAAATTAAAATACACACCTTTCACTTTATTCTTATCAATTTCAGCTTCAACTATCGTTTGTAGTTGATTCAGCGTCCCAACTAACATATTCGGAGGCACAGCCTCCGGACTCTTATACACCAATATCAAAGCGCGTAAATCACTCGCCAATTGTTTCGCTCGCTTCTTCAAATCAACGCCGCCAACTTGTTCGCTTAATGATACAACTGTGTTGTCAATCATTGTCAACGTTTGCTCGGACAAAACATGCGCAGATACCTAGAAAACAAAATTATAGCAACAAAAGTATGATTTATTAAATATTTGTTACCTTTGGAAAGAAAGTTGTTAAAAATTCGTAGATGACATCCACCAACAGCGCTATCCTTTCGTCCAACAGAACCGCATCAATATAATCAACAAAATAATTACACGATGTAAGCATATTAATGTATTTCCGATCAACATGCTGCACACGCAAAACATCCAGCCACAGCTTCGGGAAAAACATCGAATGAAGTGGCACCGCCTCAAAGCCCACCATTGCGCTTAATGTTACCATCACATCGGATAGAGTGTCGGAGTTCACAGCCAATCTGCACAACATGTCAATAAATTCGTGGTACGGTGTGTAGAACTTATCCAAGGCTTCGTCGTAATCAGAATCAACGCCTCTTGCACATTCAAGCTGACTTTGTGGCACCGTCATTTGCACCATTGGCCTTAATGGCCGCGCGATGCCTTTGCCGCCAACTGCTGGTAAACTATGACCGCGTCGTGGAAAATACGGACCCAGCGGAACCGCATCATGACTATCTTGAAATGCTGAATGACAATGAGACAACAGAGGTACAAGTATTTGCATTGCTTCGTTTGGCATGATGAGGACAAATTCTTTCAGGATTTCTAAAAGAAAACCACAAATAAATTAACTAAAATAACATAATTGAATAATAAACATACCAATACAGAATATTCGCATGTCTGGAGGATTATAAGTGTTCAAAAGTGATGCTAACTTTCGAAGTACTTCAATCCAATCCTTACAAGCCAGTAGAATACCCCGCGAATCTTTTGAATCTCGATAAAGCCTCACGCATCGCACGAGATCCATCATTATCGCCAACACTTCCAATAATTCACCGGACACGTGACACGCAGTAGCCTCATGCAGCATAACATGTAGATTTTGAAATGCCTAAACAAAATAAATCATTAGAACAAACAATGTTGAATATTTGAAATAAATTACATCAAAAACTATTTGCAATCCGCCATTATACACCACATAAAGTTTATCGTCGTTACTTTCGACGAGAATTCGAAAAGCCGAAATCAATGTCGTCCAGCTCGTCCTTCCATCCAAACTCTGCAAGTATGTTATCAGAGTTGTACGCCTGAAACTCGAGATCTCTCGTTGATCTGTCTCGGAACAATCCGGACTCTTCATGACCATCAATTGCATAAGTTTAAATAATTCCTCGACTGCATTCGGATATTGTGATGGATGCGGCGTGATATTCTTGAACGCCCATTGAAGATTCTGATGTTGTGCAAGTTGTCGCGTGAAAATGCGTGAGAGTTGACACATCATTCGTAACAAGCCATAGTATGCAGGTAACATTGCTCTGTTGTACACAACAATATCTTGATCTTCATGATCAGCCCTATAAAATACAACGTTGAAGATAAAACAAATTTTGTGCTTTGAATATAATCTTACAAGATATAATTGAATGCAATGTTCTTCGTGACGTGCGCGTTTTGTAGCATCAATTGCACGTTTTCCGGACAATCCGTACAAACGTGATTCCAAAACGCCAGCACGGCCTGCTTGTTGTGATGCGCTGGAATGGACGGCTCCGACAATTTCGGATGAAACAAATGCCACAGATGTAAGAAATACTGTCCGAATAAAAGTTTCTCCGTTCGCGATATGCAACAATACATTAAGAGAGCAAAAAACGTTGTGAGTTTCATTGTGCCATGTTGTTGCATGTCGGTGTAATGTTTCGCAGGCGTCAGTAAGCGTAACAAAGCCGTGTAGATTTGATGCAGAATATTGAGCGCTTCGGGAGTCAATTGTGGCTCACGATGCATTCGATGTGTCGCTCGGAAACCCTGCCGGAATTGTGAACTTGGCACCAACGACACAATCAAAAATCCCGCAGCTAAAAAGAAATAATTTCAACTTGTGCGAAATAAAATTATTGATAATTACCATTTCTAACACGTTGATTGCCATGCGCGATGAGAAAATGTTCCAGCCAGGAATCCAACGATGATAAAACCCATTGATGGACCAATCGACTCCGCGTGACTTGTAAAGCTAACCAGTCCAATGCGGAACATGGACAGCATTCGGCCGCTTCCCATACTCGTTGCAAAACTAATTGAGTAAAGCATGGCAGTCCCGACGGCCCGCCGGGACTTTGATTCGAACCCTCGGTGAGCAAAGTTAACAATTTAAAAAATGGCTGACAAGACTGCAATTGCAAATCAACATTATTTCCGACCATTCTATCGTCCATAAATTCACTTACGTCCGAATTTCGATTGATTGCCTGTGAGAGCATGCCAATGATGGACGTGGCGAGTCGTTCATTGCCGCGACAAATCGAATGTATCAAATGCTTCGTCTGCTGTAAATTGATATTATCTTTAATCTGCTGGTACAGAAAGGGGAATCCCTTGCCGCCCGCAACGGCATTGTAGTCTTTAATACTGAGCTTCAGTCTTAAATCGGTGTCGCGGCTCTTTTCGACCAGCGACGCAATCAGCGTGATCATTTTGTCCAGGGACGCAGGTTTGTACTTGTCGGTGGGTAACGCAACCACCTCTTCTTCCTCTTCGCCTTCGCTCACGTCGACAAAATCATGCACTTTGTGACCGAGATAAAAGTCGATCATTGTGTGTATAGCACCAACTGTAAGTAGAAACTTCGATTCGTCCTCGCCCATTCTGCTAAACTCGAATAGAAAGCCAAAATATTCCGTTAAGTGCTTAAGATGCGCTTTTGCTCCATGTTCCATCTAAAAATAACATAAAAGTTAATATTTTTACCCGAAAAACGCAGTTTTAAGAATATTTACCAATGATAAAAGTTTTTTCACAAACTTGGTGACACAAGATGCGTTCCCAATCTTAGACGGATCAACATTCACGATTTCATCATCGCTAGAACTCGACTTGCTATCACATTCAACATCCTCATCAACGATTAGATACAAAGGAGAATGCGTTTGTTTCAAACGCTGCACCACATGAATACACAGCCGCTGGAACATTTGACGTACGATTTGATTCGGGCATTTAAGTAACACTTGCACCGGCCACCATGTGTCATTCGCCATGTGTTCCAAGAACCACGTGCACGCTTCCTGGCACGCGTTGAATTGCTTAGTCACCAGTTCCACCCACTGCACCATTGTTGGTTTTTCTTTGGCGTGGATAAACGTCTCGATGAAGAATGACGTGGATAATTCAGCAGAGCGTTGTGTAATGTCTGGTCGTAATGGCATGAGAGTTTTGGGAATGTATCCACAAATTTGCCACATAAAACTTTTAAAAAACAAAATTAAGATAAAATTTAATAAAAATAATATTAACTTACTTGAAATAAGTATGTTCAAAGATATTTTTATCTTGAATAAAGTGCATGTTATCCTGCCAGATCCAATCTTCAAGTTCCTTACTCAATTCAAACGTTGTGGATGTAGAAGGCGTCGATAAAAATGGCGGCTGTAAATTAGTTTCAAGCGTAGTAGAAGCACAATCAACATTTTCGCCCGGCGTCGGCGGGGATTTCTCATAAAATAACATATAAGCACTGTTTGTTTTCTCAAAACTAAAATCCATAAACTTATCCGTTACGCTGTCATACGTTTTACTCTGAAACAAACACAAACCATCAATATTTTACCGTTTTTCCTGATAATTCGCAAAACTTACTGTCATTTCACCGCCAAAACACTCGGCAGCAATTTGATTCGGGTCAAACGGCTTCACTTCAGCATCGTTGAACAGAAACCACTTATCTCTAGCGCCCGCAGTCCGATCCTTAATAAAACTATAATAATGTCCCCCGTCCGCCGTCCCTGTATGTACAGTCACACCAATCAAATCATATTCGTACTGTTCTTGATCCTGCTGCTCGCATTTAGGCTTATCCTCCTGATGATGCTGAGACATCAATTGTTTCTCTACATATCCGGCCATATTCAGTCTCAGAGGAAACGAAAAATGCGTATTCACCTTCTCCTTAAGCATAGTGAGCATATTAAAAGTATAGCGCATCGTATTGAAGCATAAAATATGCGGTAGTTTCTTAAAACAAGCGCGTTTCTCCGCTCGGACCTTCTTGCCGCATTGTGAGCACGTGTACATGTTATCGCCCTCCAAAGTATCCTTAACAGTAACTTCGTCTAAAGATTCATAGAGATTTCGCATGTCTGCGACTTGACAGCGCACAGTATAAAACTCTTCAACTGTCCGACTCACATGATCACAATCCAATGAAACCACATTGTTGCTGAGAACCCCACAGAATAAATTCTTGACAACGTTTTTCAACGCCGGCGTCATTTCCTCAAGTTTGCTCACAAGATCAATAAAAAACTCCGCCATGTCTTTTTGCTCAGCTGTATTCAATGGCTGATGATCCATCGTGTAAACTTTACAGAAACTGCGTGGATTGTAGGCCTTGCGTTCGCTCTCCAACAGATACGCAAACATTCGCTGTAGTTCTTTTAATGTGGGTTCATGTTTAGAGTGCAATGTATCAGCGGCAAGGATAGACGCTCTGGCCTGCGGCATCATGTACAAATGTTGCATACACGACGCCATGTAACACGTGGCCCCTAAATTGGTCAAACCAACATACCCACACTCGGACCTACCATCTTCATGCGGCCAATAATCCCAGGGATAAGGCGAGTTAGGTCCGGGTTGATGTTGCTTCAAAAGACGCTCATGCAGCATATCGTAATTATCCGGAGCGCCTTTGACTAAATCAACGAGCAGATCAAAAGCAGCGGTGCGCGAACGGGCGGATTTACACTTGGGGACATGCCGCAGTTTCGGATTGGGCAGCGCAAACAAAAAATCAAAGACTTCACTAAGTAATTTCTGGCCGTGTTTGCTAACCTGATAGGGTGGCTTATGTTTGACCAGATTGGTCAATAAATTGAGCAAACCAATCAGTCCATCGTCATCAATCGTCCTGTGACGGGCCTCTAAATATTCCCGCTCCAAAACAGAATTCGCAATCTTTTCAGTCAAACGATTAATATCAATAACGCATGTCTGCGGTTCTTCCAAACTCTCCTTTACCAAATCACTCGGTAATGAGTCAACTAATCGAGCAACCAACCAGAAGTAATCCCTACATGCAGGCCCATACGGTTCTTTACCTTCTTCAGGCGCTTGAATCACTTCGATCTTTTGCGGACGCATTTCCTCAGCTTTGTTCATGTAAGTTAAAAGATGTGCGAGCATAGGTGCAACCAAACCATTATCATGAGTATCGGCATTATTAGCAGACACACCTAAACACAAGCGATATAATGCTGAGCAGACTTCTCTGCGCACAGACGGTTCGGGATCTTCTAGGACCAAACGTTGTAACCACGTGGAAAAATTCGGTGTTTGGAAGAGTCCCTCGCGTGCATCTTCATCGCAATGCAACCAGGAAACTAGCAGGGCCATTGCATAATGAACCACCTGAAATTACCGCAAAAGTTTGTTTGTTACTCTTTCACGTGGAAATTACTCAACCGATTGCCAAGAAATTTTGTACACATATTTTCAAGAAAATTGCGAAAAACATAGAAAACTTTTTTTTTCTAAATTACCTGCGCGCGTCCCCAAAAACCAGTCTTATAATGATTGGGATCCCGTGGCATGGACGCTTCCTGCAGGATACTGGTCAACTGTGGCATAGCTGTTTTAACATCCAACATCCCGAGCATAGTTTCATTCAACAACGGAATAATAATTTTCTCCGTCCGGCTTGGTCGTGACTCCTGCGGTAATGGTTCCACACCCAGCTGACACAAAAGTTTCAACAGCGAGGCCAAACAATCCTGTTGCCATTCGCTGCCATCGCCCCCGGATCGCTGCAAGACGCCTGTAACCAATTCCACAATAGAATCCACAAGAGTAACCTAGTCCTAATCCCTCACCAGACATAAATATATCAAACAAATGCCGCAGACCACCTTGCTGGATAAAAAAGCGACTCCACGGTTCGCGTTGATTGTCACCTTTGCCATTCGACTGGACACTCAAAGATTCGACGATATAAAGAGAATACATCAACTTTTGTGCGGATGACGGATCGAGCAACTCCGGCAGAGGTGTGTCCAACATCTGAAAGCCTCGTAGAAGAGTTGGATTCGTCGGTAGGAGACTAAGAATGTCCCAAACGCGACGGCTCAAGACTTGCGCTTTCGTGTGCGGAATGTGATGTCCTCCTTTAACCGGAGTTTTCATGCTGCTTAGCGTGTGCATTAATGAAAACAACTGTTCGAAATATTTCGATCTCAATAGTAATAAGGTTGGGATTGATTCACGGGGTGGCGATGGTTGCATAGACGGAGAATCCATACAATCACGTTTCTTCATGTTGCGTGAGACACCCATCGAGATATACACCATTTGGTTTTCTTTGAAACCCAAATCCGCGAGTGTTTTCTCATCGGAATCGGTCATCAGTTCTTGACCTTGCGTTATAATTCGAATTGGACTCTCACTCAACGGCGTTGTATTCGACCCAGGACTTGCAATTTCCGCGTTTTTCAAATGGCACAAATCCTCCCACCATTTTGCAATCTCCGCGCGTAAATCAGCAACAAAATCAGTACTCAAAAGGTCTAAAATGCACCTTTCAGACATCCCGGCTGGTTGGACAATCAACCGCAGAGGAGTGCAGTTTCTATCGCCGAGAACCGCCGCATGACTGCCGACTCCTTTACCTTCCAACGCCCAACGACGCAAATGATATGCATACCTCCTGCGGAATGTCTCCATGTGTGTTTTCAACAGCAGCAACGCACGTTGAATACACAACAATGGAGCCTCCTCAGAGCCTAGGCTAGTAGACTTGCTCAAATCATCACTAGCAGCCTCCAAATTACTCATGCACTGCGCAACAAACTGCCCCTCATGCTGCAAATTCTGTCCCATATAATACCCATTCAAATATTGAATGGCCGCCATACTGACGTCTGTATTATTCGCGCGGAGTGCAATCTTCCACATGTGATCCATACCGAGAATATACCCATCCTGACTACTGCTGTCCATATTGGCGGTTGCTATACGCGCTAGATTACAAAGTTGTTGGAATAAACTCAAACAAGTCATGCTAAAAGTCTCAGGTGGTAGGCTAGGTAAATGCACCAGGTATAAACGCTTCAATGCTTCGATACCCAATGCATGCAACTCTGTACTCTTCGCTTGCGATAATAACCAGCTGAAAAGTTCATCACAACATTCCGTGTCACGAGCCATGCACAACCATAGCGTGTCCAGTTGTTCAATGCTGAGTTTAAAGTTGCTAGGTGATACTAAGGGTGAAAACACCGCGGAGAGAAAGTGTAGTCGGACTTGAATTTCCATCTGATGCGTGTAGAGAATCGAGCATTTATCCTTGTTGCCGGCGTAGGTTTTTAAATTATTAAAGAAATGCGCCATCATACCGTGCTGCTTCTCAGCCCAGTGGGTGACATGATGCATATCTGAGTTTCTAAACTGTTGGAACGAAGTTAACAATTTCGGCAGTAAGCGTAACGAAACTATCACAGACCTAAAATATACCAGATAAGTTTAAAAACAATAAAATCCAAAAATAACAGAAAATACTTACGTATTATTTGCCAAATTGTGCAGACAGCCCTCGATAAATTTCATCCTAATAATCCTATCCGTATTATAACACAAAAGATTACACAGCGTCTTCTCAGCCTCCAGTGCAAGCCCCTCGCCAAGCTGACCAATCTTACAATCTTGCAGCAAGTCCCAGAGTAAAGTCTTACCCGGCTGACACACATTTTCCACTTTAAAACAAGCGGATAGTCGCGGATCAAGACGCACCGGAGACTTTTCGGGCGACGATTGATTTCCCATCGCGTGCAGATTCATTTGAGCATGTTCTGCCAACTGCGCAAGTTCCTCCTCACAAACAGAGTCCTCACCATCAAAATCCGCCATGTTTTTCTCAGATTTATTACTCATTCTCGATGAATAACTGCCGTCTGCATCATTTTCAACTTCTGCTTCTTCCCCGCTTAATAACTCCAACATATGACTATAAAAATCAATTTTTAATAATATTTTTAAACTATTTTTACTTAAAACATACCTTGAACTCCTTGGATGCATTGATAAAAAATTTGCAGCATTGTGAACTTCCAGATTCGGTGTTTCTTTGCCTAGTTCACTACAAGATGAGCTTTCCTCGAGATAAACCGTTCGTTTCAACCCGCTTTCGACTAAACTATCCACTTGTGCTGGCAGCATTAAACTAGCAGCTTCTTTAAGCGCAGCCCTTTTAATCTCTTGATCACTATCCGCTTCCACATCGGAAAGTTCGGCGATATCCTCGCGCCTCGTGCGTTTCTCTCGCAGTTTCTTCAGCCTGTTTTTCCGCAGCATTTTTCGACGTTTCCTGTATTTATTCGGCGATTCATCAGCGTCTTCATCCTGTGAGCTGCTAAACGCAACCGGATCGATTGTATCATGATCCTCGGCGGGACTATTCAGTAATTTCTTCCTCGCCGAGCAGTTTTCGGCGGTTTTCTCCAACTTTTGCATTTCTTTCGGGGTTTTTACCTTTGATCCATCATTATCACTACTTGTAGCGTCCGCATCACAACCCTGCTTGCGCAGTTTACACGGCGTAGGCCCCTCACTGTCGATAATATTAATATCCTCTTCGACTTCGGCGTTGTCACTTTCAGACTTGTGGCTCTCCGATTGCCCGCTGCTATCGCGATGTTCCTCCTCCGAATTGCTTTGATCTATGCTAACGCTATTCTCGGATGAACTCGCGCATTTATGCAGTGCTATACCTGCGGCCGAGGCCGCTAATCCGATTAAGCCGGTTTCACTTCCGGCACCGCCACGCGTCCAGATGAATTTGATCAGCGCCGATGCCAGGTACAATGTTTGTTCGGTGTGATCTTTAGGCTCCAGCTTGACAAGCAAACTGTACAAATGTAATGCTGGTGGGGCAGATAAATGCTTGACTAAACCAGGCAGTAGATCATGCACGGGTTTCGCGCAGTGTTTCAACTGCGCCGCCGCCCAAATAATATCCATATTCTCGCAGGTGATGCGACCTTCCATCGCGAGGAAATTCAAAATGATGTGACTTTGTTTGATCACCTCTACGTGCAAATTAGGCCCGAAAATATGCGAAATTATATTGTTACTTATCAACCAATCGGCCATTAATCGAGGGGCTGCTTCCGCTTCCGGCAGGGCTTCACCGACGCACAATTCAGCCAAAACACCGATTTGATTGTTGATTTGTGTGATGCCGGCGAGGCGCATCGTCAGCGTTGTGGATGTGAAGTATTTAAATGCTAAATCCAGTCCGTCCAGATCAAAAGCCATCGGTGTATCAAGCGGATCTTTAATCGCATTCCACATAAAATCTAAAAATGCATTTTTATATTAGAAAAAACATAATTTTACTTAAAAAATTAAACATACCAGCCATACTCTTGATTGTTGGTGTGCGTAAATCTTGATCTGATAATTTACACATGTATCTAAGCACACAGGACCTCAATGGAACTAATAAAGACACCATACTTTTAAAATTCATCCATAACTTTAAATTGCAGACTAAAAAGATTTATTAGTAAATAAACAATTTTTTAATAAAAATCTTACCAACTGATATCATGGCATGTGCTGTTGATACAGGCAAAGCTTCAGGTGTTAAATTAGTAAAACAAGAAGTCATAGCATGCAAACCTCCGGTTTTACAAAAAGGCTCACATTTCGAAGGAGAAATATCGGAATTTCCGCATCGTGAAGATCGCAGAACATATTCAAAGACTGTATCTCTTGCTGTGTGAGATCCTCAAACTTAGCCTGGATGGTGTGTTTGAATGCGACATACAGAGGAAAATTCAACAGGAAGATCTTTGAGACTAACACAAGTAGTTTATCTCTTTCTTGAATTATCACATCATCCACCGCCTTTTCTTTTCTCGCTTCTTTCGCTTCATCGTTATCGGCCTCGCTTTCACCTAATGCCTTAAGTTGGCAGACTGCTAAATAAATTATACCCTGTGTAATAATGCTGAATTTTTCAAAATTCTTTGGATCTCGATAACAACACATGCATTGCCTATGAAAAGATAAAATATTGTGTTAGTTATTAAAAGAAACAGTTTAGAAGATGTGGGGTTTACCTTGTAGGCCATGTTTGTACATAAACTAATAATATTCCAATATCATCTTTTGTTAAAACAGGCAACTCACTAGATTCCCTAAGCACCTTTGTTTCATCTGTAAATGAGTGAAAATAACCGCTATCAAAAGTGAAACTTGCGACGCGAATGTTTACGCTGTTGTGGCGCGTGTTGAACGCGAAATGTTTGCTAGGAAACGAATAATACCGGCTGATTTTTTGAGTAAATTCGATCAACTTACATGAGAGTAGCAGTTGTAGAAATTCCGAGCACGCATCGCACATTTTTCAACCGGTAGCGCGCGTGTTTCACTCGGCGAACATTGCATTCGCGGCTGAAGGAGCTTCACACAATGTGTTCGCTTATCGCAACTCGTCGCACGCTCATTGATAAATATAAAAATTAATTACAAACATCCACCATCTTTTATTCAAGCACAACCAACAGCTGTCATCATCGTATGGTGTAAATACTAGGGATTTTGGTTTGTGAATTGTGTGATTGGTAGCAATTGTACAAGATGGCAGCCTGTTGTATGGAAGGTAGAATACGTGTCCATTAAACTTATAAAATAAAATTTATTTCATTTCCATTTCTTCCACGGCTTCTATACATTCATTTTCTGATTCATTATCTGTATCAGGTGGTGGTGCACCACTTAAACGAGCATTTGTAAATTCCTCCGCTACGGCTAGTCGCATTTCTTCTTCCATTTGAAGTTTCTTTGTTCTTGAGAAAAATCCACATTTGTATAAAATTAAAGTTACAATCAATAACAAAATAAGCCCCGCTATTGTAGCACTAATTAAAATCCACATATCCAGGCGGAATTCATTCGAATCCATAAATGTACTTGTTACATTTACAAAGTTGTTTGATATTGTATCAATTTCAAACTCAGCTTCCACTAATCCATAACTATTCAACAAAATTCTGTTTTCGACAGTTAAAACTCCTAGAAATTCATACAAAATGTAAAATGGGAAGCAATTCTTCAATTATAAACACTTACGTTTAATTGCAGTAATATCCAATAAGGCTTTCACTCGAACTACTGCAATATCTTGTTCGTTTGTAATGGCTCCAATGTCACAAGTGAATTTTGTACATTGTACATTATTCTTCAAATCTCTACAATCCAGTGTTAAAATCTCACCTATTTCTTCCTCTATTATCTCATTTTCGTCTACTATTGATGTTTCTTCGGTATAATCACTTTCATTGAGATTATTTGAGTAAATAATCATATTCTCACTCGGAATTTCTCTTCGTTCTCGTTCAGGTCGTTGTATATCTTCTTCAACATTCAAATCTGTATCACCATGAGATTCAGATTCTTCTCGGATGTATTCTACTTCAGAATGATTCTTACACAATAATTTTTGTCCTCTTAATGAACCCTCAATTGAATATAATTTAACAAACGCAATAGACACATTATTTTCCACAACATGAGTTGGTAAATTAATCAAAATAGAAACTTGCTCTGCAGGACTATAACCACTCTTTTGAATCTCAAAAATTTGTCTAAATGTTGCGTTTTTTGTGTAAAACTGTAATGCAGGTTCTGCTTTTCCAATAAGTTTTAAATCCACGACGTTTTTCAACTGTAAAGTTACAGATTTTTGTTGTACAGGATTCTTATTCACACTTGTTGTGGTAACGTTCATTGTAAACGTCACATTTGATCCATAATCAATCCGGACGTCTTTCATATTCAACGCAACACTTAGATATATTTGTGTTTTTAATGGGTTACCAACAAGACAGACTAATATTCCTGGATTGTCTTCAGAACACTTTTTGGGATTGAATTAAACTGTATATACTTTGGTAGAGTGATAGTAAATTGTGTCAGGTATGCACTATCTCCAGAGTTGCTTATCAAGACATCCATTCGGATAATATCAGCGGATCCAATGACAAACTCACGAATTTCCGTTCTGTAATATTTAAAATTGTGATTTTTGTGTTTAAATTTGTTAATTTTTGTATTCTTACTCTAAAATGTAGAATTTTGCATCAAAACTTAAGTTACTTGTGCATACGTCATCATCTCCGCATCCCAAAGCGAAGGAAAATTCATTTTCCAAAGGACGTACGTTTAATAAAACAGGACAAGTTTTACAAAATGTGTCTGTGTTGTTTAATCCAACATAATAATTACTTTTTCTTGGTGCATCTTGGACGATTTCATAACTTACACTGATTTTCACAGGCTCAGTCAAATAATATAACTTTTCCTATAAAAAAATACTTAAAAATACTAAAAATACAATATAAATTTGATAAATTATTACCTTTGATGTTAAAATGAATGTTTCACATTTGTTATCAAGCAAAAACTCTTTTTGAAGTGTTGTTGGTGGTGCTAACAACACTCTTTGATAATTTTCATCAATTGTGAGTGTTCTACGGATTGCTTTAACACAAAAACTAATTAAATTTGATTATTATTAACATATTCTACTTACTGATATGTTTAGGAGTGTATGGACTTGCTAAATGTGTATAACAATGCGCAATTCTTGTCGTTCCGAAATTAATCTTGGTGCCATTTATTATTTTCAAAGATGAGCTGATTTCTACCAGTGGATTTGATCTAATGATGGCTACATGGCCGGATAAATGTGCCCCAATCGAAATATCTTCAAATAATACAAAATAATTTATATTTAAAGAATATAAACACATGTTAACCTTAAATATTTACCTGGATATCCATTTCCATCAATATCCAAAGCATTTGAGACACTTATACCGAAACCTCGCAGTTTATTATCAATATTTTTCGCTTGTAGAATCTGCGCAGGTGTAGTAACGAGACCATACGGTCCGCCATGATAAATATAAACAATTCCTCGTTTATTGTCACTGAAAGGTTCCCCCACGGCAATATCTAAACAATAAACATGTTAAAATAAGTTTTAAAGTTGAATATACAACATAAATAACATAACCTCCATATCCATCTAGATTTAAATCTCCTAGAAATGTTATCGTGGTGCCATAATGGCCGCTGTCACTACTTCCGGTCAAATGCACAACACTATTCGCATCTGTAAAACTATTACGTTCCTTTCCACCGTAATAAATATGTATTCGACCGTCGTTGAAGTTTTTATCCGAATAAAATGGCGCGCCAACAATTAAATCGTCATAACCATCACCGTTTAGATCACCGGAAGCTAGGGACGCACCAAAATATTCCCCTATTTGACTTCCGGATAGTATAAATTTTTTATCGATGAAACTATCGTTGCCCGGTTGAAAATTATACAATATCACTGTTCCGCAGTATTTACTGCCTTTTGGTGCTGAGGAAGCAAACATTTGGTGACTTGAAACGTATCGACCGGAAGAAACTGCATATCCTGTTAGAAAAAAGACAAAAATTAGGATTTTATTCTTTTTATGATGTTTTTTGATTTACCAAACAACGAGAACGAATCTCCCATGTACATTGAAACTCGATTTTCTATGGAATTTGATGATGAATCCCCGGAGTATAAAATTGATCCACCAAACCAATTCAACAATCCGGGAGCTCCAAGGATCAAATCCGGATATTGCTATAACCAATAAAAATTGCTACCCATTTTAAAATTTAGAAAATTTGGGATATTTACTTACTTTATCATTGGTAAAATGAGCAGAAAATCCCGCCTCCCCTAGACCATAGTGATAAACAGACATTCTGTATTGCAAAGCCTGAATATACTTTTTTGGGTTAAGCAGTGGTAGTAATTTGTTATAACTTGGATTATCTTGGAGTTTCGCCAAGTAACACGCGCCAATCATATTCGTGTCAGCCGCCCAACGGAAACCACAAACAACCAACACTCCTGCATTGATATTGATATCCATAGTTCCACCGATCCATGCGTTATCCTTGTTGTCCAAGAAACGAAAACCATTACTTCTGGTCATTCCAAAATCTGTCGACATAACCACACTTAAACTTATTAACCTGACATCAATGTACACCACCAGTGATACACAAACGCTAACCTAACCTCAAAATAAACTAAAATGTCTTTATAATTTACTTTACCTTTGTCTATTGACTGCATTTCACAGTATTTTCTTATCTGACATTGGAAAACAACGCCCGGATTACTACTAGGCATGTTTAAATCAGTTCCCTTTGGAGATCCAATAAATACCCTTCAATAAAACTTATTAAATTGAATATAACCAAAAATAAACAAATTTTATTTACCATGATTTGTTTTTACTACGATACAAAGCCGTTGTATACCCAAATAAACTCTCTCTTGCATCAATTCGTAAATTTTTATGCGCATCCTCATAAATAATCGTGTGTAACGTGTTTAAATTATAACCTATTGTTAATTTAACTATCACACACAAGAATATGAACTTAAACATTGTAATTGTCTATTATTTTCGACGTTTACTTCAAAACTAAAGTACAATTAAACTAATTGAACATATTTAATATCAAACAATATAAAATGTGGTGGGCAGCCATGACCACAACACAGGATGTTCCACAGGAAGCGTTACTAATACCCAAACTTATAATATACATATTTAATTCCATTAATTTCATTATCAGATAAAAACTTAAAAGAATACAATTTATATATTGAACTAGCCTAAACCCGCGGCTTCGCTCGCGAATATCTAAAATAATGAAGTTGCTTCCGTACGCGTCTGTAGTCACAGAAGAAGTAACAATGAAGTAGAATGGCGGGAAGTTTAAAATGGCTGAAAGTATAGTCTATGGAAGTATAGTGTACAGTCTCCATAGTGTAGTCAATTGGATTTGATGTTGACGTAGCTGTCGGTAATACAGTGTGATAATACAGTGTGATGGTACTATAGTACTTAGGTTTGAGCTTCATTGCTGGAATGCTAGATGGCGTTAAAGTAGTCAAATAGCCAGATGCAGAGGTATTATTGGCTAAACAATTTCTTTATTTTATTTAAAAAATAATTGTTTTTATTAAATAAAAAGTAGCCTATAACCATTCGGGGACCACTAAGAATATGTGTACAAATTTTCATGATGTTCGGTTAAGTAGTGTTTGCATGAAAGTGTAACAAACATCAGAACTTTCGCATTTATAATATTAGTAGGGATTATAGGTAATCTCTCTCAACAGCGTCCAATATCACACCGCGTATACGTTCCATATATCTGCTTTCATTCTTACTAACGTAAACAAACGCCTTCATGGTTTCCTCGAGGTCATCATCGTTGATCTTCATATTCTGAAAGTCCGGAATCTCCTCCTGGTCACTTAACATCAAATGAGTTACACCAATCGTCATGTGAATGCCAAACAGTGAAAACAATCGCATTTGTTGATGCAGTTCCGGAAGTGTCAAAAAATCATCAACGTCCAATGAGAATCCTTTGAGTAAATCCCGCATTGCATTGTGGTACAACTTCAACATATCATCAAAATGTTTTTCTCTGAGTTTTTTATCCGTACACGTAAAAATAAAGTAAGACAAGTCCAAGGCAGGTGAAGCAATCCGAGATAATTGAAAGTCTAATAAACAGACCTGTGATGGCGGCTGTGATTGCACACTTCCGGTTTTGTCATACAAAAACAACATGTTATTCACCCAACTATCACCGTGGTTTATCACAGCGTACTTTCCAGCTGCAGTTGGTTCTAATGTTTTGATTATTTTCTTCATTGTGTCCTTTGTGTATTCTTCAAAACGCTCACGGGCTTTGACATCTTCCGGAAGCAGTGCTTTCATAACTTTTTCATTGGAACTATCCACGGATTTGCTTGCAGCCGGGCTGTCAAAATCCATCTTTGAGAAGAAATTCTCCGGCATTGCTTCGTATAATTTTTGACTTTCTTCCGGACGTAATTCTTTTAATGCATAGAATAATCCATGGAATTTGCCGTATTCTTTCATTACAAGTTCAACATGATTTAAATCCAAGAATTCCGTTCGATTTCGCATTACATAACCTCGCGCTTTCATGTCGGCCATTATGAGGACTTCCGGAATCTCCATGTCGGATGTCAACAGCTCGGGGAATGCGTTCAGTGGCTCTAAATTATACTCTTTCAAAAGTGTGTTGTAAGTAGACAACACATCTGTATAAAAATAACTCTCCCGGCTGAATGCGTCATTAATTGGCACAACTTTACGAAAATCCGCATTACTCGATGCAGTTTTCATGATTAAATCCAAAGATTTATCACTGGATGGCTCAGATACTTTAACTTTTGTTATGGTTCCCAGATAATTATCACCTTTTGCACTTCCAACATCTGTTTCTATGTTACACTGAGTAAATCCTTCTTTTTTCGCGACTTGTTCAATCAACGAACGCAAACGATCATCCAATTCAATCTCCATTTTGTTTCTGTATAATATTCACTGTTTTTACGAGGTGTACACAACGAGAGAACGTGTCAATGTCGAATAAAGTTGAATGTTGAAGCCCGACGTTATTTATACACACATTACAAGGATTTGAAATAATGATCCCTCCACTTGCACTATCATGTTGAATGTGTTGATGTAAACGTAAACTTAGACACGTACATGTAAACAGAAACATATGGATGATGTTGGGCGATGTTTAACAGTTAACAAACATACAATGACAGACAATATTTAGGAAGTGCCTAATTATTTACTGCGTGTAATTTGTTAAAGTGATGTATCATTGAGATTCAAGGCTGCGTCACAATTCTAGGTCAGCAGAGCAGCAGAGATAAATGTTAATAACAAGATAGAAATATTTAATCATGAATTGGGCCTCATTTCTTGTATGAAAAAATAAGTTTTATAATAGAATTATCAATGCACAGCTGTTAATTGTACAATAAATTGATTCATATAGAAAAAATGTGTGCAGAAAAGAATTTAGTTTAGTAGTCAAGGTTTTTCGAGTGCACAATAACAGTAATTAATGTAATTTGCGCCGTAGATATTTTTCTAAGTGCGCAACAGGTTTTAATATTGTATTTGCTGAGAAAAAATGTTTCAACGAAAAATATGTTTGTGATAATTTGGTTGTGGTATTTAAATTGTTATATAACCGAGTACAGAATGTGTTTTGGGTATTATTATCTGGAGACTAAGCTATTATAAACAAATTTTACTGTAACACGCGAATTATGTGTTGATAACTCAAGGCTGAGTTAAATAATTTGGATTTTTTCTGTGGGTTTATTTTTGTTCATTATTTGCGGTGGGAGAATTGACCGCAATTTTTTATTTAATTGAAAAATGTACTTCTGGATTCAGTAGCGTAACTAATATTTAAATTATTAAGATTTTAAGTGTTAAAAAATAATTTTAACGAAAAAATTGTAAAGATTTTTCATTTTCCTCGATATTTTGATTGCGATTCTCTCGAGTAATAAAAGTACGGTGCACCGAATGAGAGTCACATGTACCTACACCCTACAGCTCTTACCTAACGCATGTTACGCGTCGCATCCCCTCCACAACCACCGGCAGTCGTAGGTAAACACCGCTCGCACAACTCGCGCGCGACCAATCACGTACGCGCCTTCCCCCTCCACTTTTTGCAGGTAGTCCGCGGGTATAAAAAGCGAGCGCGCAGTGCGCACCACGCTCAGTCGTGCCTGAAGCCTCCAGCAGTCCAGTCGCAGTTCTCCAGCTTCTACCTCGGGTCTCTTCAACGTAATTATTTGAAATATCAAATCCACGTTTTATTTATTATTGAATAATATTCGCAGATCTTGACGTCCTCCCTCGTAAAGCATCAAATACATAAGCTAATATAGGTAGTATTTATACATATATAGAAATGACAGTAATCCAACTAATCACTTCGCAAATAGAAAATTAGTATAATACGCGTTCGCTTCTCCTAAACTTAAACATTAGATCCTTCGTGTCCTAAAATAATGAAACACTTGTTATCCGTATCACATCCGTACGCTACCACATTCAAAATTACACAAACTTATACAGAGACAGTCTATTTAGATTGTAAACATAAAGAAAAAATTGGATATAGGATTGATGTGGTGGTTGCTAAAAAAAAAAAGGCCACTCATTTGCAGTCCTTGAAAAAACAAGTCTCAATTGGAATCCGAGTCGATTCCAATCTGTTTGCGCATATTGAGCCGTGCCTTTTTGACGCGCTTACGAAACTTTTCATATTTGTACTCATCATCGGACGTGTCGCACTGATGCCGACGATTCCTCGCCGGTTTACTACCGGAAGACGTGCATGGTCCAGTCGCAAACCCGCTGTCGACCATTTCCGGTGACAAATGCGTGCGCCGCTGCTTAACAGGTGTCATTACTATCTCATAATCGCTATCGCTGAGCGAGCTGTAATTCTCCGTCACGAATTCGCTTGAACCGCGCAAATTATTCGCTACCACATTCGTATTCGCAATCTCAAGGACATTTATGTACATGTCCTGTGAGCCGTTCAAAGGCGTCGGCAAAATATTGACGAAATTATCGGCGGGTGCAGCGCGTGTATCACAGTTTGCAGTGTTTGGTTGCGACGTCTCCTCGTCGGAGTCCTGTTCTATAACGCGGAAGATTGGATTATTCGACGAGGAGCCGGCGGTGATTCCCGTACTTGTGCTAGGAACATCAATCGATTGATGAAGGTGATCACACTCGGAGCGTGATGTACGATGGCGGCTGTACTTTTTATGTCGGCCGCTGGAGCCACTGGCGTGCGTGTTTGTTAAGTTCTCTTTTTCGGAGTTATTATTCGCCACAGTTGGAGAAGTAGCTCTTGTACGCTTAGGGGCTTTACGGGAAGACCATTTGCACTTGGCTTTCTTCGATGCTTTACGTTTTTTATGTTTCTCACGGTTGAAATTTCTAAAAACGCAATTTTATATAAAATTTAACCTCAAAAATATGAAACTTACCGTTGAACTAGTGTTGATGACTTCCACAGCGCCATCTTAGCAAGGCGATTGCGTTTGTGCGCAATCAACTGCGTGATTCTATTCGGACGAAACTTTTTACTCGTCTCATCCGCTTGCATTCGACAACGTGATAAAGACTGCCAGGATAATTGAATTCTATCCTGTACGTGAGTATCGCTATCACTATCAGAAGTAAAAGTCGCTTCTGATTGTGATTCCCAACCCTCAATCTCCCTTTGAATAAGCGAATCAAAGAACGCCATCATTCGCGCATCTTCGGATGTAGATTGATCACTATAATCATGCGAAATGCGTTGTCCTGACGGACCAACCAAACTCATATAATCTTCATGTGAGTAAACAATACGCTGAGTTTCGGTGGTTTCTTTTGTGAGTGAACCAGTCCAAGCCCCAATATGTAACGTACTCCATAGTTTAATCATTTTCTCGACTCCGGAGGAAGCTATAAGATTATTCTGCTTATTGTATCGCACCTGATTGACAATACTACGATGGCCGCGCAAAACAAAATGTGACTGGCCCCATTCGCCATGATCCTCCGCAATCTTCCACATGTATAAATTAAAATCATCCGAACCACTCAAGACGTACTCATCGTCCTCGCCGGCGAAGCAACAAGTTTTCATTGTGCAGGAATTGTAGTACTGCGGATGATAGAATTGTGACACAGCATGGCGTTGATGAGTCGCGTACAGGACGGGTGGAAGACGACGACGAAGCGCAAGGACTTTATCTCCATTCGCGTTGAAGCAAGCGCTGATTCCACTGATATGTCCAGCTTCTTTATCGTAATGAATAAGATAACTATAAAAACATACTTTAGAAATATTTATACTTAATTTAGAGGTTATAATATACTCTTTAGGTTTCCGTGCGTCGAATAACAAGATACCATCATCTGAATTTGCTGCGACTAGGAGAATTGGATTTTTTGGGTTGTACATAACAGAATGAAACCCAACTTTATGTCGTGCTAGACACTGTGGTTCCCCAGGTTCACGAATATCATAGATTAATATCCGTCCATCGTCGCCTGCTGTAGCTAAAACGCTGTCATTGCTGGGATTCACACTCAATCCATACACGGGTTTCTTGTGTGGCAGTTTGACAAGCAATTGCTTCCTGAAATATTCGAGGAAACAATTTGTAACGGGTGATAACTACACAGGGTATATTTACGTCGGGATCTCATGCACCATGACTTGATCATCGTTTCCTCCGGAGTAAATTCTTGCATTCTTTGAATCGAATGATAAACAGAAGATGTTGCTGTCATGACTTGTCTGCATCGGTTCTGGGTTGTTCTTGCACTTTCCATGAATGGATTGTGCCACAGACCAGAGTAGAACTCGTCTGTCATCACCTCCTAAGAAAATTATATAGATTTGTTTTATTTTTATGAATTTTTCATGATTTTTATATATTTTAGTTGTAAGAGTGTTGATTTATTGTGGAAATTGGTGTGACTGTACCTGAAACGAGCAACTCCCCTTCGTTGGAGAACTCGATGGCGTTCACACACCCATAGTGTGCAAACAGATCTTTTTTGTAAAGGTTTTTAGCGACGTTGAGCCGCCGTGCGAATAATTCGCGTTTGATCGCTGTGCCATCAAGCTGCCGTTGTGATAGGAAATAAACTGGGCTAATTTTCGCAGGCTTATCATCCATTATTACGATGCAGTCTTATCCGGCCGAGCCCTGCACTCTCTCACAACTTGTTGTGTTCACAGCGCACTGCTGCAATGATTGCGGCCTGCTGTGCTGCACAAGTAAAACGTCAGGCAGGCTGGCTACTAGATAAATGTCACAATCAGCTGTTACAAACACAACTAAGTCATGACGACCGCAGACGATTTCCCCACCACCTAAAACGCTTTATTTAAATTAAACAAGTAGTAATCTTTAATTATCGCTAATTATCAATAAAGATTAACATGTGTAACTGTTTATTTATAATATAAACGAGAATAATAGTCTATAGTTGAGGTTATGTGCACTATTTTTACATATAATATAATAATTTAACTTTTGGAATGTTTAATCGGAATCAGAATCTCCCAGGCCGAAATTATCGGTTAGTTTTGATAATGCATACGTTGCTACCCCAGCTCCTAAAATAGGCAATCCGTACTTTTTAACTTTATCCATCGCAGACGAATCATTGCTACTCCGGAAATTATCTTGTGGTTTATAAACGTAGTAACCATCAGGTACAGGTGCATTGTTGGCTGCAGGTCCTCCACCTCCTTGATAAGTTCCATAATTTTGGTTTGGTTGAGGATATCCAGGGTACCTCGGGTATCCCTGATATGCTGTAGGATATTGCGGATATCCAGATGGAGAAGAAGGATAAGAAGGACTTCTTGGGTATGGTCCAATATTTTGAGCAGATGGAAACCCACCAGGTGGAGGTGGACGAAAACCAGGACTAGGTGACATCCCTGGATACCCTTGTGGACCAGGAGTAGGGTATATTGATGGAGGTGGAGCACCTGGTATGGTTGGATATGAAGGATATCCGGGTACAGCTCCTTGTCGTTGGTCGTTTATAGTTGGATAAATGCTTGGTGGTTTATCATCGTCTTGAATTGGGGGAGCAGATGGTGCTGATGGTAGGTTTACTCCAGCAGGAGGTGGACCACTTCCAGGGTTCTGAAATATAATTTTCTTTTGTTATTTTGATGTCTATGTGAATAAAATCTATAGAAATCAGGAGGGGATAAGTTTGTAGTAATAAAACACGATTCAAAACATAAATATATTCGAGACAAACAACAATTTGATTATAATTATACATAATTAACATTCACAATAAGTTTTTGTGCTGTAAAGAGTATTTTTGTATCATCTAGCACCCAATTAAAGCTTCTGTCATGCTTGATGACTAATATAAATATTTTCGTACGTGTTCTAGGCACTTTCAAGCTTAAGCTTACATTCTAATGTCATAGTTAAATTTAAAGAAGACGTTGTGTTTATTTTTAATGGTGCCCGCCTTGTCCATCCTGAAAAACATGAAAAATTAGACCTGTACCTCAAATAAACATATATAATCATTGATAATTACTCGTTTCGGATGCATAATTTGCTCAGCGAAGCCTGTTAATAATGATCCGACACTTCCAAGCCCACCAATCGAACCACCACCACCAAACTGCGACAAATCAAACGGTAATTGTTGTGGTTGGTGTTGCTGCGGTGGTGGTGGTTGTTGTGGATGCGGTTGTTGCCCACCATGTTGCTATAAAACCAAAACTTTATCTAATCCGCCCAGGGCAACTCAGAGGAAACACTCACTTGATTTCCGCCCGTCAATGAACCGAGCAATTTGTCGGCCATGCCGGATTTTATCGCACCCGCAATCACTTCACTAGCCGTACCTAAGAAGTCGCCCAAACCGCCCGACTCGTGATCCTTTACATTTACAAGATTTTTAGCAATAAATCACTGCTAAATCTTAAATATTATGCCTAGAAATAACAAATACCATACCTGTTGATATCCTGGTGGTGGAGGCGCGCCATATCCACCTTGTGGTCCATAAGGTTGGTACCCAGGTGGAGGTGGTCCATATCCTTGTGGTGCACCGCATCCCCCATATCCACCTGCTTGAGGAGGTGGTCCATATCCACCATAATTTGGCTGTTGTTCACCATATGAAGCATTTGATTGACTTGAGCTCGATTTACCCATGCCGCCTTCATAAGATATCAAGGATATAGCCACATCACCATCGATCTTCAAATGTGTGATCTTGCTTGGTGGAATTCTATGTGGGAATTCACAGAAGTGCTGTCCATTGATCGCAACCTTGTAATCATTCGATGCACTTAGTAAAAGTACTTCAAACTTTTGTCCCATGCCAATTTTAAGCTCGCCATCACCTTGTTCTTCACCCCAATCACCATTCTCAAATGAATTTCTTGCCACGTAGCCTTCCTGCAGTCTTACTGATAAATGAACTGCAATGTCAGCTTCTTCCGAGCTGCCACATTGAAGATTGATATTGAAACTACATGCAAACAAGAAAAAATTAATAAACTTTATGAAATAAATAAAATTATTGTTTATTTATTACCGATTTGCGACAGGAGCAGTATATCCTTGTATCCTCACAATGTGTCCTTCATCAAAACCTCCTTCAATGCGACCTACATACGGAATTTCCTAAAAAATACAAAATTAATACATTTAAAGACAATTAATGCCATTTATAACTTACTGGGTCTTTAATTGGGGACGACATCCTTACAGAATGTCAGAAATGAAATCAAAGGGTTCTCTAGCAACACTAGTAGGCCAACACTTAAACTGCAAATGACGCAGTCGCTTTATTTCTTTTCGTTTACATGTTATTGCGCGTTATTTGTGTGGGACCATGAATGTACGACAAATTCCGCTTGTAGTTGTATTCCCCACCAAAACGCAACACTACGCAACCTTCGAATGAGCGCAGGATTCCTTGGATGCCTTGAATCGCTTGGATTACATCAAATTTATTTATAAATCGAATAATAAACATGAATTTTGGTATAACTGAGACCCAAGTTCAACATAATCAATACTCTTACTAATGTCCAGACATTCTAGACGTGATCATAAAGAACATGACGTCATTCTTTTACCTATAATGACGACATCTAATGATGATTACACTGTTTCTTATTAATAACTGTTGTTTCATTGTTCTTTCGTTTGTTCGGCGTGTACCAGCCATGTAAACATTTTGGTACAACTGACGGCGTGACAAAAACACACCTTGCGATCTCTTTCATTGTTTGCGCATTCAAAACTAACAATCCTATCAAATTGGTAGCAGTTCTTCCCCAAACCATTGAAGCTAAAAGAATTCCATCGTCTTCTTTTGTATTTGGTGATTTTGTATTATTAGCAACAAATATCGGTTCGCTGGGATAACAGTTATCTTCGCACCATGTCAAAGTGTGACCATTTTCAACATCTACTTTGATAATGGTCCCCGGGTACCGAGCATCAACATCACTGTTTATTGCATAAAAATAACGATAATAACGACCTAGATGTTTGTTGTAATTTATCTGAGGTGTCTCGCATCCTAGATTACACAAAATTTTTGTTTCCACTTCTTTGGTTTGTTTTAAATCTAAAATAAAACGTTTTGGTCTACCGCGGAATAATTTGGCGTAGTCTGGATTTGATTGCATAGATTTCAATGCTTCTGTGTACATGCAATCAATCATTGATGGATCTTCATAACAACAGATATCAATGATTATTTTGTCGCCATTTTCATATTGGTTTATAACATGTAGGAAAAATAGTGAAGATGTGTAGAAACTTTTGAATAATTTGCCAGTTTTACGACAAATTACATCAATTCTCGTCTGTAAACAAAATATATTCATTATTTTAGTATAACCTGTTAATAAATACAAACTTTTCTTTGTTTATCCCATTTTAAAGCACTTATTATAGGTTCGTTCAATAATTTATTCTTAACAAACGAAAGTATTGATATACTTAGTGGTTGCTGCACCAAAATGAAGTAATTTTCAGTTATTCCTGTTAAAACAAACAAAATTACTACAAATCTTCATTTAAATGTTGTTTATAAGATTATTTACCAAATGAATGCATGTATGATGGATGTAAAAACTTCCTAGCTGGTATTGCAGCTACAACATGCGCCTTTTTAAACATTTCATCAGCGTTGTTGCTTTCACACTTCGGAAAACACACAATATTTTGTACGAGCCGTCCATATTTTGTGTAGGAAACACCTATGTTATAAACACTACCATCATAATCAATATGTGGATGTGCAGAATGATTAACTACACCGACATGTTTGTAAATATTTTGAGATCCTTCGGTTTTTAGTGTTTCTTTGTTGATTTTATGGATAACAGGCGATTCTCCGAAGGCATACATCTCATCAGCAAAGGGATAAATTGTTATCATGGTATTATCTGTGGTAGAAGGATTAAAAATTGATTTAACACTGAAAAATAGTTAAATTAGTAAAAATTGTGTTTTATAAGTAAATTTACCGATGAAAGATGGTATTGCATGGATCCGAAGTGCATTTTGTACCAAAATCAGTGATTAACATGCGTTTACTGTTAATTTGTTTGTAATAATCCGAATTAACAAATCGACATTGATAAGTTACACTTGCATTGGCTATAGTGAAGCTAAAATAATGATTATTTTAGAAAAAATAAATATTTATGATGTTTTTCGATTGTTACCAATGAATTAAACCAAAATTATCAAATAAATGACCAAATTCTAAGTCTTTGCCCACTTTTGAAGCACCAGGACCATTCCGAAATAGTTTACCATTTACCCATTCCGGTATTTTACCTTAAATATGTTTTTATTGCAATTTTTACCAAATAATCACAATTTTTTCACTCTACCTGTTACAACACCTCTGATTGGAGTTGTAATTTCCTTCTCACAAGTCCTCAACCAAATACTTTGGTCCACATGAGGATATAAATCCATTTTAACACAAAAACCACTCAAAATAACGTTGTACCCGGGTACAAAGATGAAATAAGTATAAGAACATGTACAAATAAGCTTATATTAGATATAAAAAGATCAATACAAATGAGATTAAATTACGTCGACGTCCCCGCTTCATTTCCCCTTGGAATAACGCTTCCAGAACTTCTTAACATCATCGTGCCCCGCTTTGCTTACCAACATGGTGCGTTTATCGCGATTACACCAAATCAAAAACCCGTTGCTCTGGGCGTACTCACGCAGCACGTTGAAATCATTCTGTAAACAATCGCAATCAATCCTTTTACATAAAATAGAAATATAAAATATATGCACGAACTTGTGATAGAAATTGACTGTAAAGAACACCTGGTGAATAAGTGATTCTATTGCGTTCCATTTCCCATAATTTAATTTGATCGACAATCGTTGGTGGAATCGGACTTTTGGCGTCGTGTTCAAGCAATTGGGGATGAACATGCTGGCGAAGGTAACCGATAATCTGCTCAGCAGTAATTCCACCACGAAGTGCTTGTCTGATTGAATCTCTTGTGAGAATACCAACAACTACATTAGGGAACCTAAATAGTATAGAAATATGTTGATAAAATGAAAGTTTTTGATATTTTTGAGGAGAAAACTTACCTATACATTAATTCAGTGAATAATGCAAGTAAAGCAACTTGTAAACTGGAATCTGTGTAAGCATAAACGCGATAATTCGTTTCCACAACAATATAACCTTTTGGTGTGTCTTCTTCGATGTTGGATATTTTTGTGTTTGGGGAAGTAATGTTTAGAGCTAGTCTTGTTGGATAAAAACGACCTGCTTTCCTCTATAAAGCATAAAATAACACAAAATAACAAAGAAAATATTATATTTTCATTGTTTACTTACTTTTCGTTGATAAACTAACCCAAATTCTCGTAGATGTTGTAAAAATATGAGTAATTCTGTACTCATTCCTTCCGTGCTATAATCCTGGCATAAAATATTCATTAAAATATCATGTTATGATTATTTATTATATTTTTACCTTTCCTAAAGTGCTGAAACTCAATTGAAACAAAAAAGTTAAACATTCGGCAAGATCCAGTCCTCTGCTCTCTGCAGTATCTAAATAATGAAGAATAAAGTGCCAAACTTGTGTTTGGCGATCTAATAACAGAAACTGGAAGCCTTGTCTTGTGATAACAGAACTACCATCTTCCTCATCACTGTAAAAATCATACAATGTGTGTAAATTATAAATTTTTGATTAAATTTCACATGTTTTCTTACCACTTCATTAATCCAGCATGGATTAAAACACGAACTGCATCTGCAGATATTCCTTCCTGTTGTTGGGAACCTACCATATAATGCAGAACACATTCCCATCTTTCCACTGAGTAGCTATCTAGGAATGAAACATCGCGCGCTTTGCTGTCCACTTCTAATGTTGATGACATACTCCATGGTTTGCCACTAAAGTAAATTTATAATTAAAAAATATTAATATAAGGTGATATAATTGTTTACCCTCCCAGAAGAGCTGTTTTTAGATTCTTTTTGAATGTACATCTTAATATCCACCCTGTTAAACCCCCAGGAATAGGTGATTCATGCCAAACAGCTAGTTCAGTCAAAACTTTGCTTACATAATTTGTTTCCCTAAATTAATAAATGTTTTCATTGATATTTTGAGGATTATATTATGTTATTGCATACTTGGCATATAATTGTGATCCCCATGATGCAACCACAGCTTTGGGCACTGGTTGTTCAACAAATAAGATTCTGATTACATATTGTCTTCCAAGTTCAGGCAATTCCCTAAAAAATAACAATTTATAATAGAAAATTGTAATCATTGAGGTTTTATTGTCAATCAGATGTTAAATTAGATTATTGTTTAAATGAATTACCTGTAAACAGCTAAGCAAATTGTCGGATGGTTGTAAAGCTTTTCTAAAACTTCAGGTGTTCTTGTTTTGAGGTACTCGTACAAATTTTTACATTCTAAATTGGATGGTTGTATTACTGACGCCTTTGCTGTAGCTTCAGAGGTACTGGGTGCACTTTCAGCCATTTATAATGTGTAATAATTAATAAATTAATTATTTTTACTTTAATATGCGTTCTGTGGGCACTTTTTAAGGCAACATCTGATCATTACACTGCCACAGCAACCATACTTGTATTATAGGTTAAAAACACCGGTCTATGAATAATAAACAATGAATAAATAAACAAACAACTTTTTAAACAAACATATTCCTTGCAACAATTTATTTCCAAATTTATATCATGCCATACAAAAATAACTTGATCTACAACTATGAAAGTATTTTACATAATCTGAACTTTTGCCTCAACCTGCGCTGTAATTTTATTGACAATTTCATTAAAAACTTTGGCTGCAGTTGTCTCTGGAATGGAAACAGTTGATGCTTGATGAGTAACTTGATTTACTCTCATATCAAAAGGCAAAACACCCAACAGAGGAAGTTTTGTTAAAGCAGCCAATGCGGCGCCTCCACCAGAGCTAAAGATATTAGTACATTCCTGACAGTTGGGGCATACAAAACTACTCATATTCTCAATAATTCCTATGATGGGAATATTGGTTTTGTTGCAGAATGTAATCTCTTTCCTTACATCCTCAATGGCCACTTCTTGTGGTGAGGTAACAATGACTGCCCCATCACATTGAACTTCTTTCAACTGCTCCATTACAGTAATGTGTTCATCTGATGTTCCTGGTGGTGTGTCAATAATTAAATAGTCCAAGTCACCCCAGCAGACTTTGGTGAGGAACTCTTTCACCATTGCAGTCTTTTTGGGACCTCTCCAAACTACTGAAGAGTTTCTGTTGTTTAATAAAAAGCCAATTGACATTACAGCCAGGTTTTGTTTTTGATCTGTGTAGACTGGAATCCATCTTGAAATAAAAGTAGTTTTAATGTTGTAATTTTAATGATAGATTTAAGGAAACAAATTACCCTTCTTCACTCTGGTGAATATTCTGATCTTCCAGTTGTAATAAGTATGGAACGCTTGGTCCACAAAGATCTATGTCAAGTAATCCAACTTTAAGATCCTGATCCTTTAAAATCAGCGCCAATTGAGTGCTTACTGTTGATTTACCAACTCCACCCTTCCCAGAAAGTACCAGGATAATATGTTTTACTTTGTCTAGCATTTTGCTGAAGGATAATAATGTTTTCTTTGACAAGTTCTAGACTAAACTGTAGGTATTTAACCTTGTGTATTTCAACAAGTGATAAGTAAAAATCTATGTGTAGTAGGAGTACATACATAAAACAAACTATGTAACATAAATGATGTATGTTGTAATAAAAAGTAGAAACAGGATAATCATGTCCATTTCCTATTTTTTATATGTCTCACGCCATCTAGAACAAAATTTATTGTAAAAGTCAGCTGAGACGTGGACAATTAACCATCAAAGTTGTTTACAACGTAGAGTATCGAATTATCAGTGATGTTCTGAAGGAAATTAACGAAATAATCTATTAAAATGGAATCTATATTACGTCTTTTACAAAAAGAGGACCTTCTTGATGAATTTTCTTACGAAACAAACGATGTCATCGACAGAAAAGTCCAAGAAAACCTAGCAAAATGGCAATCTACGGATAAACCATTAGCTCCATTGAATGATTCCAAATTGGAGCTGATTTATCAAATGAGAGAAGCATTAAATGATAAATATTTCACCCCTAAAGAAATCCCAAAAGAAACAGGAGTTAACAATGGACTTATCAATAATTATAAAGATTTTTATGAGAAATATATTGCCATTGAAGATGAAATAAAAAAGGAACAACATTCTAGTTATGACGAACATAAAACATATGTTGATAAACAGTCTGGTGATTGCAAAGACCTTTTAAATGCCGTAACTATTAAATATTTTAATATTTGATTTAATTTTATAAAACTCATAAATATTTTAAAGGTTGAACACATTTCTGGTAAACTAGGACAACTAGCAGATAACTACAATCAAGTTTCAACAAAAATCAACTCTTTACACAATGTGAGTGAACAATTGATGAAGCAACAAACTTTGCTTAAAGAAAAGAAGGAGGAAATTAATGAGAGGCTTGTACATTTCACATTATACAACACTTTAAACCAAAATATTCACTCGCAAAGTTATAACTTGAACGATGACAAGTTTATTCAAGTTTTGGAGCAGATTAATACCAGTATGGCATATTTAAGTGAACATGTAAGTAATAATCACTTGTATAGAACTGTAGAACATCATAAAAATGTAATTACAGCAAGAATTTAAGGAAGCTTTTCCTTATAAATTGAGATACGAGCAATTGCTTTCAACTTGCTTGGCAAATGTTGTCAGATATGTTAATAATATTGTTTTGGATGCAACTGAACAAGTTGTAAACAATGCAGACATGAAAAGTGCGACGATTTCAGTCGCTAGTTCAGGTGAACCTAGTGTTGAAACAGCATTTTCATATTATTATGGTAAATTTCAAAATGCCGCCACAAAAACATCAAATATCATTCGTTACGTTGAGAATAACTGCGAACGCCATGATGCGTAAGTTATTCAAGTGATTTTAAGACAATTAAAGTTAAAATTCAATCATTTTTAGTTATGAGCGCAGTTTAATGGACTTTTACAAGTCGTATTTCTCACAACGCACGCCAGTAATGCAAGCTGCTGTCTCCAAAGCTCTGCTTGATTTGAGAGATAAGTATAAAACAGATCACGGTATTCTATTCCGGTCAGCAGCGTTGTTTATCGTTAAAGTTTGTCAAGATGAGACAACTTGCTATCAGTATTTCTTTCAAAACGCATCACAACAGTTACAGTAATGATTATTTTAGTTGTAAAGTTTATATATTTCATAAAGTGTGTTTTAGTGATTATTTATATTCAATTTGTCAGAATTTGTACGATGTTTTGAGACCTTGCTTGATTGGAATCAATCATATTGAAGTATTGACTGAATTATGCACGATTTTGAAGGAAATGGTTGGAGAAAACATTCAAAACAATCGTATGTATTATATATTTAGTTTAAATGATACATTTTAGGTTATTTTTGTTTCATAGCTGCTTTAGATCAATTTGTTGATATAATCAAGCAACTTTTGCAAGATGTAGAGGAGCGTCTGGTGTTTCGCACGAATATTTTCTTTCAATATGATATACATTCATATGAACCATCACCTGGTGATCTTGCATACCCTGAAAAGTTGGAACAAATGGAGGATATCGCTGAGGAGTTGATTCAGCGACGTCCTGATTCACGTGCTTCTTCTATTTCAGTTGAATCACAGGAGGTAGCAGCGATTAATGCGTCGGTTGTGGGCCAGTTTCGTAGTTATACTGGCAGTGAGTACAAAAATTCAAAATGGCGGATATTTTTTGAATAATTTTGAACTATTTTCGTTTAGATTCGCCTGCAGATTTGCATGGAATGTGGTATCCAACTGTAAAACGTACTTTAGTATGTCTCTCGCGTTTATATATCTGTTTAGACAGAGAAACATTCCAAGGAGTCGCTCAAGAGGGTTTATTAATTTGTGTTAAGACGATTGACAAGGCTGCAGAGCGTATTTCAGCTCGTAAAGTAATATAACGTTAAAAATATTGTTTTATATTGAATAATATTGTTTGTATGTGATATTTTAGACTCCTTTGGATGGTAAACTCTTTCAAATTAAGCATTTGCTTATAATTCGAGAGCAAATTGCTCCGTTTCAAGTTGATTTCACTGTTAAAGAGCTTTCTTTGGACTTTACACACATTCGCTCTGCTGCTGTTGAATTGGTGCATAATCGTGATAAGATTTTTGCTTTCAACGGCAATAATGCTATCCTAGAGTTTCTTCTTGAAGGCACTCCGCGTGTTAAAGCGTATTTGATTGATTCACGGAAGGAAATTGATAAACAATTAAAAGCATCATGTGAAAATTTCATAGCTAACACAACTACGCTTTTAATTGGTGCGCTTCAACAGTTTTTACAAAAGGTATAAACACAATATTAACAAATATGTAATATTTTAATTTTTTATGATATTTTAGGGTGAATATCAATTGAAACTTATCGAAAGTTTTAAAGATAGCACCACTCCTCCTATTCGTGAACAAATTGCGACTACTCCACAAGTTTTAGCAGGAATTACAACTGCAGTTCAGCGCAATTTGAAAACAAAGATTCCTGATGTGCAGAAATCTATGCGTTTGTACTTGGCTAACAGGGAAACAGAGTTTATTTTGTTCCGCCCAATCAAAGTGAGTCTAAGAGTTTATTGTTTCGTTTCATATTCCTAATTGTTTATATTTTAGAACAATATAATCAATACATTCATTCAACTGGAGCAGTTTTTGGTAAATGCAAAGTATACACAGGATGATATGCTTTTGGTTGGTTGTCCTACTGCTGAACAACTTAATGTTCTTATTTCTTCGGTTTCGTTGATGGCTGATCAAGAACATCATCATTTGAATCGTTCCACTAGTCATAATAGCAACAAATAACTTTAATTTTAAATTTTTATTACAAAATGGCTTTAGAAAGTATAAAATGGCGGATATTCCTGCGCAATATGAAAAGTATTTACTTATAAATATAAATAAGTATAAAGGAGTATATACAATGCTGCAATGTATTAAATAATTTGATTTCTTTTGAATTTTTAAAATAATTTAAAGCTAACTGACAAATCATAACCTCAATATTTTAAGTTGGATTTGTTTAGCTCACAGAGTGAACGTCTTGTGCCCGTTACAATTTAATTTAGTGATAATGCCTTTACTACAATCATATTCCCCGAACTATTTCTGCCTAGAAGATATAATAGCCACCCAAGAACGTCTTCCATGCCGATTTCTTACAACCATACCAAAATTAGGTAAATAAACAACAAATATTCAAGTTCCTTGATAATTTTTAAAACTTTATTGTACAGGTAAATTAAATTCAGCTTCTGAAGATGATGACCTAGCTGCTGGTACAGCACTAGAGTTACCACTATGGCTAGCACAATCATTAACATCAGGTAGACAAGCAATAGTCTCAGCAGAACTGCCTCGAATCTTCACTGAACCATACAGAGAAATACTGAAAGCCGATCCAAATGCTGTGAATCTCCACAAATGGAATATAAACTTCTATGAGTTTGGATTCTATGCAAAAAGTCTCGATCAACGTCGTGAAGTTGCTAATATATTAATTTATGTAAGAATATTTCTAAATTTATTGAAAAAAGCGAATTTTATTTAAAAAACATTACAGACATTCACAACAAGGTTCAAGAAGTTAATGGACCTGGCAGATAACGTAGGAACGGATCCAACCGTCGAAAATGGTTTGGATATGCTCGAATGCACGTTGTTTAAAAGCGGTCACAATGCACGCATGAAACTGAATCATTGGTTGATGGAATCACACATGCAGCTAGAAGCATCCCACATGGTTACCAATCACAAGAAAAGGAAACACGTAAATTTAACACAATAGTTTTTTTATTATCAAAAATACGATTCGATATAAAAAGATTTAAAATGATTATTTGCGAGACATAAACTTCGGTCGTTTTGGTTTCGATGGGCTTGCGACTTCTTTTTCTACTTCCGGTGGTTCTGGTGAGATATTCAAATCGATTTGTTTCTCTCCATTGAAATCGTAACGTAATTTTAGTCGTTGACGAATCATCGCAGCTTTGATCAATCGCCTCCAATTGCCGAAAACGCGTTTCTCGTATTTTTCTTCTTCGCGTTTTGTTATCTCAGCTTGATCTTGCTCCCATGCATCGATCAAAACATCTTTGAATTCTTCACACACAACAAACCCTTCGTAAACAGCATGATTCCAACCACCGTGGAAATCGAAACCTGTTACAGCCGGCGCACAATCGATCTTTAACTTGGCCGCAACCTTTTTAAACCAGGAACTAAAATTAGAAGCAATTTTTATAAAGTTTCATAAAAACAATCAAAAATATTATATTATTACGTTGTAAGTGAACGCATTTCTTCGGCAGCATGCACGGTTTGAATAATTCTACATTTCCGTAGGCATTTCGCGGAACAACACCGTTTTCAGCTGTTGGTGGTTCATAATCCTGAACTTGCCACACTCCAAAAATTTCCAACAATTGATCGGTTATAACTGTATTAGAGAGCTAGAAACGCCATGTGTTAAATGTATGCAACCAGAAGTACATTTTAAGTAAATACCTTATCATATTTAGGCCGTGCTTTTACTATTTTATAAGGTTTCTCACCGGGTTTCACAACTTTTGCGTGTTTCAACCAAATATCACGTGAATGTAATATATAAACACATTCACGGTAATAAACTTCTTCATTCCGGATAAAACCTAATACAGGCGGATTTTCCGGGTATAATGCTTGAAATTTTAACAGATGGCGCTTTAGAACATACAATGGATGATCTTTATACCTAAAAATTAGTTATTTTAATGTTTTTGTTTGTTTTTAGCTATAAAAATTAAACTTACTCTGAAATAGTCTTAGGTAATGGCTGATCTAATTGTTGCCTAGCTAAATCTTCATCTTCTTCTTTATCTCGAGCTGTTTTTGTTCCAATGTATGGTTTTAACGTCGCATTCCACCATTCTGGTTCAGTTCGTAATTTACGTGTGACTGTATTCCAATTAGGACAGTATCTCTTTGTAACATCTTTTATTTTATTAACATTATCCCATGACAGGATATATGAAACAGGATGTGATGCTTTGTTGTAGATATCTTTGATACAATGTACTTTTCCTGTGACAACATCAGCACTAATCCATTTTTCTTCTTCTTCTAGAAATACTTCCACCCAGAGATCAATGCCTTTTGTTTTCTTCTTTTCTTCTGCTGCTTTTTCTTTAGCCAATGCTTCTAGTTGACTGCGAGGTAGAACACGTTTCTTAACTTTGACTTTTAAATCTTCTGGAGTTGGTTTGCTTCTTTTTATTGTGCCAGGTTCAAAATCACTGTCACTGTCTTCTTCTTTGTAAGTTTTTCGTACGGTTTTTTGTCTTGTTTTGTGTTTTTCTTCACGTATGTTTTGTTTAACTAAACTGATGATGACATCTTTTACATTTCCTTTTTCTGGTGAGAAATATGTGCTTATGTTTGGTGGAGTATTTTTCGTAGGTGATTTTATACGGTTTAGATTAATATTATTATTGCTTTTTTGTTTTGTAAGTTTTGCATCTTTGAGTTTTTGAAGTTTTGGTTTTGTTGATTTATCAGTATCAGATGAACTCATATCATCATTTCCGTCCAATTGTGGAATTATCCTTTTTGTTGGTGGACGAATTTTTATTTTATTTTTGTTTGTTAATTTCTTTTGTTTTTCATCATCTGATTGTAGCATGGAATCCATCAAAGCTGGATTTGTTGGATATGCTGGTTTTCTACTACGTGTTGCACGTTTTTCAGTAGTGTTTGTAGATTTTTGAACTTGAGGTGATTTTGATCTTCTCCATGAGGCTTTATCAACAAAATCATCGTCACTAGTGCTGCTAGTGGTGCTTAACTTCTTTAAATTAGGTTTTTTAGACTCTGAAGCTTCCAAAGCTTCTAATACTGCAACCTTTGCATCAATACTGGCAAGTGTTTTAGATTTTTTCGTTTTTCTGTTGAAGCAGACTTGGAACGTTTGTTTGATGTTGTTTTTTGAGGTATGTCAAGAGTATTTTTTGTTCTAGTTTCATTAGAAGCAGATTTTGAACGTGTAGATGCAGGTTTTTTGAAATCATCACTCTTTGTTTCAACAATATCATCCTTACTAGAGTTTAACTTCTTTAAATTGGGTTTTGAAGATTTTTTAGACTCTGAAGTCTCTAATACTGCAATATTTGCATCATTTTTAGATTGTTTCGTGTTTTCAGTTGAAGCAGACTTTGAACGCTTGTTTGACGTCTTTACCTGAGGTAAATCAAGAGTATCTTTCGGTTTAGTTTCATTAGAAGCTGATTTCGAACGTGTGGATGCTGTTTTTTTAAAATCATCATTCTTTGTTTGAGATCTAGTGTGTTTTCTATCAGATTTTTCTTTTTCCGGTGATTTAGTGTTATCCAAACTTGATTTTGTGTCTAATTTACTTAAACTAGGTTTAACATCTACTTTTTTGCTTTTATCTTTATCAACTTTATCATTTACCTTCTTTTGTGCAGGTTTTTTATGCGTTTTCTTTACTTTTTCTTCACTCGACGGCGCATTTTTAGCCACAACTGGTTTAATTTTAGTTTCATTCTTTAACGAACACAATTCACTCATTGGCGGCCTTAAAGGTTCAATCTGCAGAGACAAAACAATCCGGCATTGCATGCCTAACGCGCGTAACATTGCAACAAATATATAAACTAACAAATTCGCGCTTGTAGCAACTTTATTCCCAATTTTCTCAAGAATAACTTCCTCCAAATCAGTATTAACATGTTTCTCATCCTTTTCTGGTTTATACTGCATTGCTTTGTGATACCATCTAGTTATTTGTTCCAAATACTTCAAGTTGGTCCTCGCAGGTGGATAACAATCTTTTGTAGGGAGCAATGACAGTGCCATTGCCATAATATTCTCTTTGTTGAGGATATTATTGAGGTAGTTGCCATGTGCAATCCAGCACAACAAATGTACTTTGTGTACATAAACCTGATTTTCTTTCCTGATGCGATTCATGCGTCGTTTTATAGCTGCCATTAGATCAATACCTTTTTTCTTTTTGACTGTGGTTGGCATTGAGACTGTGATCTCCACACCTTGTTCAGGAATAATGTTTTTCTCTTTTGATTCATGCACCTCTTCCCAGTCACCTTTTTCTGACTCATTGTCTGATTCAAAGTCACTTGGGTGAAATCCAACTTCGGCTAAATCTTTAGCCAAATCTGCATATTAATAAACTATTAGTATACTATGTGTTGTAAAATAATTGTTTTGTTTTATGTTTACCAAAAGGTTTCTCCCCATGTGCTAACAAATCAGTAATTTCATCATTTTCATTTGTTTTCTCAGCATTTCTTTTTGCAAGGTAAGCTTCCACTTGCTTCTTCGCTTCTTCCAACTCCAGAACATGTTTATTCTGATGTGTGAATGCTTCAAGCACAGGAATCTCAGGAGTTTCATCTGAATTGGATGCTTGGAACTGTTGGGAAGTTGATGCAACTGGTTCATCCTTTTTTGTGTAAATACTTAAAGGATCATCAGAGTCTGAATCACTGAGAGCAGTTCTACTTTGTTTAACTTTACTCTTTTTTATAGTAGGAGTTTTATCAACTTTGAAAAAGGTTGAATTTAAATTGAGATCTTCTGGTTTTTGTAAGTAATTCTCAATATCACTCTCACTGCTTGAGGATTCATCAATTTGTTCAGGCATGATTTAGACCTACATGCAAGAATATTAATCATGGTGTAAATAAAAAAATATACAATGACAGACTTACCTATTCTTGGCAATCGAATAAACAATAAACAAACAACAAATACTAACATTAAACACAAGTAAATAATAATGAATAACTATAACATTTTATAAAATTGTGGAGTGAAAAGCCTCCAAAACGTGCAATTTTCACGCAACCAGTCGATGCCGGACAAAAGAGTACTTACTGCGCATATGCAGTATGAAGTATTGCGCAATAATTTAGCGCCAATTTTTTATTTAAAGGTTCTGTTTTGCGCAGTGGTGGTCGCGTACGGTTTTTTTCTCACGGGTTTATTAACGTGTTTAATTAAACAATCTCATAAATTAGTTTGATATAGTGATTTAATTTGTAAACTGAAACAAATGCTAATTGATAGATGGCATCGTACGTAAAGTTTGACATTTAACCACACTGACATTGCATTTGCGTTGTAAACTTCCGGAAACACAGTGTAAGCAAGGCTTTTTGAATGCTGCTTGCCTTCAGCATTCAGCAGCTAAGCGGTTGGCTATGAAAGTGCAACAGATTATCTAGAACACAAGTTAATTTTAAGACTTGACGAAGATGAAGGCGATGGCGAATCACTACGTCGTGAGCGCACACAAGGCGACAGCCGTAAACGCGTGTGTTACCGGTAAATCTTGCACGAATTTCCTCTTGAATGTTATACAATCCAACCTCAATTTACAGGCAATTTTACATCTCCAACCGAATTAAACCTGATTGTCGCTAAGAACTCTCGTCTGGAGATCTACCTCGTGACGCCAGAGGGTCTGCGTCCTGTGAAGGAAGTCGGCCTCTATGGAAAAATTGCTGTTATGAAATTATTCAGACCACAAGTAAGCTTTTTGGATATAAAATTGCATTTTTTAATAACAAATCTTTTTAGCATGAGAAAAAGGATTTGTTGTTCATTGTCACAATAAGATACAATGCAATGATATTGGAATGTATCAATGAGGGTAACAATTTGGAGATAATCACAAAAGCTCATGGGAATGTTTCTGATAAAATTGGTAAACCATCTGATACCGGCATTCTTGCTGTGATTGATCCAAAAGCACGCGTTATTGGTTTACGTTTATATGATGGATTATTGAAAATAATCCCATTGGAAAAAGACAACTACGAATTAAAAGCGTCAAATATTCGTATGGATGAATTGCAAGTTTTCGACGTGGAGTTTTTGCATGGCTGTGCAAATCCGACAATTATCCTCATACATCAAGATCCGAATGGTCGACATGTGAAAACACATGAGATATCGTTGCGTGAGAAAGAATTCGTGAAAACTCCTTGGCGGCAAGATAATGTCGAAACGGAAGCGTCCATTGTTATTCCGGTACCGTCGCCATTATGTGGAGCGATTATTATTGGTCAAGAGAGTATTTTGTATCATGATGGGATTACTTCTGTTGCTGTTGCGCCGCCAATTATCAAAGTAAGCTAAAAAATTGATAAAGTTTAACGAAAATTTAATATTTTTGTTTGTTTTAGCAAAGTACAATTACTTGTTTTGCTAAAATCGACCCCAGCGGATATAGATACCTGCTCGGTGACATGGCCGGCCATCTTTTCATGCTGTTCCTCGAAGTTGAAACCAACGCAGATGGCACTGATGTTGTACGCGACTTAAAAGTGGAACTTCTCGGCGAGATTTCCATCCCGGAGTGCATAACATACCTGGATAATGGCGTATTATTCATTGGTTCACGAATGGGTGATTCCCAACTGGTAAAACTCAACATCAAACAGGACGAGAGCGGGTCTTATGTCACACCAATGGAATCCTTCACAAATCTAGCGCCTATCTTAGACATGTGCGTTGTTGACCTTGAACGCCAGGGACAAGGACAATTGGTGACATGTTCCGGAGCATTTAAAGAAGGATCATTAAGGATTATCAGGAATGGTATTGGTATTCAGGAGCATGCTTCAATTGATTTAACGGGTATTAAGGGCATGTGGGCGTTGAACATTGCATCCGGGGGTAAATTCGACAATACTTTAGTATTATCCTTCGTCGGGCACACGATTATATTGAGTTTGAACGGTGAAGAAGTCGAGGAGACTGATATCACCGGATTCTGCGCGGATAATCAGACGTTTTACTGCGGTAATGTGATTCATGAACAAATTATTCAAATCACCCCTGCGTCGGTGCGACTTATCTCAGCGCAAACCAAAAATTTACTCTCGGAATGGCAGCCGAAGAATGATAAAAATATCAGCGTGGTTGCATGCAACACGGAACAAATTGTTGTTTCTACTGGTAGTAAATTATTCTACATTGAGATTCATCCATCGGAGTTAATTCTGATTGGTCAGACTATTCTGGATGTCGAGGTGGCTTGTTTGGATATTAGTCCATTGGGTGAAGGTGCAACCAGATCAGATTTAGTTGCTGTTGGCTTGTGGACTGATATATCCGCACGGATTCTACGCCTGCCTGATTTGAGTGAAGCTACAAAAGATAATCTAGGCGGTGAGATTATTCCGCGTTCGGTGTTGATGACAGCGTTTGAAGGAGCTAATTATTTACTCTGTGCTCTTGGCGATGGTTCAATGTTTTATTTCCTATTGAATAAAGAGTCCGGAACTCTTACGGATAAAAAGAAGGTGATTCTGGGTACACAGCCGACTGTTTTGAAGGCGTTCCGATCCCTCAGCACTACAAATGTGTTCGCCTGCTCGGATAGACCCACGGTGATTTATTCCTCTAATCATAAGCTGGTGTTTTCGAATGTGAACATGAAAGAGGTGAATCACATGTGCAGCTTGAACGCGGAAGCGTATCCGGATAGTTTGGCACTGGCCACGGATAATTCGATTACGATCGGGACGATTGATGAGATTCAGAAGTTGCATATTCGGACGGTGCCGCTGCAGGAGTCACCAAGGAGGATTGCGTATCAGGAACAATCACAGGTGGAGCATTTAGTTCTTTATTTAGTTAAAAATTTAATTTTATATTGTAAATTTTATTTGTTAGACTTTTGGAGTTCTTTCTGTACGCATGGATATTCAAGATTCCAGTGGTTTGATCCCTTCAAGGCCGAGCGCAAGCACTTTAGCACAATCCGTGACAATCTCCAGCAGTGTTGGATCTTTATCCATCGGAAAATCTAGTTCGGTGAGCGCAGGTTCAGGCACAGCTGCAGATCATGGAAAAGAAGTCGAGGTGCACAGTCTGTTGATAATCGATCAACATACATTTGAAGTTCTGCATTCGCATCAACTCATGCAACAAGAATACGCCATGTCACTCATATCCTGCCAATTGGGCGATGATAATAACACTTATTACATCGTTGGTACAGCAATTGTCAACCCAGACGAAGCGGAACCCAAACAAGGACGTTTGATTATGTTCCACTGGAACGATAATAAATTAACGCCAGTTTCAGAGAAAGAAATCAAAGGAGCTTGCTATTCTTTAGCTGAATTCAACGGGAAATTACTAGCAAGTATCAATAGTACTGTAAGACTCTTCGAATGGACCGCAGAGAAAGAATTGCGCCTGGAATGTTCGCATTTCAATAACATCATCGCGCTTTACTTGAAAACCAAGGGGGATTTCATTCTGGTTGGCGATTTGATGCGCAGTATGATTCTGTTGCAGTATAAAACAATGGAGGGTAGTTTTGAGGAGATATCACGTGATTACAGTCCTAATTGGATGACGGCTGTGGAGATTTTGGACGATGAGGTGTTTCTGGGTGCGGAGAATTCTCGTAATATGTTTGTTTGTCAGAAGGATAGTGCGGCGACTACGGATGAGGAGCGACTGCAGATGCAGCTTGTGGGACAGATTTATATTGGGGATATGATTAATGTGCTGAGGCACGGATCTTTGGTTATGCAGAATTTGGGCGAGACATCGACTCCGACTTCCGGTTGTGTGCTTTTTGGCACTGTAGGTGGCGCTATTGGTCTGGTGACGCAAATTCCGCCGGATTTCTACGACTTTTTGCTGGAACTGCAGAACAAACTGTCTGTTGTGATCAAGTCCGTTGGGAAAATTGAACATTCGTTTTGGCGGTCGTTTCATACAGACATCAAGACGGAACCTTGCGAGGGTTTCATTGATGGCGATTTGATTGAGAGTTTCTTGGATTTGTCGCCGAGTAAGATGAAAGAAGTTGCGTCTGGGTTACAAGTAGGTTTTATTGTAAAATTATGATTATTTCTAAACTAAATTTGCTTATTTTTCAGTTTGTGGGCGAAGGAAATATGAAACAAGAGTGTACAGTGGCGGATTTAGTTAAAATCGTCGAGGATCTTACACGTATCCATTAAAATATTACAAATTATAAGGAGTTACATTATTATTATTATTATTAATATTGTCTGCTATTTCTGTATATCGGTAACAATATCAACCAACTTATTAGAAATTGTTGCCTGTTCACACTGTATGCAACTAAAGTCACGACCACGTTTCCCGTATCGTTACGCACACACTCTTATCGTGTACATTTCTATAGCCTATTTTTGTTTGTTGAATTAGGCTGTTTGTCTTGAGTATGTGTTTACAAAGCGATGGCAATGTCACACAGACGGGAATTCGAACCAATTTATTTCGTAGATTAGACGATTTACTGCTCAGTTGTATTTCTTAAATCGTAAGTTTTATTACGTCATATCGTGATGTCGACCACAAGTCAAAAGATTCAAACAATCAAGGAACACATCAAAGGATATCCAGACTTTCCAACCAAAAATGTATTATTCAGGTACATACCTATATACATAAATTATAAAAATCACGTTTTGTTATCAGAAATGGAACGGATATTAATTACTGATATGTTGCTAATCAGTTATATTGGTAGTTAGGTGTATCAGTAGAGCTTTAGTACAAAGTATTAACAATCAAGTGGTCTACATCATGACTAAAACAGTTATTTTGTTGAATCTTCTCACCTTGATTGTGTTCTTTTCATATTTTTACGTGTTTTACAATACTGTTGTTGGAAATAGGAGTGTTAGTAATGAGTGATGTGTTAATACGCTTGCAGGGATATATTTTCTGTGCTGAAACAACCTTCGATCTTTGCATTACTGAGAGATATTATGCTCGAACACACCAAATCACTTGACTTTGACTGTGTAATTGGCTTGGACAGTAGAGGATTCCTGTTTGGGCCCATCATATCCCTGGAACACCAAAAACCATTCATCCCAATTCGAAAAAAAGGAAAACTGCCTGGAGAAGTTACAAGCGTTTCATACAAATTGGAATATGGAGAGGTATGACTCTTGAACTGTTCTTGAATTGTGTTAATTATGTTTATGTTAATTTTAGGACATATTTGAAATTCAGGCTGATGCTATAAAATCAGGGGACCGTATTCTAATAATAGATGATCTACTTGCTACTGGTGGCAGCCTATCAGCATCATGTGAACTGGTTCAATTGGCAGGGGGTATTGTTGTCGAATGCCTTGTGGTAATGGAACTGGCAGAGCTCAAAGGTCGCGACAAGTTTCAATCGAAAGTACATTCCTTCATACAATATTAATGTTTTGTTAAATAAATATTTTCTATTATATATTATGCTGTATTTTTCAACTTTCTTCAAAAGTTGGCTTACAAAACACTCTGGATCAGATTGTAAGTATTTAATTTCTTTATCATTTTCCTAAATAACTTTTGTAATTATCTCACAAATTAACTCCCAAAATTGCATTTTTATGTTCGAAGGACTAATTTTTGCTTGTTTTAGGGATTTTGCACCTGAGTCTGACATCGTAGAAGAACCATTCTTATATCAGATTGTAAGTATTTAATTTCTTTATCATTTTCAAACATAACTTTTGTAATTATCTGACAAATTAACCCCGAAAATTGCATTTTTATGTTCGAAGGACTAATTTTTGCTTGTTTTAGGGATTTTGCACCTGAGTCTGACATCGTAGAAGAACCATTCTTGCATCAGATTGTAAGTATTTAATTTCTTTATCATTTTCCTAAATAACTTTTGTGATTATCTCGCAAATTAACCCCCAAAATTGCATTTTTCTGTTCGAAGGACTAATTTTTGATGGTTTTAGGGATTTTGCACCTGAGTGTGACATCGTAGAAAGACCATTCTTGCATCAGATTGTAAGTATTAAATTTCTTTATCATTTTCCAAAATAACTTTTGTGATTATCTCACAAATTAACCCCCAAAATTGCATTTTTATGTTAGAAAGACTAATTTTTGCTTGTTTTAGGGATTTTTCACCTGAGTCTGACATCGTAGAAGAACCATTCTTGTATCAGATTGTAAGTATTTAATTTCTTTATCATTTTCCCAAATAACTTTTGTAATTATCTCACAAATTAACCCCGACAATTGCATTTTTATGTTTGAAAGACTAATTTTTGCTTGTTTTAGGGATTTTGCACCTGAGTCTGACATTGTAGAAGCACCATTCTTGCATCAGATTGTAAGTATTTAATTTCTTTATCATTTTCCTAAATAACTTTTGTGATTATTTCACAAATTAACCCATAAAATTACATTTTTATGTTCGAAAGACTAATTTTCGCTTGTTTTAGGGATTTTGCACCTGAGTCTGACATCGTAGAAGGACCATTCTTGCATCAGATTGTTATTATTAAATTTCATTATCTTTAATAACTTTTGTTATTATTACACAAATTGACTCCCAAAATGTATGCTTGTGTGTTTTCTTTAATAAAGAATATTTTTAAGTTTTTCTAATTAAAATTATTTCTGTTATTTCTACCCGATCACATATTTAACGATCCTTTAAAACATTTATTTTGAAAAGTGCATGCTAGTGCCATCTATCAATTAGAAACTACAACTACCGAAAGTTTTGAGCTTCGGTCCGTCGCCACCAGAGGCAGCACATTACTAGTTGCCGCGAAAACTTTATCAGTCTCCTCAACTTTCTGCGATCCTAATATTCAATCTTTATTTTGTCGACTCTGAGAGGCAAAATGACACAAAATTTGGACTCGAAACAGTCGAAACTCAGGTTTTGGTATTCGGATCGCAGAAAGCAAGAGGAGGTAAATGAAGGAGGCGGTAACTAGTAATGGCGGGTAAAATGAATGTTTAAAAATCTTTATTCAGCAAATTGGGCTTTTGAATTCTGAAGGATCTCGACAACTAAGAGGGCTAGAGAATTAAGAACTACATAATCTTATGCCTCGAAAAATTCTCTACAAGGTGACATCATTATTGAAAAATCATCAAAATGGCACAAAAAATTTTTAAAGAAAAGATTTTATTAAAAAAATGGCAAAAGATTTCTCTTTTTTATGGTCGAAATTAAAAGTTGGAATTTTTAAATTCTGTTTTCGAATTCTGATAGACAATTTAATTCTACATCAATTATTTTGGTATTTTTTTGCTAGCATTAACTGCTTAGGCCCTATTTGCAATTTTATAGAAAAAATTGAAAATGTATCGAAACAAACTGAAATAATATATATAATAATTTGACGGGAACTGTCTATGTCCACTTTCTGCGTTCCTAATACTACAGACTGATGAGCAGCAACATTTCAGCAAATTTCTCGACAAATTTTGTCGAGAAATCCATTGAAATTGGTAACAAAATTCTTTTGAATATTAGGATCACAGAAAGTGCAGTAGGTAGAATCTTCAGCAATCTTGAATAGCGGCGTAGTTTAGTTACTCGTGGATAGGTGACACTAGTGATACCGTTTTTAAATTAATATTGATACAATATAAAATTGATTTTGAACTATTTCTCATATCTAGCAGTGGCATTTCCATTAAAGTTTAAGGGATTTATGAATTAATTAAAGGAGTAACAATGTTGCGAGCTATGTTTCCCGTTTGGAACAAATAAAACAATGAAAATTTATAGTTAAAAATATAAAACAACAATTTTATTGAAACATGTAGAATCACAAACTCAATTTCTCAATAATACACAATTTTTAACAAAACATGCATGAAAACAGAATAATAATATGCAATTATATAATGCTCTTTTTATATCTTTTAACAAAATACATAAAAATGATATCTATATCAGCTTCAAAAGGTTGTAAATTCATTCAATCGTATTTGGAATCATCATCAACACCGGCAATCCAATCTTCAATTTCTTGGACTCTATAAATCAGAATGAATAACAGAATAGTAAAATATAAAATATTATAAATTGCAAAAATATAACATACGTTCTGGGTATTTTAGTCCAGTTGATACATCCATCTTCAGTAAACAGAACATCATCCTCAATACGAATTCCACCAGTACCACGGAACCTCTCCAGTTCAAGTTCCCAGTTCCCATTCAAGGCACCGTACGAAGGTAGCGGTAGAAGTTCCACCCATTTAGGGCACCGTAGAAGGGTAGCGTTATCGTTTACGTCAATGAAGAACTCATCGGACCATGGGGTACAGCGAATACTGTAAAAAAAACATAAGTTAAAACAACTTGCATAAGTATGCATACAAAACACGAAAAGTATCACCACTTTTGATCAATAATGAACATTAAACGCGGCAATAGTAAATAACATTACTATAGTTGATCGAATATAATGCAAAATTAGCAATTTTTTTACATTTGGCATGGTACATATATGCGATCCAAACTATATTAGAATGTGCTGCATACGGCAAATGGCAACAGCGTGAGAGGATGACAAACAAGGAAAATCTTCTAATTTTTCTCAATTTGTTCAAAAATTAAACGCCATAAAAATAACAGATTAAAAATTCTTAAACTAAGGAAAATTTTCTATAAAATAAGATAATTAAATTGAAAATTTATGAGATAAAATTTTAATTCAAAATAAAAATGGGCAAGGGGTGGGAAACACACAACTTTCAATATAACTCGGGTTACGGTATTTTCACGCGATAAATTTCAACACAGGAAGATACAGAATTAAATTCCGCATATGGGAAAACTATTCCAAACTTATTCTAGCATCGCGTTCGCGTGTTATAACAAAAAAACTACAATTCCTAGCGCAACGAGTACAACGGCGCAAACACAATTTTCACTATAACTCGCGTTACGGAATTTTCTAGCAAACAATTTTTATACTGGGAGATGCAGAATTAAATTCTGCATATGGGAAAATTAATTCGAACCAATTGTGATACCGCGTTCGCGTGTTATAACAAAAAAACTACAATTCCTAGCGCAACGAGTACTACGGCGCAAACACAATTTTCACTATAACTCGCGTTACGGAATTTTCTAGCAAACAATTTTTAAACTGGGAGATGCAGAATTAAATTCTGCATATGGGAAAATTAATTCGAACCAATTGTGATACCGCGTTCGCGTGTGATAATAAAAAAACTACAATTCCTAGCGCAACGAGTACTACGGCGTAAACACAATTTTCACTATAACTCGCGATACGGAATTTTCTAGCAAACAATTTTTATACTGGGCGATACAGAATTAAATTCTGCATATGGGAAAATTAATTCAAACTAATTATGATACCGCGTTCGCGTGTTATAACAAAAAAACTACAATTTCTAGCGCAACGAATACTACGGCGCAAACACAACTTTCACTATAACTCGCGTTATGGAATTTTCTAGCAAACAATTATTATACTGGGAGATGCAGAATTAAATTCTGCATATGGGAAAATTAATTCGAACCAATTGTGATACCGCGTTCGCGTGTTATAACAAAAAAACTACAATTTCTAGCGCAACGAATACTACGGCGCAAACACAACTTTCACTATAACTCGCGTTACGGAATTTTCTAGCAAACAATTTTTATACTGGGAGATGCAGAATTAAATTCTGCATATGGGAAAATTAATTCAAACTAATTATGATACCGCGTTCGCGTGTTATAACAAAAAAACTACAATTTCTAGCACAACGAATACTACGGCGCAAACACAACTTTCCCTATAACTCGCGTTACGGAATTTTCTAGCAAACAATTTTTATATTGGCAGATGCAGAATTAAATTGTGCATATGGGAAAATTAATTGGAACCAATTGTGATACCGCGTTCGCGTGTTATAACAAAAAAACTACAATTCCTAGCGCAACGAGTACTACGGCGCAAACACAATTTTCACTATAACTCGCGTTACGGAATTTTCTAGCAAACAATTTTTATATTGGCAGATGCAGAATTAAATTGTGCATATGGGAAAATTAATTGGAACCAATTGTGATACCGCGTTCGCGTGTTATAACAAAAAAACTACAATTCCTAGCGCAACGAGTACTACGGCGCAAACACAACTTTCACTATAACTCGCGTTACGGAATTTTCTGGCAAAATATTTTTATACTGGGAGATGCAAAATTAAATTCTGCATCTAGGAAAATTAATTCGAACTAATTGTGATACCGCGTTCGCGTGTTATAACAAAAAAACTACAATTCCTAGCGCAAGGAGTGAGAAAAATCACCCTTCCAAAAATTTGGGCGGGTTCCTACGGTGCCTTGAACACGAGTCACTTTTACCGCTAGCCTCGTAAGGTGCCCTGAATCGAGTCACTTCTACCGCTAACAAATACCACCCGGCGGAGATTTTAATTCTACATTTTTTGACGCCCCGCTGAAGTTACTAAGTCGCAGAGTTCGCATAGAATAACGAAAATATACAAAAATATACCTAATACTGACAATCAGAAGTATCAAACATACATACATACTGTACTACTACTGTATTATACTGTAAACCTGAGATTGAGAATCGTAGAATAAGTATTGAAGCCAAGTAGGAAACATATCAGAGAATGGATTTGCATTAAAACCGGAATTGTTCGCATGAATCGACACTACAAAACTCGAAATTTGGAAAATGGTTGAACTGAACTGAAGGGAAATTCCCGATCAAGTAAAATTGCGATAAGAACAAGTCAAAATAATTCAATGAAATATTTGATCTATAGAAAAGAAATACTAACACCGATGAACAAGTAGAAGTCAAACAATTCTCGTGTGCAAGTTGTAGGGTACGGAATTAATATATTTTTAGCTGTTTTATTTTCATGCATCAACCGGCCTAGCATCTCACATCAGGGGCATTATAAATTCGCATATCTGGGGCATTCCAGTGTAAACATTAAACATCGGTAAAAATAAGCATTTACCAGGCGGGCAATGTATTAAATTCATATTAATTCAAACCGGAATGACAATTACAATGACGCGAAACTGAATTATGCCCATGAAATGAAGAATTTAATTATAATCTCACCCATGAACTCTCACCCTGTGCATTGTAACTCATGAAACGTCACTGACCCTCACTGGTATTTCTTCAATTACTATAATAAATGAATAATAAAAGTTAAAACATGTTATACAAATGCAAAATAAAAGAATGTTATCAATTCGTGCATCAAAACACGATGTTTGTTGTCGAAATGTGTGTGCACGGTGCATTCCACACGGCGAACGAGATAAGAACACACTAGTTGTAAACAAACACCGATAAGCGTCAATAGTCAGAAGATTGAACACAATGCTAGCTGGCAATATCGGCACAAGTTAGAAAGGCTTAGATTTTAATTTGAATTTAATAAAAGATGCAAACGTTCATATGAATTTACTGTATTAATTAGGTTTTAAGACCGTATTGTTTGCAACAGAGCTGAGATACCGGCGGCGGCCATGATGCGCCTGAAAGGCGAACACATTCACGGCGAACGCGACGTTATATCGGATACTGACAGACGCTTAGAATGGAAAACTAAATCAATTACATTTATCATTCTAACTTTAAATGAAGTCCAATGTTATTTACGCAAGTGCAGAATAAAATAAATAGCAATTCTTACCAATTGGAAGATGGCCGACGGCACTTCACAACAAGTAAACAACATAGCCGCGATACACTTACGCGCAAATAATAAATAACAATACTAAAGTTGTACTAAAGTCAAGTTAAAATTAAATAGTCAATTGATGATCGAATATAATTCGAATTGGAAAGTAGAAGTCCGGATAAACAATACGAGTCGCGCAAAATACGTCTGGATCAACCAGCGACCGGCACAAAACTGGCCGCAAGCTGCATAAGCAACGACGAGGCAGTTTATGATAAGAAAACAAGAGGTGCGCAAAGCCGGCGCGTCGATCACACGCGACCTTATGCGCGAATTGCATATGGCAGTTTACCTGGGATCAAAACTAAACTAAGATGTAGCAACATGCGGCGTGAGGTGCTGGCAACGACGACACACGGCAATGCGATAAGAAAGTGTATATTGTGTTCAAACAAACACAATTCTTGTGTCGAAGGTTCACGATTGCTGATAAATATAGAAATAAACAATACAAGTTTATTTTACAATTTATAGTCCATGCTATTGCCATCTATAAATGATACAGTAGTTTCGAAATTTAGATTAGTAAAGATAATAAAAAATTTAAATTCGATTTGCGTAATTCTGATTTCTTATGCTGACAGATTGCCAGATTTAGTGATATTTAATTTAAACATGCATCGTTTTTCGTTTACCAGGTAACACATTAGTCCGTAATCATCTGCTGATAATAAAAATGTATTAGAATTAATATAAAATTGTTAGTTATATTCATGAAAGAATTGAAGAATATTTGCTTAAATTTACGATGCTAATATAATAAACAGCAACGGTGTGTTTTGATTCCACGAAATAAAGATTCGATACCTGCAGGTAAACAAACTTATCTCTTGCGCGAAATCGCGTGATCCACACGGACACGGTGTGCACTCACTACCACCAACAAGCAATATTTAATGCAAAACCGTACATCGTAGCGCCATCTAACCTTTGAAAATATTTATCAACTTCAAAACACATTTATCAAATATGCAACAAAAATATGCAAAAAAGTCAATACATATCTGGAAATGAGGTAAATAAATTTCAATACAGGGAGATACAGAATTAAATTCCGCATCAGGGAAAATGATTTCGAACTTATTGTGACACCGCGTTCGAGTGTTATATTCAATCATTTCATTTTATTCAATCGCGAATATCTCGCAAACTAAAAGAGATAAATAGGATCTGATCGCAGCGTCTTAATCTACGGACGAAAAACGCGACTAAAAGTGCTAAAAGTGACATTTTGCAATTTTTTGTGCCATTTTATTCATTTTAAATCGCGAATATCTCGTAAACTAAAAGAGATAATTAAGATCTGATCGCAGCGTCTTAATCTACGGACTAATCTCTATCAGATAGGATAGTTAAAACCGAAATCTGAGAGATGAAATTTTAATTCTTAAGAAAAAATTGCCAAGGGGGGGTGCTTGATACTTTTTTTCGACGATTTTCAAAAATTCATATCTCTTAAACTAAAAGAGATAGCTACCAACGAATTGTTGATTATGAAAGATTGGAAAATTCTCTATCAGATAAAAATATAAAATAATTATATTTCCTACAGTAAAAGGTCGAAAAACGCGACTAAAAGTGCTAAAAAGTGACATTTTGCAATTTTTGCCCATTTTATTCAATCGCGAATATCTCGTAAACTAAAAGAGATAAATAAGATCTGATCGCAGCGTCTTAATCTACGGACCAATCTCTATCAGATAGGATAGTTAAAACGGAAATCTGAGAGATGAAATTTTAAGTCTTAAGAAAAAATTGCCAAGGGGGGGTGCTTGATACTTTTTTTCGACGATTTTCAAAAATTCATATCTCTTAAACTAAAAGAGATAGCTACCAACGAATTGTTGATTATGAAAGATTGGAAGATTCTCTATCAGATAAAAATATAAAATAATTATATTTCCTACAGTAAAAGGTCGAAAAACGCGACTAAAAGTGCTAAAAAGTGACATTTTGCAATTTTTGCCCATTTTATTCAATCGCGAATATCTCGTAAACTAAAAGAGATAATTAAGATCTGATCGCAGCGTCTTAATCTACGGACTATTTTCTATCAGATAGGATAGTTAAAACAGAAATCTGAGAGATGAATGCTTGATACTTTTTTTCGACGATTTTCAAAAATTCATATCTCTTAAACTAAAAGAGATAGCTACCAACGAATTGTTGATTATGAAAGATTGGAAGATTCTCTATCAGATAAAAATATAAAACAATTATATTTCCTACAGTAAAAGGTCGAAAAACGCGACTAAAAGTGCTAAAAAGTGACATTTTGCAATTTTTGCCCATTTTATTCAATCGCGAATATCTCGTAAACTAAAAGAGATAAATATGATCCGATCGCAGCGTCTTAATCTACGGACTATTTTCTATCAGATAGGATAGTTAAAACCGAAATCTGAGAAATGAATGCTTGATACTTTTTTTCGACGATTTTCAAAAATTCATATCTCTTAAACTAAAAGAGATAGCTACCAACGAATTATTGATTATGAAAGATTGGAAGATTCTCTATCAGATAAAAATATAAAATAATTATATTTCCTAAAGTAAAAGGTCGAAAAACGCGACTAAAAGTGCTAAAAAGTGACATTTTGCAATTTTTGCCCATTTTATTCAATCGCGAATATCTCGTAAACTAAAAGAGATAATTAAGATCTGGTCGCAGCGTCTTAATCTACGGACTATTTTCTATCAGATAGGATAGTTAAAACCGAAATCTGAGAGATGAAATTTTAAGTCTTAAGAAAAAATTGCCAAGGGGGGGTGCTTGATACTTTTTTTCGACGATTTTCAAAAATTCATATCTCTTAAACTAAAGCAGATAGCTACCAACGAATTGTTGATTATGAAAGATTGGAAGATTCTCTATCAGATAAAAATATAAAACAATTATATTTCCTACAGTAAAAGGTCGAAAAACGCGACTAAAAGTGCTAAAAAGTGACATTTTGCAATTTTTGCCCATTTTATTCAATCGCGAATATCTCGTAAACTAAAAGAGATAATTAAGATCTGGTCGCAGCGTCTTAATCTACGGACTATTTTCTATCAGATAGGATAGTTAAAACCGAAATCTGAGAGATGAAATTTTAAGTCTTAAGAAAAAATTGCCAAGGGGGGGTGCTTGATACTTTTTTTCGACGATTTTCAAAAATTCATATCTCTTAAACTAAAGCAGATAGCTACCAACGAATTGTTGATTATGAAAGATTGGAAGATTCTCTATCAGATAAAAATATAAAATAATTATATTTCCTACAGTAAAAGGTCGAAAAACGCGACTAAAAGTGCTAAAAAGTGACATTTTGCAATTTTTGCCCATTTTATTCAATCGCGAATATCTCGTAAACTAAAAGAGATATATAAGTACAAATCGCAGAGACTATTCTACGAATAAATTCCTATAAGATAAGCTAGCTAAATTGTTAATTTAAAATAATAATTAGTCAGGAAAAATGGGTAAAGGGGATACTGCATCATGTTTCTATCACGTAAAATTTAAATAAATATTACAATTTCTAATCTATCTGAGGCGTGATGTTCAAATTTAAAGCTGCGTTTTACAAGCTTGTTCCCAATATTAAATCATAAATCGTATCGTATAAGCGCTATTTTGCAATAATTAAATACAACTGGATAGAGAATTTAATTCTGCATATTTGGACCCCGCGCCCAAGTTTGTAAGACGTTACTCCCAACAATAAAAAATAATTAAATTATTTAATGAAATATATAAATATTTATATATATATATAATTGAATTATAAACTTACCAATGCAGGATTCATCAGACTCCAAAGCAGGTGCAAATACTGTAAACAAAAAAAGGAAACATAAGTAATACTATATTCACACAGCGGAGAAAAACAAACTGTGCTGTTTAGTTAAAAAAAAAACACCTACAGCAGCACGATGGGTCATCCAAATGATGAATAAATCAACATGGTCGCGATACACTTACGCGCAAATAATAAATAACTGTACTAAAATTACTAAAGTCAAGTTAAAATTAAATAGTCAATTGATGATCGAATATAATATGAATTGGAAAGTAGAAGTCCGGATAAGAAGTTTGGATCAACTAGAGACCGGCACAAAACTGGCTGCAAACTGTATAAGCAACGACGAGGCAGTTGATGATAAGAAAGCAAGAGGTGCGCAAAGCCGGAGCGTCGATCAGACGCGACCTTGTGCGTGAATTGCAATAGATGCGCAAACTCGGCGGCGCGTCGATGGAACGCGACCTTATGTGCGAATTGCATTTGGCAGTTTACCTGGGATCAAAACTAAACTAAGATGCAGCAACATGCGGCGTGAGGTGCTGGCAACGACGACACACGGCAATGCGATAAGAAAGTGTATATTGTGTTCCAACAAACACAATGCTTTATTTTACAATTTTTAGTCCATGCTATTGCCATCTATAAATGATACAGTAGTTCCGAAATTTAGATTAGTAAAGATAATAAAAAATTTAAATTCGATTTGCGTAATTCTGATTTCTTATACTGACAGATTGCCAGATTTTAAATCAAATATTTAAGTGATATTTAATTTAAATAAGCATCGTTTTTCGTTTACCAGGTAACACATTAGTCCGTAATCATCGGCTGATAATAAAAAAGTTTTGCATTCTTGATAATTTTTATAATAAACTATTAGAATTAATATAAAATTGTTAGTTGTTTAAATTTACGATGCTAATATAGGTAATAAACAGCAACGGTGTGTTTTGATTCCACGAAATAAAGATTCGATACCTGCAGGTAAACAAAATTATCTCTTGCGCGAAATCGCGTGATCCACAAGAACACGGTGTGCACTCACTACCACCAACAAGCAATATTTAATGCAAAACCGTACATCGCAGCGCCATCTTACCTTTGAAAATATTTATCAACTTCAAAACAAATTAATCAAATATGCAACCAAAATATGCAAAAAAGTCAATACACATCTGGAAATGAGGTAAATAAATTTCAATACAGGGAGATACAGAATTAAATTCCGCATCAGAGAAAATGATTTCGAACTTATTGTGACACCGCGTTCGAGTGTTACTCGTATATTCAATCATTTCATTTTATTCAATCGCGAATATCTCGAAAACTAAAAGAGATAAATAGGATCTGATCGCAGCGTCTTAATCTACGGACGAAAAACGCGACTAAAAGTGCTAAAAAGTGACATTTTGCAATTTTTGTCCATTTTATTCAAACGCGAATATCTCGGAAACTAAAAGAGATAATTAAGATCTGATCGCAGCGTCTTAATCTATGGACTAGTCTCTATCGGATATGATAGTTAAAACCGAAATCTGAGAGATGAAATTTTAATTCTTAAGAAAAAAATTGCTAAGCGGGGGTGCTTGATAGTTTTTTTCGACGATTTTCAAAAATTAATATCTCTTAAACTAAAAGAGATAGCAACCAACGAATTGTTGATTTTGAAAGATTGGAAAATTTTCTATCAGATAGAAATATAAAATAATTATATTTCCTACAGTAAAAGGTCGAAAAACGCGACTAAAAGTGCTAAAAAGTGACATTTTGCAATTTTCGCCCATTTTATTCAAACGCGAATATCTCGGAAACTAAAAGAGATAATTAAGATCTGATCGCAGCGTCTTAATCTATGGACTAGTCTGTATCGGATATGATAGTTAAAACGGAAATCTGAGAGATGAAATTTTAATTCTTAAGAAAAAAATTGCTAAGGGGGGGTGCTTGATACTTTTTTTCGACGATTTTCAAAAATTAATATCTGTTAAACTAAAAGAGATAGCAACCAACGAATTGTTGAATATGAAAGATTGGAAAATTCTCTATCAGATAGAAATATAAAATAATAATATTTCCCACAGTAAAATGTCGAAAAACGCGACTAAAAGTGCTAAAAAGTGACATTTTGCAATTTTCGCCCATTTTATTTAAACGCGAATATCTCGGAAACTAAAAGAGATAATTAAGATCTGATCGCAGCGTCTTAATCTATGGACTAGTCTCTATCGGATATGATAGTTAAAACGGAAATCTGAGAGATGAAATTTTAATTCTTAAGAAAAAAATTGCTAAGGGGGGGTGCTTGATACTTTTTTTCGACGATTTTCAAAAATTAATATCTGTTAAACTAAAAGAGATAGCAACCAACGAATTGTTGAATATGAAAGATTGAAAAATTCTCTATCAGATAGAAATATAAAATAATTATATTTCCTACAGTAAAAGGTCGAAAAACGCGACTAAAAGTGCTAAAAAGTGACATTTTGCAATTTTCGCCCATTTTATTCAAACGCGAATATCTCGGAAACTAAAAGAGATAGTCAACACACGATAATTGTGCATATCGTTTAAACTAAAAACCTTCGCGACCAAAGAAAGTTATGAAAGATTGGAAAATTCTGCATTAGATAAGTATTTAAAATAATTTAATTTCGTGGGGTAAAAGAACCAAAAACGTGACTAAAAGTGCAATTTTTCTTTTTTGCCCTTTTTTTTTTGAATCGCGTATATCACCTAGTTATGTCCGACCCTACCAGTCGCCTTATTTGTGTCACAGGTAGGTAGTTCGTGATAAATAGATAACTTGTTTATAAACAGCAAATGTAAATTTGACCGAAAAATATAATTGAATTATAAACATACCAGTGTACAGCTTATCGGACTGCCAGGCACAACGAGTGCTGTAACTAAACGAAAACATAAATTAAAACAAAAATATTTCATACAATTAAATTATGTTATAATTAACAATCAACACAAAATAAACAATCTGTGTTGTTTAGTTAAAAGATACTTACACGAGCCTGATGGATCTTTCTTAATGATGAGAATCAACATGGGGATGATATATATTCGATTAATTTAGAAACCGACACCAAACACAACGCCGAGTGAAGAATGTTATCAAATCCACTATCACGTAACTTGTAATATACATAACAAACGCGATCAAAAACCGGCATTTCCGAACAAACAAATTACTATAGTCGCAAAGTACAAATAAATAGTCGATTGATCTTCGAGTATAACACAAATTTAGAATATTGAAGTCCGAATAAACGATATAAGTATCTAAACACAACTGGATTAAGCAGCGACCGGCACGAAACTGGCTGCAATCCATCGATAGTGCGTGCCGAAACTGCGTAAACAACGACGGGACAGTATATGATAAGAAAACAAGAGGTGCGCAAAGACTGCGCGTCGACGTCACGCGACCTTGTGCGCGAATTGCAGTAGATGCGCAAAGTCGGCTGCGCATTGATCGCACGCGACTTTGTACGCGAATTTGCAATAGGCACATTACCTGTGATCTAAACTAAACTAGACTTCGCTGCATGCACGCCGCAGACAACAGCATTGTATACAAAACTATTCTCGTGCCCACATTTGTCGATAAATATAAAAATAAGCCGTATAACTCGATTTTATGGTTTTTAGTGCATCCTAGTGCCATCTATGAATGCGACAGATACTAGTCCCAAAATTTAGATATTCAATAATTAAGGCCTTATTGGCATGTAAAAATTAAAAGAAAAGGAAAAAAGAAAAAAAAAACAGTGTATTTATTGTATAATTTATTAATAAGTATTAACATTTCTAATTTTGTCTGGCGTAACAATTAATATTTGCACAATAACAAAACAAATTATATACAACATAATACGAATCTTTGGCACTAACATCTTACCAGTTGCTTATCATCTTTACATCATACATCATATACAATTAGATTAAAAACTAAATACATGCCAACCTAGAGCCTATAAAAATTGTACGTCCTGTTGCATTTATTAAGTAAATTTACTTTTAAAATCGGGTATTTTCCCGTCCTCTATAATCCCAGGACTAAATTTGTACTCTAAAAAGTCTCTTATGTTGTTTGGACATGGAACCGTGCGACCAATGAACTCAATACTCGCCATTGGATGCAGATAATGATCGGGAAAGTCGGTATTCACCTGACTTGTGAACCAGTTATCCTTGACCATGGTACCATTCTTCTGATAGAACGGAAATAGATTAACGTATATCCTATTCACTTTACTGTACAGTACTCTATAAAAGTTTCCTTCAATTGCCTTCTCCCAGACAAACCCTTTGCTGTCTGTAACTGGCTTGGTCTTAGCTCTTTTCAACCAAAGACAACGACTTAAATCATCACGGTTGAACCCGACATCTATATCATAGTCCCATGGAATGATGTCGCCATATCGCATGGCACCAAGTAAGGAAGCACCCTCCAACCAGTACCTGATTCCCGCTTCTTCTAAAATAGCAAAGACGTGCTTAGCTGTTATACGTAGATTCTGCAAACAACATGGCGGTGTTTGCTTTCCTTCGTAGATGTAGGAAGGTGTGTAGTTGATAATGCTTCCAAAACATCTCGGGGTGTCCCGGGAGCATCCAAAGCTTTCACTCACACCAGTCTCGCTGGTTGCCTTTTTAATGCCAAAGGATTCATACAAATGTTTCAAATGCAATTTATCCGATTTGCTCTTGAGTCTTTGGGCATGATGCGAGTAGAAAATGGATTTGCCATCATGAAATTGTAAATGTTGCAAAATTTTCACCTAAAAGCAAGAAAACATAGATTAATCTATTGTTACCATTGTTAAACATGCTACTAACTTTAATATTCAGCAAAGATGTGAGTAGATACAGCGAATGTGGATGTGGCAAGATGAAAGGATTATTCAACTTGTACAAAGTGTTCAATTCCACCAAGATGGCGTGCTTCCCTGTAACAAATGCACATTCCCGTGGATGGCCAGATTTATAAAACTTAATCGTCCAATCTTTCGGTACAATTTCAACATTTAAACAAGTAAGATTCCGATTGAGACTGTATGGTATCGCTACAATACTGCCGGTGTCATTCCGCAAAGCATTGATCATCATCTGAATGACCTGCCGGTGAATTATCCTTGTAGAATCCGGCACAAACAAAACATATGGCGTTTTGATCAAACTAAGCGGATTAAACAAGTACGGAGTGTCGAATGACGGTGCTAAATTTACACTCCGCACGTTTCTATTCATATAATAGTTAATTTGTAGCGGTGGATATGGATTCCCATTCGAAATGATAAGTATCTGAATGTTTGGGAAAACTTTAAGGAACGACTCCACCGTGCCGGAGACATCATTCTCATTTAAATCAAAGTCACGCAGCACTATCGTCGTTTGTTTGCTGATGTGCTTAGTAGCTGGTTTACTACTTGGCGGCGATGATTGTGAGTGCAGGACGTTTAGTCCTTCGTCCCCAAGAAGGAGTTTGTATATTTTCCACAAAACTAGCGCGTTGGTAAGAACTAAACACACGGCGAGACACTTGGAAAATCGACACCGCATAATATAACAAGATAAATACGTTGGTTTTATAGATATTCGCGAATTTACATTGCGAGTTTGTTTACGTATAGTCGGAAATAACTGTATGTGGTTTAGTTACTAGTGCCGAAGGGGGTGTTTACCCTAGATTTGGACGAGGTTAAATTTTATTGATTTTCCGGCATTCATATTTTACTTTGACTGAATTTTTGGAAAAGCCGGAAATAAAACAGATTCCCAGTGTTATAATAATCAGAAATGGATTATTATCAATTTCCTTGATAATTATTTAATAATTATCAAAAAACGTACACAACCAAATTATAAAGCATCATCAGATGTTATAAAAAATTGACTAGCTAAATTACCATCCACGTGCAACTTAAATATTGTATAAATCCATTATTCCGTTATTGTGTACCACATACAATAGTCCCTAATGTATAAATAACATACACATGAACATCACTTACAGCTACACCTAAATTGAGTTATTTTATAATTGTACTACAAACATTCTACTGTCTACTGGCCAAAACAAATTACATAAAACCGCAAATAACTAAAATATCACCCAGAATTAGAATAGTCATCAAGCTTTTAGCTTGTGTTTGTTATTAAGAAGTATCGAGAACACAAATCGTACGATCTTCTCGTACGACACAAACATAAGAGCAGCTGTTAGTACAGTTTGAAGCAGTTTAGCTTCAAGTCCCTGAAACAAACCCGCTGGGCCGCTGCGTTTCAAAATCGAGAGTAATAATGCAGCCGTGCTAACATTGCTATTGATACCGTGACGTTGTTTTGTTTGCGCCAACTGAATCGGGTATGTAGCGATGGTGGCGCAGGCTTTCGCGATGGCACCCAAAATGAAGAACGCCCCAGCTCCACGTACCGGAATACGCCGTTTCAGAGCTTCGTAGATTGTGAATTGAATTGCTGGATTGATCACGAGCATTAGAGACGGGCCAACGCCATTCCAAAGTGCGCTAACTCCCTCAGTATTGGCAATGTGGACTAAGCCATCTAGCAGACCAGAATAGTAAATGGGTTTTTCAATCTACAAGAATAAAATGTCATAATAAGTGTTTATGTAGAGTTTTTGTTTTGTTATTACCTTCAATCGGCTGTTGACTACCCACAAAGGTAAAGTAGTCAACACATTTGCAATGCCTGCAATAATACCCAATGCAAGATCATGATAGCCACTACCAGCTTTTTTCAGTCCATGAAATGTATAAAAGTATACAAAATTTGAAGCACCTAAACTCTGCAGAACTGGTTTTACACCTCGATAGAGAGCTTCACTGTATTTAATGAAAAACATGGATTAATTATGAGAGAAAACACTTAAAAGTGTGATACACTTACAATCCTTCTTTCTTTAATATATGTACAACAGCTTGGAATGTGTTCAATGTCTTTAAATACTCAGAATGTTCATCTTCCACTGCAATACAAACAAATCATGTAAACTGATGTGAAAATAAATTGTATTTTTGCTTACATTGCATTCGAAATCTTACTGTGTCCAAAGGATAAAACACTGACATTGAGATTATGCTGCCCTGTTGCATAAAAAACAATTAATTTTAATAAAAATTAAACATATTCAACTTACAGTGGCCCCAGCAATTGCTCGAACAAATGTCTCATAGCTGAAGAGGTTTTGTTGAGCCATTATTAGATTTTAGTGTAATCTATAAGAAAAATGTTGTATTACAAATTGTTGATACATCTTGAGGATTAGTAATTTGTTTAAACTTACCTACAGTTAATTAAACCATCCAAAGCAATCGGTCTAGCCGATCGGAGCAAAGCGCAAAGGTTTACTGCGGGTATAACCAACAAAATCGCCGGAGTGGAAGTGGAGGCGCGGCATCAACGGATGTTTGACAAGGAAACGAACAAAATCTATGAAACCTGTATGAAACAAAGTAAACAGGTAATGAGTATGATGAGTGTAAACTGTGTAGGCGAAACTATCTGCAAGTCACTGTATAAATGATTAATCATTCATTAAATTCGTGCGCAAGTAGGTTTTATTTTATAAATCTTTCCATTATATTAATTATTAACTGTAAATATGCTAGAATAATAATAATTATCTTAAATTAAGAATTATTAGTCTTAAAACTTACTTAAAATTAACGTATATTCTCTAAATAATCATAAAATGTAAATGCGAAAATTAAAATTTGAAAGTGCGTCTTTTTTAGTTCAAGTTTCCTCCGCAAGATGGCAATACTAATACTAAAAGTTGATATATAATTATAAACAAAAGAAATTTAATTTTAATCACTACATCTAATTGTTAAAGAATATAAGAATGAAACTTGTTTATATTTATTTATAAATGTATTTAAAATGGTTCTTTTATAAAATGTAACGACATAAGTGCGCCAATGCAACATTTATCTTGCTTTTATTATTTTCATTTTTCTACCACTTGGACCACGCTTTAATATTTCGTGTGTATTTTTCGGGAAAGGCGTCGAAATTTATGGGAATGTTTGTAGCAAAGGTGGCCGTAATCGATCAAATGTTAGACGAGAAGTTTTACAAATTTATGCAGGAAAGTTACGCGAGGCCAGCACTGTCGTAAGGAAAAACGGGAAGAAAAATGTACATACGTACGGTGCACATGCGAGCGGATCGCAGATAGAGTGCCACGTTGAGGAAGGTTGTATGCATATTGTATAACGTAATCAGTAGGGGTGTGCATATGAGATTCCACATGCGCGCCTCCACCCGACGCTCATGTGCAAAAAATGGGGCGCACGGCGAGGAAAAACAAAGGAATAACATAACAAGTGCTAGATTTGGGTACGAACGAGTACTTGGCCCGGCTCAATTTTAAATAGAGCCGCAATCAACTGTTCTTCACACTCGTCAATAATAAAATTGAAATTTTTTGGTTTTTTCACGAAAAATTCGAGTTTTTGATGAAATTTAAAAATCAATTTCAACTCAAACGTTTTGCAAGTATCTACTACATAAATAAGAAACAAATGTATACACAGTTTAAGTAAGGAAATTAGAGGAAATTGAGACGGTCGCTTCGTTAATAAGGAAGTTGTTGCTCGGCGTCGCTGAAAGAAAAGTTGCTGTAATTACGCATTGCCAATTTCTGTCGCTCGCGATGGCACACTTCCAGTGCTTGCGAATTTATGTGATAATACTAATTGGGGTTCTAGATTTTATCAAAGCAATGTAAATCATATTAACTTACGCTGTTTTTACTCGGCGAAATATTTTGCAATATCGAAAAGTATTCTTTTACAATTTGTACAATTTGTCCTCGCCTATCAGACGCAAGCGTGGGCTGAAAAAATCACTCAATTTGTCATGCATTCATGGCAAATATACCGTTTTGATGGGGACAAATTATCACTTGAGCAAGTCGGCCATTGTTTCGTGAGTGAAAAATGGCCGACGCCCCAACAAATCGCTTTAATTTGATCGAATGTATTATTTAATCATTGATTTTATGCTCGACAAGGAAGCTGGCTAGACGCCCGATGGAATAATGCATTCAAAGCTCAACTTTTGCACAAGAAGTTGGCAATTTATTCAAAAAAGTTTTACTTTCAAAAACGAGACTTTATAGCCACCATAAAGACTCATAAAAATCGTGTAATATTTTTATTCAAAACTTATTTTTCTGCATGTTTAGAGCACGAATTCCAGAGTGCTTTTGTGTACCACTCACCAGTGACATGTGCGTGGAAATAAATTGATCATTAACGTCAACCTCCGGATGTAGAGGTAACATTATCTTCATTCTTTTTGCTTCCTACGTCGTTTAGTTTATGATATCCGAATAAAAACTTTCCAATCTGTCGCTGCGCAAAACAACATCGTCACTAATAATTACAATTCTGCGGCGTCTTCTTTGCGTTCTTCGTCGACCAATATTGAATGATGCCGAAGCATACGTTCTCGACACAAACGCCAAAACAATAACGCCCGCGCTTTATTGTGGTGGGTGGAATCGCGCGTTTTTGGGCCGTGTCCGGTCCCGCGCGACGCCGAAAAGTTTTAAGCGTTATGATGCCATACTTAGTTATCGCAGTTCTTCCCCTGTTTTAGATACGGCACATTAAATCCGAAAAGTTTGCGACCGACCGAATGATATAATCTTACTGGTTGGTCGGTGTTTTTTTCGCGTCTGGAGCGCGTTTAGTTTTTCGGCAGCGGGTGCCTAAACAGCACTTTCGTGGCTTGCGCCTTCCGGGCGTCGATCCCCAATTGTTTGGAACCGCCACGGGATGCGCTTCACTTAGTTTCACTTAACAACAACAAAAAAATAACCGAAACGTTTAAGTTAGTTGCGGTTTTTGTGTGCTTACCTCGTCAGGTTTCTTTTTAGCAAAGTTATAAAGTATTTTTTGTATTTTGAGAGATGTATGATAAAAATAAAGAGTGGGGATGTGAATTTTTAGGTTAAATACCGGTATTTTAGTTTATGGGTAATTTATAAATCAAAATATCGCAAAAAATGAAATTGGTATTTCACATTTGTAATTAAAACTCATTTTTTGTATTTTGATGAATAAATAAGGATTAAACACGTAAATTTTAAAATAAAAATACCGGTATACCGGTATCAATACCGGTTTTGAATATTCCTCCTTATAATCTATTTTATTGCAATTTTTAATAATTTTATGACAAAAATAATTATTGATTTTGCTGCCATTAAGTATAAAGTATTGATTAAACTGCTTTCATTTTCAATGCGTTGGAAAGTTTCGGTTTTGAGTTGCCATTCTAAACTGTACACTCGAGCAAAGTGCAAAAGTCTTTCCCTTTTTCGCTGAACTTAATATCGCGCGAAGGAAATTAATTAAAATGTCAGATTCTTATAAGCGCACGCCGGAATTAGCAGAAACTTATACGTCGGGCTATAACATCTGCTCAACTATTATAAAGTTTCAAGCGCGAAATTAATAAATAGTTTGGCAGGAAGCATGATGCAAAAATAAAAGCGAATTGTAAAGAAAATCCAGTTAAATTCATCGCCAGCGCAAGAGAATGTCGTCGACGTAGAATTCTGTAAAATAATAAATTTCACCTCCTCCTGCTGCAGGTCCTGCGAAGAAAATTGTTTTAATAGCGTAACTTTTATTCGCCGGTAATGAGTGTGCGAAAAGAATGGACCCAATTCATCACGTAGCCAGCCGAGGGCTGGCTGCGCACGACTGCCGATGGACGTACGAACCGTATCGAAATGATAAACAGTGATCGATCAGCCCCAGGCAGACGTCTTTTTCACCTGCACACGTGCAACTAACTTATCGGAGTGTCTTTTCCACCACCAGCAATTGCTCCACCTGAAGATTAAACCAGGAGTTATTTCTGTATCGACGTTTCCTGCTGCGGAGGAAGAGAAGACATAGAAACAGAAACAGAGAGTAACAGTTAATGATTCATCGTCGAGTCGTAGATAACGTTGTTAAGGTTTTAGTTTTTGGGGTTTTCGCCGCCGCTGACTGGTAAAATGTAGCTGAATCTTTAAACAAATGACTTAACAAAACCGAAACACAACATCCCTCATCCAACTCCTTTTCGGAGAATTTCACCCTCTGAAGAGAAACAAATATTCCTGATGGTTTTCGACTAGACACTAAACGCAACCCAAATACGTTAAGTGATGGATGTATTCGGCACACGTCCGCCGGGTTTCAGCGACGGTGTCGTCGGCCTGCTGGAGTACTGCAATCCTCCAGAGTGTAAGAACCCGATAGATCCGGACTAATCCCTCTGGATTGCAACGCGTTCCTGGGTTAACGCAAAACTGACACTCTAGCGTTTTCAATATTTAAACAATCCATGCGTGGTGAAAGTTATAGATGTTTTATAAGACAACTATAGGCAACCACTCATACTTAACCTCAATCTTTTACTACTACAAGTAATATATTGTTTTCAGAATGAAAAATGATTTCTACATGCTAATACTACTTGTGTTTCAGCGACAGGAACATGAATGTATTTGAAAGCAAGCCTAATCGTATTATTTTTTCAGTTTGCATGTGGGAACTTGCTGATAAAATGCAAACCCAAACGCAATAATAGTCAGCAACCCACAATGACTTGTTGAGGTTGCGGAGATGTCACAAAAAAGGTCCTAATATGGTTAGCATGTAGTTGGGGGTTTGCGGCAGTTAATAATACACACAAACAATATTCATGAGAACGCCGCTGCCGCCACCGCCGCCGTCGGCGACCAAGGCTAATAATTTAGCCGCGAGGTCCACACACTTTCCACCCGCACATGCAATAAATATAAAAAAGTGCAGCGTCGTGCAGCGTTCGTTATTATTACTGCAAAATTTACGCCAGGTAATATTTTGTTGAAATATGAAAAATTTAATGTAACTTTCACGAGTCCACGAGTGTCATCGCTACAATGTACAACTTTCGCGCGTGGAAATTTATAGGGAAATTTATATTTTTATGGAGTTCAAGATTTACACACGTAAAATACGAAAAATGCATTTTTTGTAAAGCATAGAATAAAATATAACAAAAACACTCTGTATATGTATTGTGCAACACTACAACTTATTAATGTTTTTCGTGTTGTTGTTTTCTGCGTGGAGAAAATCTCAGTCAGGCGTGTGCATTGTGTGCGGTTTTAATTACTGACTGTAATTTTTTGCCAAACGCGCAGAAATGAGTTTTTATGCCATAGAACAACGTCCACATGCGCGATTCGCGTTTAGCAAAAAATTAAATGAATTTCATTCATGGACAAAGCGACATGTTGATTGCACCGAGGCTGGGACAACATAAACACTGCGTACTTACCCTGATAAGTGAACAAATTCCCATTTCCGGCTGCTTTTCGATTTACATTTACGTGAATATGAGTTGGAAACATCAACGCGCAATAAAAACGAACGTAAAAAGTGATTGCTAATTTCATTTTTGGTCAATCTACAAGAAACTGTTACTAAAATAACAAAAAATTGATAAAAATAATAAAAAATTTGTTAAAACGTTGAAAAAAAATTTGTTTCGTAAATATTTTTAATGAATTTAATAAGAAATAAAACAAAAATTGAATTTTTGGTACAATTTGGTAAAAAATAACAAAAAAAATCAATAAAAACCATAAAAATTTGAAATAAAATTTGGAAAAACACTTATTTTTGGCATTTATTAAACAATTTAATGAAAAATAAAAGAAAATAAGAAATATTTGGAAAATCTGCAAGAAACTGTCGTTAAAATAACAAAAACAGCAATAAAAACTTAAAATTTTAGGAAAAAACTTGAAAACATTCCTATTTCTGGCATTTTACAAATAATTTAACAAAAAATAAAACAAAACATCAAATTTTTGGTAAATCTACAAAGATCTGTTACTAAAATAACAAAAAATCAATAAAAATGATAAAAATTTTGTTAAAACGTTGAAAAAAAATTTGTTTCGTAAATGTTTTTAATGAATTTTATGAAAAATAAAACAAAAATTGATTTTTTGGTTAAATTTGGTAAAAAATCAATAAAAATCATAAAAATTTGAAATAAAATTTGTAGAAACACTTATTTTTGGCATTTAGTAAACAATTTAATGAAAAATAAAAGAAAATAAAAAATGTTTGTTAAATCTGTAAGAAACTGTCGTTAAAATAACAAAAAAAGCAATAAAAACTTAAAAAATTAGGAAAAAACTTGGAAAAATTCCTATTTCTGACATTTTACAAATAATTTAACAAAAAATAAAACAAAAAATTAAATTTTTGGTAAATCTACAAGGAACTGTCATAAAAATATCAAAAAATCAATAAAACTAATAAAAATTTAAAGTAAAACTATTAAAAAACTAATTATTAACATATTTTTAATAAATTAATGAAAACCCAAACGAAAAATCAAATTTTTCCGCGTTTAGTGACATTAAAAACACATTTGTAACACGTTTACAAATTTAATACTTGTCATCATCATAATAACCAGCTGGTTTTTTTTTCTGTAAAACGTATAATACTTTATTATATTCACTGTTCTATTACACATTCATGTTATTTAGTAAGTACGCATCATAATTCCGAGGTGTTTGCGTCCCTCCAAGGGAGAAAATTAATACAAATCCATAAATAAATGCACGGGCGTGTTCACGCTCCCATTCTCTCTTCGGCCACGGGGCGCTGGTGCAGGTTTGCAGTTTCAAGAGCTGCGGCTGGGGGCTGTGTGGTTTTGAGCAGAAACAAATTAGAAAGACATAAATTCCGTGCGGCCCGCGCCGCCTACATTTTTCAGCGATACCAGCGCACCGGCGATCGCTTGCAGCGGAAAGCACCTACTTCCTGTGGATTACAGATTTAATTTATATCCCGCTGCTCCACGAAACACGCTTGCCCGGCGCCTCCGCCATACGAGCGAACACAACACAAGCGCCGACGATATTCCTGGATTAGGCATTATTTTTCCCCCCCGTTTGCCACAAAAATATAATACACAATTATTGTTTATAGTAATTCGATGTGGGGTTTCTACCGTATATTGTGTTCTTTTGTATGTACATATTCAGTTTTTGTTTTGTTTGAAATCAACGTTATAAACATTCAAAACATCGAAATGAAAATTATTTTGGTTGCGTTGATGCGGCTTATTTAGTGAATATACTAAGTTATAAATTATTTATTGCCCTAATAAAAACGTTGCTTCACATCGTAATAATTGATTGGATAATATATAATTAAATTAATTTTTTATACGTATGTAACATTAAATAACATTTTTTTACAATTCCTTTTCATAAACTTGCTTATCCTTACATTTACGTCTCATCAGATAGTTTTACATAAATATATCAATGTGAAAACGTTGGTTTTATGTACAAAAATAAACGTGAATGTCCGCTACGTGGAGTTGAGTGTGTGCCAAAGTGAAATGATTACAATATGCAACAATTTATTTGAGCAATTCAGGTGTTGACTGAGAGGAAGCGTTCTCCGAAACCGAAAGTTATTTTTTTTGATGCGTGGCATGCTCGTTATTTTGATTCGTTTAACATATAGGTACACACACAAATAACATCACATGCAGCACATTAATTAATCGCATTTGGTTGGCTGTTTAACACGTGATGAAAGCCGCAAACACTTGCGGAAAGTTCGGTTCGGTTCGGCGGCGTTTAACGCGCACGATTTTTCACGTTGTAGGGGATGAAGAAAATTGGCGAAATAAAACTTTTCGCTTGCTCCTTCATAGAATTATTAAGAGAAAACCACGGCGCATGTTGGGGTGTGTTGGGGTGTGTAGACGTGAGGGCGTTAAGAGCTTCCACGGCCGGGAATTATTGTCGAAAAGAAACTTTCGAAAAATAAGAACAAAAAGCACGAGTGAGTTCAAACCGAGCACAACTTTCAGAAACCGTGTGAAACAAGAACAGAGAAAAAAACTAAAATTAATTGTGGGATGTTGCAAAGCATTTTATTTTATTTTATTTTATTTTCCTATTGTAAAACGTATTGATTGTAGTGTAATATATGCAACCAAAAATACAAATAATGCAAATATGGTTGCATATATTAAGAAACACGTGAAACAAAGAATAAAATAATAAAAAAGACAAAAATTGATTTTTGTAAAAATTTTGTAAAAAATTACAAAATAATTAATGAAAATCATAAAAAATTGAAAAAAATTTAGAAAAACGCCTATTTTTGGCATTTACTAAACAATTTAATAAAAAAAAAAGAAAACAAGAAATTTTTAGCAAATCTGCAAGAAACTGCCGTCAAAATAACAAAAAATCAATAAAAATCATAAAAATTTAATTTAAAAGTAGTAAAAAACTAAACGATTGTAATATATGCAACCAACAATACAAATAATAAAATTTAGTTGCATATATTAAGAAACACGTAAAACAAAAAACAAAAAATAAAATAAAATAATTGTAGGATGTTGGAGAGTGTTTTATTATATTTTTTTCTGCTGTTGTTGAAAAATGTATCGATTTCCGAAAACTAAACACTTATATACATTCTGCTTTATATCACGCGTAATATATGCAACCAACAATACAAATAATGCAAATATAGTTGCATATATTACACACATAAAACAAAAAATATCCTAACTGTATAATATTTATCAATCGAGTGATTATCGTGTATCATTTCGCAATATACGAATGTCATTTGAAGAGGGAATACAATCGCTGCATAAACTTGGTTACTGGTTAGTTTACTTTAATTGGAACAATGGGCATCGGTATCAAACTTTGCAAAGCATATGCAACCAATAAAACAATAATCACATCGCAATTGGTTTTCGGGTAATTGCAGCATCCAAACACAAAACGCATGCAAAATGCAGATCTTCATAAGCTTTTCTCCGACATTAATTTATATTCGTAACTTCTTTCAACACATCAATAAATATTGGTTTAAGTTAAGTGTTTTGCTTACAAGTCATTTTGATTTATCGTAATATTTATCTTACAATCGAAACAAATCCCAAGTAGGTATTAGTTTATAATATTTTAATATTTATGGAATAGTTAATAATAATAATAATGTTTTATTATTCGCTATCCTTACTAAATTTTTGTTTAAATATTTACGTAGTACTTTAATTCATATTCCATGTTATTTGTTACTTGTTAGTTACTTGTTATCACCGTTTACAAAATACACTATCACTTGGTTATTGTTAACATGAACCTTGTCCGGCAGTCACTTTCAAAAGTTTCACCACGTTACGCGCCACATTAACTAACTTAATTTAAGTAGAGGGTTGACAAGTGGATTGTTTATCATCTTAGCGACTGATCACCTTGAAGACCATGTAGATAAGTATGTAGTTGCACAGGTACAGTCGAATTTTCGTCGCTGACGAAAACTTGAACGTGTTTACACCTGATAATCACATAAAAATTAAATTTTCAAAAAAAAAAAATTTTTAGTTTTTTGTTACCGTCATTGCTAGGTGTTGTTGATACCATCACAAGCGCCATTAAGGGCGCCTCCTCAATAAGTTCCGTTTGTGTGTCCTTGGAATACAGGTGGAACATGGTCGCAGTGCACTTGAGCTTCATTTTGCCGTTCTTGAAGAGGTCCTGCGCCGCGCGCATGTAAATCGTTGATCGTACGCTTTCCAATCCCGGTAATGCATCATAGCGATTGATGGACTCTTCGATGTGGACAAATTTCGGTAGATCCTGAACAGATAAGACGGTAAAGTAATAAAGTGCAACGATGATGCGCAAGTAAATCGCGAATGAAATGTTTAGTGCATGAGGAGGCGGAAGTTTATTGACTGTGACGTTTTGCATTTATTTGTTCTTGGTTCAACGTTAAGTGCCTAGTCTCGTCGGCTACGTTTACGTCTATTTTATTACCCAGCAGTCTCTAGACGTAAATTTATATATCAATATTGACATAAGGATTTTTATACAATCTTAAAAGTGAATAAAATGCTACAAAACAGATAATAATGGGGATTTATATAGTTTTGTTTGTGTTTTTAGTGTTTTTTGTGGCAATTGATGTAATTTTCATTGTTTGGCGGTGTATATTGGGTTGCGGATTTAAATAACATAAAAATATTTAAATTTTGAGGTTAAATGTCATAATTAGTATAAAAAAAGTGAAGAAAATTGAAGGAAACAAATAAAAACAAGAATTTTCATAGTTTTTTGGCAATTTTGATGATGTTTCAATTGTTTTTAGTTCAAAAATGTATAATTTTCAATATTTGACGTTTCTCACTTGACTTTGGTTAAAATAAAAGATGTCACCCGGTGTTTACTGGGTTGCAGATCTTAAAAACTAAAAAAGTTAACATTTTGCTCAAAAAAATAAATAATATATAAGAAAACAGGTAAAAAACAAGAATTTATACAGTTTTGTTGACATTTTTAGTGTTTTTACTAAAAAAAAAACATAATTTTTACAATTTGACATTTCTCAGTTGAGTTTGGTTAGAATCAATGATGTCATTTGATGTATATTGGGTTGCATACCTAATTCTAAGTTATGAAGCTCCAAAATAACCTAAAAACGCTGAGTGAAAACCGATAGGAAGGATAATACCACCCGTTCAACTAAAGGTTAATATTCGGCATGAACATAAATTTAGGGACAAGCAACTGTCATTGTTATTGAAATGCTGAAATATCCCCCGACTGGGAAGTTTGAATATCGCCGTTCCCAGTCGATGTAAACGTATCCACTCTAAGCCGTCTTGGAGCCGCTCCAGTGTAGATAGAATCAAATTGCGCTTATCAACAGCGGCAACTTCATAGACAGTTATTGTCTCGCATGGCTATTGTGTTTATAGTTTTCGCGTAATCCGAAAACAAGCCCGTAACGAGCAGAAATGCAGCCAGCCACTTGGACACCACCCAATGTCGCAACAAATAAACATTTAAACAAACCGAAATATTTCTAAGCATTCCACAAAATAAAAAAATTATAAATTTTTCGAAGATAAGTTGTAAATCCCGATTGAAATTTATGCGTTGTCTGTCCTTGGGAAATTTATGAACTGTGAAGTAAGTTTTTTTTTCTTCGTTTTCTCCTGCGGCCGCCGCGGAGTAAACAATAAACTTTTTATTTATATCCGTCCTTTCTCCGCTTGAATCAATAAATTCAAATTGCGGTGCCTGCGCCAGGAAAAACTTTAAATTTTACGTTTCTGTTTGTTGTCGCACGGCGGCAGCGGTGGTGGCGAAAGTTGCGCAAACAGAATTTAATTTCGTATGTTATTAGAGGCGAACATTAACGTCGCATTAAATAATATTCGAATGCTGCGACGGTAATAGAAGTTGAAGTTGCGTAATCGGCTTATGTGCACACACGCCACCTTCGCCATCATCCATGTATGATTATAGAGAAACTCGACGTTTCATATGCAGCGTCTGCGGTGGCGGCAGTTCGCTCGCATGTAATGTCGCGACGAAACAACACTTTTGTTGTCCTCTAATCTCTGCGAGCCAACTTTATTGCTACTCCTCGGAAATTGTTTTACTAACTTTACAGCGATGCAATTTTACTATGGAATTACACAACATGGCAACGAAATAACCTACAATCAATCATAAATACGATTATTGTATGTTTGTGTCGCATTCACGCCTAAACCACTCAATAAATTTTTATAATTTTTTGTATAGAGGTAGTGTAGATTAAGGAGAATGACATAGACTACTTTTTATCGCGAAATTTTAACTTAAAAAGTGTTAAAAATAATTTTCAATAAAAATTGCATTTAAAGTCATAGCAAAATTGATTCCAATTAAGACACTGCACGTAATCGGTTTATTAACTTGCAGCGCAGGTTAATGCAGCAATAATTTACTTGCGAATCAAGGGCCATAGGGCCGCGGACGAAACAATGGCGTGTTGCGCGAGCGCGTAATTAATAATTTTACGAATGCGCGCGACTGAAGCTTCGCGCGCAAACAACATCACATACACGTATCAACCCCTAAATTGCGAATCGCGAGCGCGCAACCGAATTACGACAGCACGCGCTCCCTTCACAACGCTTCCCAACTAGCGACCGCACTATATGCACCGTTTCGGAATAATCAGCGAGGCGCTAACTTTGCTCGTTCGCCCATCATTCGTTTACACCGACAAACAAGCCGACAACATTCGTATTCAGCGTGCCGGCGAGAAAAGTGCGTGTATGTGCGGGATATAATTGGGTTGGGCGTTAATGTGAATCCCCGGTTTATCCGCTGTTCGTCCGGAACGTGCGAATCTGATTTGCGCCAATAACAACAACGGCAATCGTGTTTTACACTGGATATTTTTTTAAATCTACAAAAATTTGATTTTTTGGGGTAAAATCATTTTTAACTTGGTTTTTGAAGGTGGAAACAGTTAAAATAAGTAAATTTTATGAAATACGGCCCTGAATATTAAGAAATAAAATAAATACGGCCCTGTATACACAAAAAACACAATTTAAAACATTGTAACTAAGCAAAAAATAAAAAAAACGATAAAAAACTCGTTTTTTGAAAATTTAAAATTTTTTAGGTTATGATGTTGCAGCTACCAGATTTAGAGAACACTAACGCTGTCAACAGACTTGACTCTTGCAAATTGTAGATGAAAAGCGTAGTTTTGCATCGGTTTTGTAACATTCGATTCGTTTTGATTTTGACATATTTACGTTTGTCACAGTCGTGTGATTTATTGAGTGCAATCCGCCATTCCGAATAAATTAAAGTGCTAAATTGAAAGCGCGCTCCTGCGGAGGAAGGCAGTCCGGTACGCATGCGTATGTGTGTGAGTGTGTGTGTGTTTGTACACAATCGTATATCATAAATCAACGATTGAAAATCGCGCGCAACGCAACGCATCGCAACGCAGGCAGAGAGAAAAAAAAACCGAATACATAACTGACACACACGCCGAGTAGCCGATTCAATGATCTCTGATGCCTTTATGCCGCGGGTTTTGTTTGCGTATCGCGAACGATAGACACAATAAAGCGAATAAACCTTTCGGACGTCGTTTCAATATCCGAAACGAAGTCGCGCTCATGCAGTAGATTAATTCCGAATAACGCTGATGTACGAAATTGTGCGCGCGATGGTGATGCGTCAGCCACAATGGTCGAAATTAATTATTAAACATTTTGGGTAAAAATAAACGCGGTGGGGTGAGTAGGGAGAGAAATTTGAGGTTAATACCGGTATTTTTGGGAGTAAAGTGTTAATTTATCGGTATTTATAAAACTTAATTTTTTATTCATTAAAAAGTAATTTTTTGATATTTTAATCAAAATTTAATTTTTTGGAAATAAAATACCGGTTTTTGTACCGGTATACCGGTATTACCGGTATTTATAAATTAATTATTTATTAAATTAAAACTAATTTTAGATTTTTGTTGATATTTTGAGTGAAATTAAAGTTTTTGAAAATAAAAATACCCGTATACCGGTTAAAAATACCGGTTAACCGGTATACCGGTAATAACCGTATTTATAAATTAAAAGTTAAAACTGATTTTTTTGATATTTTGATCAAAATATAAGTTTTGAAAATAAAAATACCGGTATACCGGTATTTGAAAGCCTTGCGGTGATAAATTGATGACGAATTAAATTTGCAATTGAAAGAAGACTTAGCGTGCGTTTAATCTAATCAAATTCATTGACATTAAATTCGAAAAGTTGGCGCTTTTTTGCCGGCTGTGTAAATGCCACGTAAGAATTATTTGAAAAGCGTTCGCGCCTGTAATTTTTTCGATTACGCTTCGGCAAAACGCGCGTACTCGCGCAATCCGTATAAATTCAGCGCTGTGTGAACGGCAGAAGCTGTAGAAATCCGCCGCCGCCGCCGCCGCATTCAACGAACCGAAACCGTTTCGCGTTTCACGATTACAACACGTCGTCCGTCTTTTTCGCTTCCAGCCGGGCGCGAGCGCGAAGAGCTTTTCAATGAAATCAGTATTAATTTAAACTCGCGTAACGAAAAGCCGAAAAGGAATACAAGACGCGTACTATACGGCGCGGAAAAGTTGGCAAATAAATTAAATTAAAAAGCCGCAACATTGCCCAGAGAAAAAGTTGTCTTGTAAACGCCGCTGTTGAAAAAGAAGCAAAGTATTGCGATAAATTCGACACGAATCCAGCAATCTAATGAATTTTACTAACCAGGAAGCATTTCAACACATTACAAACAAAAAATAAAACAAATATTGAGATTTTACGCGGATTGGCATCTGATTAATCTTTTGTAAACCGGTTATAAACTCAATTACTCTTGTAAAAATGCTAGGAAATATTTCCTGAAGTCTAAATATGAATTCCACGTCGGAATTGAAAGGTGCTTGCAATTTAATTTTTTTAAAAAGTCTTGATAATTTTTATCAACGATTTTCGATTGCGAATATCTTCCAAACTAAAAGAGATAGCAATTAGAAAATTGTTGATTATGGAAGATTGGAAAATTCTCTATTAAATGAAAATTTAAAATAATTTAATTTAATGAGGTAAAAGGTCAAAAAACGCGACTGAAAATGCTAAAAATTGAAATTTTTTAAATGATAATTTTTTTTGACAATTTTCGATAGCAAATATCTTTCAAACTAAATGAGATAGCAACCAACAAATTGCTGATTATGAAAGATTGGTAAATTCTCTATTAGATGGAAATTTAAAATGATTTAATTTAATGAGGTAAAAGGTTGAAAAACG